GTTATATAGAGGTTTACGTTATATAGAGTGCCGTTTTATATAGCTTAACGTCGGCCGGGACCGGTCACGCCTTACGTTATAGAGAGGTTTACGTTATATCGAGGTTCGTTATAGAGAGGTTCGACTGTAATTCCTCTTGTCTGTCAACCGCCGTTACTTTATCGCTTCCGAGAATAACAAAGCGCTAAAAATTTTAGGGCCAAATTGGGCATAGTGATGGGGATAGTGAACGCCAAAAAAATCGCATAGTAACGTCCAGCACGGGGAAAGCTCAGTCGGTGCGCACCGCTTTCGGTATTCGAAATAGGGAAGCTCTTATGCCAGACTGGTTTGCCAGACGGCGAGCGATTACGCTGACGCACAAAGAACACTTCAAATCCTTTTTGCATAGGGATTTCTTTTGCTTTGTAGATAATACAAAAAGATATTCAGCTGTAAATTTGTACCTGGGGGTTTTCGGGGTCAAAGAATCGATTGAAGCTATTCATTTTATTCAGTTACCAATTGAAACTTGGATTTAATCAGTCTAAACTTTTAGAGAAACTCGGAAACCTTTTAGTCTATCTTCAGGATCCGTAGCTTTCAAATGTTATCTAATAATCGCAAGTGTTTAGTTTTAAGTAGAATGCGTATTCTATTGATTTTCGATTCAATTCACATTCAAAATACATTCAGGAATATTTATGGATCTTTAACCTCTTAGAAGTTTGAAATTTAAGCCAAAGTTCAATTGAAACATCTATTCGTTTTTGCTAAAATCTGACATCAACTAGACTTAGATCTTAGATTTTAGGCAAATTTTAGCCAAAAGTTGCCAATGTTTGATCACTTTTTTTATGAGAAAGAAGCTTAATCTTTAAGATCTTCAATTTTTATTATAAAAATGACGCTTTATTTTATATTCATTGTGATTTTTGGGGTAAAAAGAAGTAAAGAAGTTGGAAAAGAGATTAGGAAAATGTCTGAATAAATGAACTTTACACCTGAAGAAAAGAGAAAAAACGAAAATAATTAGTCTACGAGAAAAATTGGATTTTTGTTCAGAGATCAGGAAAAACATGTACGCAATGTGGGTAATTGAAGAAAAATATTACTTTATAGGGTTTCTTTGGGGAAGGGGAAATGGGAAAATGTTTCAGATTGAGATGTACCAAGTGGAGGAATGTTTGTGGATCTTTGAGCTCTTAGAAGCTCTAGGCTAAAGTTGAGTTGGAAAATTTTCAGTTAGGCTTCTCAAAACACACTCTTTCTGGCGCATCAGAATGAGTATTTGCCTTGCAACGACGTTTTGCTCGTAAAGGAAACAGGAACGAAGTGTATTTTCATTTCCATTTTTCTGAGCACAAAGTATGATACAGTTTAGACAGTTGTCTAGTCAGTTTAAGGAGAGAATTGTGTATTGTAGACTAGAAGTTAGCCAGCGAGATGAGAATCAAGTAGTAGTACTTCAACCAGGATGTTCCAATCGGTTCTGGTGTTTGAATAAAAAACAAATGAATGGGAAAAAAGGGTGACAAGGGGGATTGAACCCTCGACCTCCTGCTTACTGGGCTGGCACCCTACCACTGAGCTATCAAGCCGCTTAAGAGGCGTCTCTCATCTCAAGCATTATCATGGGATGAGAGGTCTTTCTTCTTCCCTCTTGTGTTACCTTTTTTCTCTTGGCAAGTTAAGCAACTGAATAGCTCAGTGGTAGAGCATCTGGCTGTTGGGCCGAAGTTTGTGGAAAAGATCGTGGGTTCAATCCCCCATGGTTCCAAGTTCTTTCATTTCTTGTTTTTCGACATTCCAATAGAAATTGGATAACAGTCGACTTTTTCAGAGAACATTCATTGCTCACTTTTGTACCAAATACCAACTTTTACCATTCTACACAAACTTTAGTCTCATTATTTCTTTGATCCTTTTCCCATTTCTTTTCTTCTTTTCCCCCACTTCTCGGTACATTTCCATCATCACAATAGTCAATTGTCGACAATTTTTCCCTAATTTTCTCCCAAGAGATTCAGTGAGCGATGAACCTGGAAAAGAAATTTTGGAGTAACACTTAATTTGACAAAATTTCTCGTACATATTCGAGTGAACATTGAATAAGAAAATTTTTGATTAAAGAGCTTCAAATCTTCAGATTATTTAAGGGTTTCTCTTTTCTCATAAATTCTACACTTTGGCCAATGTTTTTGAAGAGTCATTGTGAAGAGCAAAGTGAGAAAAGAATCAATACAAAGATCTCTTCTTAATAGATTAAAATGTTTTGAAGGCAATTGTTTATTGTTTATTGCAATTTGAGTTCAAATAACCGACTTTAAATTTACTAATTGAAAGAGTTGATTGAGGAAATGTTCTATGTACTTATTCATTTAGCATTTAAAATATGATAATTTATGAGAAAACTACTAAATAAATCCTGAAAAATTGATTAAAAAAATGGTAAAGAGATAGAGAGATTTCCTTCTTACTTACTGGCCTCCTTTCGCTTTCAAAGTTCGCTTATTTGAAATGAAAAGAATACTGATATTCATCTACTCTTGTGTGTGGTACTCCTTTTGCTTTTGATACTTGACTCGTTTTACTACATTACAATGTTTGGTACTTGTCGGTTATAAATCCACAAAGATTCATCTCGGTTAAGCATCCCCATGCGAGTCAAAAATGATTTTTTGAAATACAGCTTCTTTGTAGAGAAATTCTTTTTGACCAAAAATAAAGATTATAGAGTGTATTGCTCATTTATGATAGCTTTATCTCATAAGAAATCGTTTTTCTCGTAAGCTGAATTTAAGTTGGAAAATAATACCTTTTTGAAAAATCTCGAAAATTTTAAGGGAAAAGCTGCACTCATTTGTTTTTTACGAGTAATTTCTTGGAGTCGACTTACCTGTACTGACTTACCGATTTACCTGTACGGACTTACCGATTTACCTGTACTGACTTACCGATTTACCTGTACTGACTTACCGACTTACCTGTACTGACTTACCGACTTACCAACCCGACGAACACCTCATTCATTTATTTAACTTATTTACAAGCTTAACTTGTAAATAATAGAACAAAACGTTCTTGAATTGGTGGATTCGTTTTTGAAGAAATTCGAGTCAAACTTTTTTTGAGAACTTTCTTTCCAGCTTAATAGAATAAATTGGTTTACGGATTACGCATAATTTACGCATAGCACATTAGTTTGAAAAAAACACTCAAGTCTCAACAAGGAATGTTCCAAGTTCAAAATTTACCAACAGAGCTAAATGATTTCGATAATGAGCAATACTTAGGCTTATGCAATGCTTATTGAAATGTTTGTCGAAAGTAATTATAGAAACAATATAGAATGAATAAAATAATTTAAGTTTAGTCTACAAACTAACAATTGGGAAAGCGTGAGCAAATGGAGAAAAATGAATGCTCTGCCGGTTTACGCTGCTGCTACCATGCAACTGAAAAACTTTTCCTTATTGAAATCTTTGTCTACAATAGTTTGAGCTAGAATTGAGGCATTGACTTGTTGAGATTTGTCAAAACAATTAGATTCAAATAGTAGCTACCGTATCCATTGAAGGGGCCCCATTATCGCGCAGATATCTCTCAGCAATTGAACTTTGCTCCTAACTGTGACATCTTTACATTCACCACATATCAAAGAGTAAGCTTTTTTTCAGATTTCAATCAAAAACCGTATCTTGTACTCGATTATTACACAGAAATTTTCCTAGAAACACTTTCACTTTCACTTAAACCAATTTTCGAAACTACAGGTGAGTGATGGAAAATGATCTCCGCAAAAACTTCCCCACAAAAAGTAATCACATTTCAATACAGTACATTATGTATGTGAAGGTTTTTTTTTTCTTTAGAGATTAAACATTTCAAAGAAAGAGATCAGGTGCAAGAGAAAAGGGGACACAAAAGTGGGAGGGGTTTGCGGAGATCACCGCCTCTTTTCTAAGCGAAAATCTTTGACACACACGTTTTCTGTGACTTCTTCCCCTCGTAGATCCTCCCCAATTATGTGATAAAGTGATCTTTGTAAGTTGGGTTTTGTTTTTCACCAAAAAATTCTATATAAGGGGATCAATGCCGGGTATTTTGTTTAGTTGAGGATCTCACTTCTGAAGATTTTTAGGGCTTTGTGATCCCTTTCTAATAGAGTCTTGTTTCAGTCTATGCATTTGAAGAAACTCTCTAATTCTCTTGCTTTAATCAAAGCTTTATTGATTCTTTATCTTTCTTGAATTGATGAAATGATGTTTGTTGATAATTGAGCAAATGATCCAATAGCTCAAATCTAGCTTCATTCTCAAGCACAAAGTTGTTTCAAAAGAATCTAGCAAGTCTGGCACTGAGGCTAGGTCAGAAGCTATTAAGATTTGACTAGCCTTGTCTGGCCTGGTCTAGCTTCTAGTCAGACTTTAAACTTTAACCTTTAACAAATCGGAAAGAAACTCGGACTTCTAGCTCTAGAACCTAGCTGATTAAGCAGTATAATAGCTTTTCTTAAAGCTTCAACTAACAATAAATTAGCTAAGTATTCAGTATTCAGGATCAGTATTGTTATAGCGGTAAACTAACAGCAAATCACCATCTTACTAAAGCATAAAAGATTGCTTAACCAATTCACTTCTTCAATGTTGTTTTTCTATGCAATTCTTATTCTTGTCTTGTCAGTTAAAGATTAGATTATCATAGTTTCTAGAAAAGTTACGTTACCAGAAAAAAAAACTAATTTCCATTTGAACAAAACATTTTCTTGTAACCAGAAAAAAAAATTGATTTTCATTTGAATACGATAAGTTTCTCATCCCGATTAGCTTCAAAAAAGAAGTTGGTGCCATAGTGAGGGAGACAAAAACGGGGACAAAAATCAATTCACACAAAACTACACGGGCTACTGTAGATGTACGAAATCCGGAAGAGATTTTTCCTGATTTTTTTCATTATTCAAATTACTTCTTAAATATTTTTGGATCTGAATTTCTTGAAAGCGTTGCTTATTTTCAGAAATGTTGGTCGATCCAATGTTTCAAATTTTCAACGATTGTGATTTCGGGAAAATCGGAAAAGGTAAAGGGTTTTTTGAATTTGCAATTGCTCGCCTGCGGTCCGGGGCCTGCTCGGCCCGCCCTAGGCCCCCTTTTTGTTCCCTACGGCCCCCTTTGTTCCGGTCCACCTTGTTCCATTCCACGGTTCCATGGTAAATCTTTTTTATCAAAGATCGAAAAACTCTTTTTGAGTGTACCAAATCAGGAACATAAACCTCTGGTGCTGAAAATAACATAAACTCTTGTGCTGGTTTCTTGAGAGTTCTTGGAAATGTTTTCAATTCGAAAAGAGTGTAAAAGATTAGTCAAAAATAATCAAAAAAAAAAAATCTGATGTTGATTTAAATTAAGAGATCAGAAATTGATTTTATATGTTTTTTTGTATAAAATGTGTTCACATTACAGTACATTAGTGACTTTAAACTCAATATTTTTTGATTCATTTCACCATAACTAGCATAAAACGTGCACAGTACTTTACTGGAGACATTAAAGTAACATAATTATCGAGTGAATATCTTTTTACTGTTTAAACTTTGTTTACTTTACGCTTACTGTTTACTAAGAAAATTCGTTACAGTATCCGGAGAAACATTTCAATATTATACTATAGAATATTCTAGACCTGCTTAACGAGTCCGGGACAAAATTTTCAGACAGTCTGCCTCGCTCTTCGATTTTTTTACTGCCTAAAGCTTTTTCGAGCATGAAACCCAGTTTCCCCGCAAGCCCTTATTTTAGGCTTCATTTTGATACCAAACATGGCTAAGTTCTGTTTTCCCATTCTTTAGATTCCGATCATTTTAGATCAAAAAATTTTCTGCACTCGTTAAGCATATCGAGTCCGGCAAAAGATTGATCGAAATCTAAAGAATAACAAAATCGAACCTAGCCATGTTTAGTATCAAAATGAAGCCTAAAATAAGGGCTTGCGGGGGAACTGGGGTTTCATGCTCGAAAAAGCTTTAGGCCGTAAAAAATCGGAGAGCTAGGCAGACTGTCTGAAAATTTTGCCCGGACTCGTTAAGCAGGTCTAGTATATTCTAATATAGAATGTTATACTATAGTATAAAATAAGTTATACTATAGAATAGTTACTTTTTGTAGAATAGAATGCAATCTAACATTTAAATACGGTTAAACTACGATATAATGAACCTAAAGGGACCGTTGAAAAAGTTCATTGTATCAGTCATTTTTAAGATAAAAATCATGTTCTTTCTATAGAATATTTTCGTTGTATCAAAGTGGATTCTGATCTTACAATAAGATTTTTCAGATGTTGCTAGACATTGTCTAATGTGCCGTCAACATGGAATCATCGTGAAGACAAAGGGACACACATGTCCGAGAAAAGATTGCCATTGTGATCGGGTTTGTGCTTTTGAATATCGAATTTGACTTTTAACAACTTGTCGTTAAGCTTTTAAAAGTTATTTAAAAATACTGGGTCAAAAGCCTTGCTCAGGCACAACATTGATCGCTTTTAAAAACGACCGTAAATACTGTAACCCACTTCATAATGACGGTGCGGAGTCTAGCTTTGAACGGGTTTTTCTCGACACTGGTTTAAGCTACAATTTGCGTTTAGATATCAAAAAATAGCTGAGATTCAGGGCTATCTTTTGATATCAAAAAAACAATTTTTAAGAGTACCGGCCCTTTAAAAAATGAAATACAAAAAAAAACTTGCGATTATCCGACTGTACGAAGGAGTAGGGGTACTATTACAGTCTAACTCTTACAGTTAACGGTAATATTGTGATAATATTAAAGTATAAAGTTTCTTTTAGTGTGAGGCGATAAGAAATCGTCGTCAAATCATGAGCATGCAGATCAAATTGAGAAGACATCAAGATAAATTGTATAGAGCGAACACCGTTCTCGTTGGAGCCAATCAACAAGAGGTTGATCAATTTTATTAGCTTATATTACACTTTCAAGTTTTTCTTTTATTACAGAATTTTAGAAACAACAAGTCCCTTACGGTTTCGTGTACACGTGTCAACGTTGCAAAAATCATGGACTCATTCGGATGAGAAAGGTTGGTGAGGGAAACTTTTGCAAGAAAAGAACTTTTAAAAATAAGTTTTCTTTTTGGTCTTAAGAATTTCTAAAGTCCAAAAAAAATAAGTTCTCTTTTGGTTTACAAAGGTTCTACAAAGTCATCGTCGATTTTTAGCGTCACAGTCGCGAATGTTTGTACGCGAATTGCGTCTGCGAGATGTGCGTCCTCGTGCGACAAAGCACGAAAATCGATGACGTTTGTGAGTAGATTTTCAACAAAATATAAAAAGTTCACTTAAAACTTTTGATTTCAATTTCTGTAACCTTTTTTTGGCTAAAAACGATCTCACTTTTCAGTTCGCCCGAAGAAAACGCTGATCACGCAGAAATCCGATCCTGGACCACTCGTTTCGGTGAGCTTAACAGCCGAAATACTAATTACTAAACAGAAAACGAATCCAGAAAATTATAGCTAAATCAAACCTTAAAATTTAAACTTAAAAATGCTATTCTACTAGTCTATATTCTTTTAACGTAAACCCTATTTCCAGAGTGCCTTCGCGCCGGTAGCGAAACGGATGGTGAGCCTGGACGATGAAATGAAGCCTTCATTGCCCTCATTTCCCAGCCATCCATCCTCATCAGCTGTTTCAGCACAATTCCCCTTTGTCTTTCAATCGTTCTCACCATTGATTCTGAAAGAATCTGAAAGAATTGAATTCTCGTCATTGGCCGCGAAACTCTTTGAGAAGAATCTCTCCACAATGAACACCGTTGAACTCCTTGAGAAATCTCCGTCACCAATTGAGGCATCAACATCGGTGAGTGAAATCATGAATGGATTTTCAAAAAGGCAAAATTCAAAAGGGCAAAGAATTTACTTTGACCGGGGGTCGAACCCGCCACTTTCTTAGGACTCATCGTTTCAAAGACAAGCACGCAAAACACTCGCCCAACTGGTACTCTTGCAGCTCCGTTCGTTTTCCCTTTAAACCGCCTTTTGGAAAGCGATTACTTGGAAAGAACACACTCTTGTAACACCGGGAACTTTTTAAGAATTCAACTCTTGCTAGAGGGTAACAAATTTAATGTTTTCACGTATCAAAACCAAAACTTCCAATTTCCAGGCCTCTCACTCCGTGTCATCGCTGCTCTGTATCCCCCCATTCCCACTGATGCATCTCTCCTCATCCGACCATCGTTCTCCCCTCTCTCCCCTCTCATCCACCCATTCACCCCACTCCTCTCCATCTCCAATCTCATCTCCATCATTTCCCTCGTATCATTCAACAATTCCCAGTCTCATCCCACCAATCACCCCAAATTCCGGCCTTCAAATGCTCCAAATCGAGCCCTCTCTCCTCTCGCAATTAAACATCTCAACAATGCCCACACTGGCCAGCATCTTGCAGAATACTTTACAAACTGTTTAAAAGTTTAAAAACTGTTTTATGAGTATTTAAAGCTTATTATTTATGTAAATTTTCACATTTTCTATTTACTGAGCTTTATTTTTTTAATTTTTGCCAGTCTAAAACTTTCGGAATCTCAAATTAAAATCGAATTAATCGAATTTTTGAATCTTCAATTCTCCAATCGACCTCCAATTCTCCAATCCATCTCCAATCCTTAAAATTCAGGTCATTTTGAGGAAACTCACCTACCGTAACCCCGTGAAAGTCTTACGGTGCTCCTTTGTCGGATTTTAGTTATCGCATCTTTTACCGTAAACTTTGAGAGTCTTACAGTAACTTTTTATCGAACTTTATGCACTATTTACTTAGCTATTTACTATAACATTTGAAAGTCCTACAGTAAATTTTGTTCAATTCTATTCCTCGCTCTTTTTCTTTTTTTCATAGAGGATTTATCCTTCACGTGTGCAGTGCCTGTGTGATTTTGTGTGATTTCAATGCTTTTTTTCTTTACCTTTACAATAAATTCATCCTGACAAGCTCTATCTTTTCTGTTAAAATACAAAAGTTAAACTTATAAAAAGATAAAGGATTTGATTGCGGTGAAAAAAAGTGATGACTTTAGGGGATTTCCCGCATTTTTCTCCTCTAATAATCCCGACTTTTTCTTGAGAAGATTTTCCTTTTTTTTGCGATTTAACCAAAATAAAAGCCACCCACTGGTTTTGGGGATAAAATGATGAAAAATTTGTGCAGAAAAATATTGAAATTTCTAGGCAAACAAGAAATTTCTTAATTTCTTATAAAGTTCAGTATTTGCTTGATAAAGTTTTATGATAGTGAAGTACTTTTAACATACTGTTATTGCAATTAAACCTAGTGCAGTTAGACCTAGTGCAATTAGACCTAGTGCAATTAGACCTAGTGGAATTAGACCTAGTGGAATTAGACCTAGTGCAATTAGACCTGGTGCAATTAGACCTAGTGCAATTAAACCTAGTGCAGTTAGACCTAATGCAACTAGATCTAGTGCAGTTAGTTCTAGTGCAGTTAGATCGAGTGCCAAAGAAGTCCAGATTGGTGAACTCTTGACTAGCATTGCTACAGTATTTGAGCAGATCTATGTGAATGCTTCAATGATTTCTATTTCCACTACCAGATCCGTTTCCACGACTTCTCTACAATTAAGAAAAAACATCAAAACTTTAAAACCAAAAGTCTGAGCGGTAAAGTTGGTGTTGAAGCGATGACTTCAATCATTAAGCATTTTTAAGCACAATTTAATCGTGAAGAGACTTAAAGAAACAGCTTTTAAACCAAAATATAGTCCTTCAAAAAAGCAGTTTTGAAGAGTCATTGATTTTTATCTTATAAGTCAGCTTTTCCCTAGTTAGGCAACGTTGAAAATCGATGAATCGATGAAACGATGTTTTGCAAAGCCTGTAATTATGAGGCGAAGGATGTTTTTACCCTTGATGAGACGTCTTTTTCTTTTTTGAAGATTAACGCCAAACAAAACGCTTGCTCTCCAGGGAGAGCTATGTACAGACGGGAAAAAAAGCAAAGGACGGTTAACCGCTCTTGTCGAATCGAATATGGATGGGAGTGAGAGGTGCCCTTTAATGGTAATCGGCAAATAAAAGCAACCACGATGTTTCAAAAGTGTCGAAAAGCTTCCTGTTATCTATGAGGCCAATTCAAAAGCATTGAGACTGGATCGCTGGAGAATTGTTTGAGAGTTTTTTTGAGGAGATCGAATAACAAACTCGTGAAATTCAAAAGAAAAATTCTGCTATTCCTTGAAAATTGTGCAGCTCATTCAAAAATTGAGCTATCAAACATCCGACTCCAATTTTTTTTTTTGCTGTTATTCAACTGATGGATATGGATGTTATCAAAAATGTCAAGATCAAATATCGAGCTCTTTTGATGAAGAGGTGTATTGCTTCTGTCACACCAAAGGTTTCGTTTGATTGTGACTTAGATGCAATTCACTTACTTGAGCTAGCTTGGAATGATGTAAAGGCCGAGGCGCTGTAAAATTCTTTTAGAAAAGCTGGATTTTCTAAAGAAAGTGAAAGCTTTGAAGATGGTGTGATGGAAGAAAGTGATGACAACGATGAAAACTTTTGCTCTATCTGGAAAAAATGGGGCCACGATGGCAAAGTTGATGGATTGACTAGTATTTTGGAGTCCTTGTTGATGAAAACGTTGCAACAGCCGAAATTAGAACGCTAGAAGAAATAGCAATTGCTACACAAGGTTTAGAAGAACTTTCATCTGAAAGCGAAACTGGAGAAGTCGACGTTGAAGAGCAAAGAGTTGAAGAACCTATCAAAAGCCCTTATAGGCAACAACAACAGGCTCGATACTTTCAGATGTTTGAAAGATCTGCAAAAGGTGATGAGAATAAAGATCTTTTCAAGGCATTCGGTGCTATCAAAAATTTCTTCTACGATCAGGCCTTATATAGCAAGAAAAAATAACATTTAACTTAGGTTTTTTGTTATTTAGAAATAATTCTTTATTATTATTAAATTCTCATGCATATTTTCACAACTCCATCTCTATCAGCTAATTTTTAACTCATCAACTTTACACCAATTACCCGAATCAAAACTTTGCAAACATTTTTTCGATGTTGATCTGGGAATGTGGTAAGCAATGTGGTGTTAGCAAAGAATGGTATTAAATTTTTCATATCCCAGTTTGCAGATAGTTTGGATTGGGGTAATAATTGGCATCACAATCATCACTGTGATCCTCATCATTATTGTAATCCGAATGAAAATGATCCGCATCCGCATCATCATCATCATGGAACTGATTGGCCAGTGAGTTGATCTATACAAGTAACTCATAAGTCCTTTTTGCCCTTATAAAGTCAACTATAAGTACCGTAAAAACTCTAATAGAACGGCCCCTATAGGGCGTCGCGTAGTCGAAGTTTACTCTCAAACTAATATCTTGGCACCAATACGTTTGTTTCTACACGATTAAAAATTGAGGTATAACACATATTCTTAGCGTTAACCCAGTAACTCACAAGCCTTTTTGCCCTTATAAAGAATGTGGTAAGCAATGTGGTGTTAGCAAAGAATGGTATTAAATTTTTCATATCCCAGTTTGCAGATAGTTTGGATTGGGGTAATAATTGGCATCATAAGCATCACTGTGATCCTCATCATCATGAACACCATCATTATTGTGATCCGAATGAAAATGCATCGCATCATCATGAAAAGCTGGCTTATAGAATAAAAAGCAATGACTTTTTTTAAGGATGGTATGGTGAAATGCTAACAAAAACTGTTCCTTTAAGTCTCTTTGCGATTAAGTGCTTAAAAATGTTTGATTCGTGAAGCCAACGCTTCAATACCAACATGACACGACTGCTCTCATGACTATGCTAACATAAACATAACTTAAATAGACGCCACCCACGGATTTCCAAAAAAGGATGAACCACGCGAAAATAGATTAAGAGAGATTTGTGCTCAGATTTGAGTAGCTTTTTAAGTGGAATAAGAAGTGCTTGAACCAAAAATAGACATTTATTTAAAGATTTTTATGGTTGTGAAATAAAGATGAACATTTACAGCCATGTATGGTTATAGAAAATTGCGAAATTGAAAACTTTCTGATGAAAATGATGATTGTTTGTTGGTTATGAAATTGTGCAGCAATCTAAATGTTGCTTTTGCAAAGATCGACTTTATTCTCTTGAAGAATATTGATCATATACAAAGGCGAATGGCACGGACAAGTGATTGCTAAAGTAGTAGAAGATATTACCACATTGGTTTTGTTTGAGAATCACTTTATCAATGAGCAAGTGAACAAGTAGTGCAACAAAGTGGCCAAAAAAACTTCTTTATATAAATAATTTAATATATAAACAAAGGGTAAACGAAGGATAAACAAAAAAGAGGAATTGTCTTGCTTGCTTTGTCTTGCTTGCTTTGTATTGCTTGATTCTCAATCTCCACCCCCACCCGAGTCACATCCACCGCCGCCTCCTGAATCAAAGCCACCACCACCGCTGTCCCATCCACCACCTAAAAAATACTATTGCTCTATCTAGATTGCTTTCTAAACCTAGTACAATTATAGATTACTGTAATATTGTAGCTTAAACATAGCTTTTTCTAGCTTAAAAGCTTCTAACTTAAATGTTTATTGATCTCAATTTTTCTGCATTGTTAAACCCACACCCATCTCCACTACTCCAACCGCTATCCACATTTGAAGAAGCTAAAAATAAAAGCTAATCGAAAAATAGCAAAATCTGAACTCACTGTGATTGTCCGAGGTGTGATGAAAAGAGTGATCGGTATGATGAAATGCTGAAATAAAAGGACTAATTGAATAACGTGGCTTCAGCAGGAAATGAGCCGCGAGTTCTGCTTTCAACTAGTTTAATATTGGTTTGGCCAGAAAGTCTTGTCCGCTTTTTTTTGAAATTTTCGTTTATAAAATGAATAATTAGCCGATAAACGTGTAGTTTGCTTTAAATAAAAAATATTAACTATTACATTTAGCTCATTTTTAGGCAAATTTGCGTCCGCTTTGAAGTATTGGGTTGATGGAAAAGTCCTTTCCGAATTTTTGGGAGAGTACCTTAAATTTGTCGAATTTTGACGTTTTATAGCTCATCCTAAAGCTGAATTCAAGAAGGATCGATTGGTAAAAACCGTTTTGAGATATCTCTTTTCGAAAAGTTTTTACAGCTATTTTAGTAAAGGGCGGCAGAGCCAAAAAATGGCTTTTTTCACGTTTCGTTAGTTTTCCGTGCAGAAGCCTAGGCTAAAAACATGTGTTTCGTGATCGGCGTCAAAAATAACCCCTAGATACGCATTTTCCGAATCTTCAAAAAATTTTTGAAAAATTTTGTCACCGGTGGAAGTCGAACCAGCGACCCTCAGATCAATAGCCTTTCCGCCGCTTTTCGCGATTTTCCTTCGTTTTTCTCGAATTGGACAAATTTAAGGTACTCTCCCAAAAAATCGGAAAGGAATTTTCCATCAACCCAATAAATCCGAACGAAAATTCTTGTTTTTCCTAAAATCCTTACAATAGACATAGAATGAAAATGATTTGGTGAAAGAAATGAAAATTGATCGTTCTGCTCAACTTTTTATTCTCTTTCTTTTGTCTTTTTTCATCAAAATAGATTTCTTTGCTCAAATCGAAACTTTAAATTTCATCTTTTTTGACTTTTGACCTTCAAAAAAAACAAAATAACGAGAACTTTTTAGAATTTATTAAAGGAGAATTTTGTAAATAAATAATAGAATTCTCTGATAAAACAAATCATAGATCAATTTGTTTATTATTCAGTGCAAAAAGTAAACTTTTAAAAAAGCCAACATTTCTGCCCAATCTGATAGCTGAAAATCAACCTCTTGATCAATTTATTCATGGATTTCTATCAGAGTTAAACTCACAAGTCTCATGTTTGAAAGAAGACACACATGTCCCACCATCATTGACATGGTTGTTGTGATGATGGTGATGAGGTGAGTTATCGTTCTGGAATTCAGTGATCTAATCATTACCGTACTAATGATTACCGTAACCGTAACCGTAAAACCTCATAGAACGGCCCCTATAGGAGTGTCGCTTAGTCTAAGTTTACTCTCAAAACAAGCGCTCATATCTTGACACCAGTACGTTTGTTTCTGTGCGTTTAGGGATCAAATTAAAGTAGAGAAAATGCGTGATTTTTTTAGATATAACACATATTTTTAACATTAACGAGCGCTTAGAAAAAATGATTGAAAAGTGACAAAAAAAGAGCCAATTTTTACCACTTTTCAATCACCTTTTTCTAAGGATTGGCTAATGCTAAAAATATATGTTATAGCTTAAAAAATCACTCATTTTCTCTACTTTAATTTGACATCTAATTGTGTAGAAACAAATGTACTAGTGTCGAGATATGATCGTTTGTTTGAGAGTAAACTTCGACTACGCGACGCCCCTTTGGGAGCCGTTCTATTAGGTTTTTACGGTACTTATAGTTGACTTTATAAGGGCAAAAAGACTTATGAGTTACTTGTAGTGAGTTACTTGTACAGATCAACTCACTGGCCAATCACTTCCATGATGATGATGATGATGATGCGGATCATTTTCATTCGGATTAGAATGATGATGAGGATCATTTTCATTCGGATTACAATGATGATGAGGGTCACAGTGATGATTGTGATGCCAATTATTACCCCAATCCAAACTATCTGCAAATTGGGATATGAAAAGTTTGATACCATTCTTTGCTAAGACCACATTGCTTACCACATTCCCAGATCAACATCGAAAAAATGTTTGCAAAGTTTTCATTCGGGTAATCGGTGTGATGTTGATGAGCTAAAAATTTTTTCGAATTTTTGGGATTTTTTTTTGAAAAACTCACTTCGCGAGAAATTGTTATGTCTAGATTTTGCTTTGAATTTTTGCACTGCCACTGCCGCTTCTCCTTTGCCCAATTGCTGCAACAGATCAGCCATGGTTCGGATCCATTTCCTATAGTTTTTTTGATTCGATTTTAAATTAGCTTAGTTGTAAATTAGATTAGGGATTAGTTTCTCTAACACATAGCTTTTTGATATGTTCTTTTTTGTTTTACTTCTTGGAATCTTTACTCAAAATCGTCTCGTGTTAGGAAGTGAATCCAGTGAATTTTCGAGGCATTTCTTTGTCGTAAACCGAGTAGAAATTGGGGTTTTCGATGGGGCGGTAATGGAGGGTATTTGGCTGTAATTTTTCACGATTTTCTCTCATCTTTTTTCTATTGTACCTAGAGATTTTCGATGAACATTATATCCCAAAAAGTACTCGGCAATCTCCTCCAAAACGATTGACGTCTTCAAGTTGCATAGAGACTAAATTGAATGAAGTTAGAATTAAAATTAAAAATTGTTTTTGAAATGTAAAATGAGAATTTTAAATAAACAAGAGAAACTCTAATATGCAAATTATCAGATGTGAAAGCAAAATATCATATTTTCTCTAATAGTAGTGCACCCTGAGTGTCGCCTAAATTCCTCGAAATCTCGAGAACCGCTTATCAGAACCTATCGTTACGGTTTACGGTAATCGAGTGACGATTTAGAGTACCGTATTCTCTCTAATAGTAGTGCACCTTAAGCTTTTCCTAAATTACTCAAAATCTCGAAAAGCGCTTAACAGAACCTATCGATGTGGGATCGGAAAATGTAGCTGACGATGAGATCTAGTGGGGGATTTGAGTGTTGAGCTTCTGTGAAAACTTTGAAAGCCGTAAAATAGTTATCAACTCGGGTGCACTACTATTAGAGAAAATACGGTAATCTAATACAAACACAGTTTTTCACTCCTCTATCACATAAACTCAACCAACTTCATCTTTGTAGATCTCTAGTACAGCGGTTTTTCTCAAACAACACCATCGATCTTTTCATTTATTCTTGAAAAATCCCGATTGAAATACGGCAAGTTTTCCTTCTGTAAAATCATATTTTAAAATAGAAAAGAAATCAAATCTTCACCCATCCGGTCTTCGAAGAGTTTGAGCCTGAAAATTGTACAATTAACATTAAGTGGGTATTCGATTTGGCACAAAAAACAACCAATTCTAGATGAAAATGTGGACAAATAAAGGGACAAAAGGTGTTTTAGTAATAGATAAAAGAAGCTGAAAAGTATTCAATTATTAGAAACGAAATTGAAAATGAAAAATGATAGAGAAAAAACAAGAAAAGTTCTACTTTCCTTCAACTTCCTTGAAAAGTCACTGAAAAATGATCAGATTACCAAAATTCTTGACTACCCTATTTTCCCTAATAGTAGTGCACCCCAGCGAGCCGAGTTGATGACGATTTTACGGTTTCCAAGCTTTTGCAGAAGCTTAACACTCTAATCCCCCACAAGATCTCATCGTCAGCTACATTTTCCGACCCCACATCGATAGGTTCTGATAAGCGGTTCTTGAGATTTCGAGGAATTTAGGCGACGCTCTGGGTGCACTACTATTAGAGAAAATACGGTATTTAAGTTTTTAATTGAAATTTTTATTTTAAATTTTACAAAACCTCGAACATTTTCGATAATTCGATTTAGAGATTTTTATAAATAAAACTTATTTTCTTATTAAAAGCTGAATAAAATAAAAGTTCAAATCTAAAAATTGATGTAAAAATTCAAAGCTTTATACGCAAATAGAATTTCAAAATTTTCCGAGTTTTCTTTGGCAAGATTATAGGCATAAAGGGAAAAAAAGAAAAACAAAGTGACTCATTGCAAAAGACAGGGAAAAGGTAAAAAAAAAAAGTGTTGACCTGTGAATTTATATCGATGACGTCATAGGGAACGATCGGAAAACTTTTGAAACTGGAAACTTTTCCTTGAAATCGAAAAAAGAGACAAATATCTTGATATCAAATATTATCAAGATGGGAAATTTTTTATTAGAATAAAGTTTGGGGTGCGACCCGCTTTAACCTTATCAACGAGGATGATTCTGCTTAAGAATGGCCGAATAGCACAAAAGGTTAAAAGGGTTTCCCCAAAAGCGCTTACAACGTAACAAGAACATGTAGTATCCAACATAAGATTAATACTCTTGAGAAGAGTACAGATCGGATTGATATTACGTCGATGGTGACACAAATGTTAGTAAAACCAGTCTCTCTACAATGTTAAACCAGTTATCTAAACAGGATTTAAAACCTGAAGGGTAGCATAAAGTAAAGTGAATTTATAACGTTACTGTTTATTAGTACAGAACCGAAATGCAACAATACCCATTACAAAAACAGCATGCGCATCAAAAATGAAACAACAAAGTCCCCCCAGAAAGAAGGCAAAAAATAGGCCAAAAAAATAATTTTGGGAAGGGAGAAAAAGGACAAAAAATGCGACGCGAATAATTGCAAAATAGCAACGCAAATAGGAAGGAAACGGACGCGACCACCCTCCTCCACGAGAAGGGCGGACCCACGCCCGAGGAATAATCACAATCTGACAAAAAGGGTTAAAACGTAAGACAAACTAAAAATAAAAATTTCAACAAACTTTCAAGGCAATCCTTTTGATGAGACCATTTGCTCCCTCAACGGCGACCACCACGTCCATGACCGCGAGGTGATTCCATTCGTCCACCAATTCTCGACGACGAGGCAGCTGGCGCATCGTCTCCAAACCATTCTTGCTGTCGACGCTTCGCCGGAGTTGGGCGATTTTCTTGACGAGGCCTCCTTTGGTGTTCCATGGCTTGCATCCATACATCTTTCCATTGGTTGTCCAAAACATAGCATCCCCACAGCTCGAGATGGAAGTTGGAGAGGCTCGTTTCTGAGGCGGTCCTCATGAGCAGGTAGATCCGAGTGTCGAATCGATGTGACGGTCCGTATTGTAGATCACGCACATCCATCAGCTCGTTGCGGTGTCTGAGTGATGGCTTCAGAATCTTTTGGCGGTAGAGTTGCTCGTATTCTCCGGTTGAGTCCGACGTATGGAGCGAAGGAAAGACAATGATTTTCACCGTGTTGCGCTTCTTGTTGACCGCCTTCATTCCGTTGATCAGCTCTTCAAAGATCTTGTCGTTGGTGAGGATCTTCGTGGCTTCCGGCACTTGCATGTAGACTTCTTGCAGTGGCGTCGTTGGAGAAATAGAAGCCGCGAGCCGTTTCAAATATTTGGGGATAGTCTCATAGATCGATTTAGCATTTCCAATCAGATGTGTCTTGAAAAGATCATGCTTTCTTTCTTCTGACGTGGTCGCATTGAAGCGCGCTTTTATCGAGAGAACGAAATCGCAGAAGGGTTCTTGGTTGGGCTTATTTGCAAAAGTTTTGATCGGGGGTAGGTTGGAAACATATGCTGCATCTAGGAAGGCTGCGGCTGTATCGACAACTGTTATGTTTTCCGTGGTGAATTTTGATCGGTTAAAACTGGATTTCCGTGGGAATTCCATTCAGGAATCAACCAAGTTCTAAATCGGTTTTTCTTTATCTAACGATACATCAATAATACAATAAAAAAAAGAATGTAAATTAGTCGAAAAACGGGATCATTTATAGTATCGGGGGGGCAGATCAATATTGCGGGAGGGGGACAGATCAATATCGGGGGAGGGATTTCAAGTTATTTTTTAGTATTTTAGTGAAGTTTTATGTTGATAACTTTTGATAAAACTAATATTTTCTGAAAGCTGACGTTCTAAGCTATCTAAATCTTATTAAAACTTTACGATCTGAAAAGTGCAAGCTGCCTAAAAAGGAGCTACAAGTTGGCGAAAAAAAATAGAGCCCCCGATACTATAGTTGATCTCAAAAACGTACTAAAATTTGAGAATTTCGTATTTTTTTAATCATTTTCACCATCTTGCCGCTGTTTATATCTACTGTGAAAAAAATGAGCAAAATTGGTTCAGTGGAGGCCGTAGGAAAAAGCGTGACGGACGGACAGAGAAAATTCCGTCTCTTGATGACTGAATATTTTATTCTGGTAGGGAAATATTAGACTGTAGCTCACATAAAACCCCAAATTCTCATCGAAACTGGCTGAGAAAACTGAATATTTTGTAAATTATTCAGAAGCTCAAGATTTGAGTCTTGTCAATTGAACTGTCAAAAATGCATTTTTTGTTATGGCATACCGTAGTCAAGCTTCAAGAAGAGACTTTACACTTTACCGTTTCCGCCAAACATTTTACATTACACAGCTTTTACTTTTTACATTCTCCTCTCAAATTCTAAGTAAATGTTTATTCTTTTCCTTTTCACTTCTTCAACAACATTCTTATAGGTTCGAGATTTCAACATCAGCCCAATAGCATTCTCTCTCGATTCCCATATTCCACTTGTCTCCATTACCGTTCTTGAAGGCTGATGTCACCAAACGGAACCAGCCGGTCTCTCCCTGAAATTGAATTTTGAGAATCTTCGGAATTAGATTAGCTATTATTAGCTACAAAATTGCAAGCCATTCGGCGCTTAGATAGGCCATAAAAGTATTAGATTGGCGTATAAATCTACAATTTTTTTTCCAAAAGCCCTTGAAAAAATAATGCCGCCAATAACAAAATTTCTATTTGAACTATTAAAAAGGTTAATTGTTTCTCTGCAAAAAGGCTTTTGGGAAGCTCTTGGAGATAGTTATTTTTATGGTTTTTTAAAAGCGCAAAGGCAAGCACCCAAAACTGCTCTGATGCTGAAGTCTCCAAAGTCGAAGCTCTGATGCCAATTTGGACACTTTTTTCAATACAAACCTATTTTGGTGCTAAAGGAAAAAAGATAGAGCTTATTTGATTGCATAAGTTTGTAAAATTTTGAAAACGATCTGTTCAGCGATTTTCTTTAAAATAAGAATTGAAAATTTTACATAAAAAATACGTTTTTATCGAGTTAAGACGAGCTTTTTGCTTTGTGTTGTAGAGAAATTGTAAAGATTTATATGTCGTAGCCGTTTACGAATCATTCGTTAGCGGCTAGCCGATTACGAGTCTTTCTTAAACGGCTAACGAAAAATTTCATTCGTTAACAGCTACGACATATACACCAAGATGATATCACTTACCCACGCATCGCCCCAACTGTTCCTCACAATCCAGTACTCGTTTCCATCCTCTCGACCCCATCCAGAAACAGTCACAATGTGGTTCGACTAAAGCTTTGCGCTTTTGACTTAAAAGCTTAGTTGGAACTAGGGCGGATCAAAAACACATGCGTCGCCGGGACTCGAGCCCGCGACCTTTCGCTTACCGGGCAAATGTGCTAACCATTACACCAAAATGCACTTAATCTCTCATCCTCTGGTAAACACTTAGAAATTTCGTCTTTCAAAAGCATTTTCAAATGCAACAAGTGTTCTGTAATGTGAAAGCTCTTCCACTCACCTCAAGATTGCTCTCCTCAAAATACACTCCTTTTGTATATTCGAACTCGAATTTCTTCGTTGCTCCGATAGCGCACGCGATCGGTCCACGAGCTTGGATCTCAGCCTGAGGATTTGGTGATAAGATTTGATATCACTCACCCACGATTTGATATCACTCTATTTAAGTTTACCTTCAATTTATTCCTGATGTCCTCCACAGATGTGCCGTTGAACTAAAATTTGATTCTTATTTTGTTTTCTTATATTCTTATGTTTGTTCATATGTTTGTTCTTTTGCAACTCACTGGAGCGTACTCTTTAACATAATAACGAGTGTAGTTCGTTAACGGGAAACAACCGCCAGCATGATCCGGCCAGCACGATCCACAACGGTGAAATGGTGAGCACTCTGGAATTGAAAGCGTTGATAACGTGATAACAAACAAGAATAACTTGATCTCACCTCCATTCACTGCTCTGTACACATTGCATCCTTCTTCAACAAGCCCATTCAGTTTTGCGTGTTCCAACACATCACCAACTGTCCCTCCTTGACAGTTTCCTTTACCACCACAATCGATAATCTCCTAAAATCTTATTTTACTTAATACTTCAGTATTATTAGAGTAAGTAGATGGATAAAATTCTTGTGGAAAAGGAGTAAAAATTTCTTTCGTCAAAACTCGTCAGAACAAGGTTTACTTATCATTTGAATCGTTTAACTTCATCAAAACCTCATCTCAATTAACTCAATGGTTTAAAAGCTTGAGATTATGCAAACTATTGAGCATATTTTGTCTTCGATACCTGTGGCGAAACCATTGTCATCGGCCATTTCCCCTTCTTTGCCACGTTGAAGCGATCGTTTAACATGCCTAAAAATGTTTTTTTAGAATATGCTTAACCTTGAAACCTGTTGTTCCGAATACCCAGCACGATCCACAGTAAACTGGGATGTGTTGATTTCTGTTTGGTGAGCAATAGTTGGTCCCGTTCACGTTTCTCCAGTCGAATGATTCGGGTAAATCCTTGAAATCGTAGTCGTCCGATTCCCAGTCACGTTCAGTGAGTCTAGAAAAGTTGGATTTAAAGTTGAAAGTAAATTTGAGTCTAGAATGTTTAGAAATTGGTTTAGATGCTTACTTGTGCATGTAGACTTTCTCCGATTTTAGGAGTCCTCCAATGAAAGATGGACGATTCTCGAGCTCAACCTCCGTGCTTTCCTGAAATCGTTTTGATTTGAAAAGCTGGATTTGAAGAGCTGGATTTGAAGGGCTAGATTTGAAGAGCTAGATTTGAAGAGCTAGATTTGAAGAGCTAGATTTGAAAAGCTAGATTTGAAGGGCTAGATTTGAATGGCTAGATTTGAAGAGCTAGATTTGAAAAGCTTCTCATTTACATTTCATCTAGATTTCTTACACCACATTAAGCTTGACAATAAATCCTCTGACTGGAAAAGGAAACAAACCTCATTTCCCCACACTTTCGCGGGCATCGGCTTCAACATGCTCGTGTCCATTGTTCGAGTATCCTAGAATAAGTGTCAAGTGGTTTAGGTACGGTAGAAATATGCAGGGTGTCAAATAAAAAAAGAACGCTTTCAAACCGGTATTCTTCAAAATTGGCGGCGGAGCGTCATAGTGAATCATTTGTGCTCTAAAATTTTTCATATTTTTTCACGAAAACATCATCACTCGGTAGGGGGATATCATGAGATTATGGATGCCACCATGGTCACCACCACAAGACCATCAATAGGATAAAATGTTTACCATAAAGTGGAGGCTTTCTACTGACATCGTGGTGTCATATTAGAGCTAATATGTAAACTAAGATTATTAACCAAACAGATTATTAGTCTGGTACTTGCACTAATCTCTTATAAATAAGGTCCTTTCAACTCACCGTCTTCAAAGAGAGGTCTAGTTTTTCCAAGAAACTTCTATTCAAGAAGTTGTTTGGTTAATAATCTTAGTTTACATATTAGCTCTAGTATGACACCATGATGTCAGTAGAAAGCTCCACTTTATGGTAAACATTTTATCCTATTGATGATCTTGTGGTGGTGACCATGGTGGCATCCATTAGCTCATGATATCCCCCTACTAAGTGATGGCTTTCGTGAAAAAATATGAAAAATTTTAGAGCACAAATGATTCGCTATGACACCACACCGACCACCGCTAGCCAGTTTTGCAGAATACCAGTTTGAATTGAACACCCTGTAATACAATTTTAAATTTAAATCATCCCCACCTGATCGAATGTCTTCTCATATCGATTTCCATTCACGACGATTCCCTGTCGACTTTTCTCAAGTTTTCCCTTCTCGAAATCCTCCAAAAGAGATTTTGAGCTCTGAAAATACTTTATTATTTATCTTTTCTCAAATCTAACTCCTCCAAGTGCTCGAATGAATTCTTCAGCTCCTTCCTCGTCATCAATATAATCCTCAGCTTTCATCTAAAATGGTTTTTTTTTGATTCTACAGCTTTTTACTCACCTTCTCGACACGAGACTCTTGAAGATTCCCACGAGTCAGTTGAGCATCGGCCTGTAAAATTGGATTTTAAACTCGTTTGACTCTTTCTTAAGAACTAGAAATCCGATATTCTTGAGTTAAGTTCGTTTTCGAATTACTTACATTTGGTGCCGGGAGTTTATCGTTCAAGTTCAACATGTGTTGAGCCTTTCGGATCATCAGCGTTGGGTATTTCATCCATGTTGACTGAAAAGGTGAAATCATACTCATGTACTGAACACACCCGGTCTGGCACACTCAACTCTTTTATTTGACATGAAATTAAAGAGAAGAAAACTTGGAATCTAGTGCCAGAAGAAGTGCGTTTCATTTTTTGAGCACAAAAACATGTAGAACAAGATTTATCGGTATCGTGTTGGCTTTTTTATAATCCAACTTCAACTTCTTCAACTCACCTCAACATTCACCACGAATAACAAAGAAATCAGCAGAAACAATTTCATTCTAGCGCCTTCTCCAATGGGATAACCCTAGGAGCCAAAAAGTGGGGTGAAAATAAATCGAAGAGGTGATCTTCGCTTTTTTTTTCTTTAAGAAAGCACTCCCAGACCGTCCTCCCAAAAATTGATAAGCTTTTTGAAAAGATAGCTTCTCTTTCTTTCCTTTCTTTCACCCCCACCACTGAATTCGTTGATCCCTTAAAGGTTGTTGAAATGAAAAAAGGACGGGATATGTTCGAGAAGAACTCTAAACTGTATGTTAGGTTAGCGAAAAAGTCCTGATCCCTTTTCACCGTGCTTTTTCTAAATCTCTGAAAATCGAATATGCTATGGGCGTTTGTTTACTCTAGTATACTAGTATTGACCACTGAAATAGCATCATGGTCTTTACCGTTATTTTTGCATAGTTTTGGAAGCAACCTAAAATTAGGTCATTGGCCATTTCTGGCATATTTTGATATGCCATAAAATTTCTATTTTGACTCTAAAAATATATTAGAACGATTTCATGAAAAAGAAAGTTAATAATACTTATGAGAAAGGATCAATGTCTCTATAGACTAACAACTAGTTTCATTGCCGGACTTCATTCGTCGTAGTGGTGCAACGACAATGTGGTTGTCTCTGGAATTAGAGACCTGGGTTCGATCCCATCCCCCGGTGGACCAGTTCATGGGCCCAGGTCCTTAATGCCAGAAGTCGTCTTCGCCTTCTCGTCACCGCCAGAACAAGCTATCTAGAGACCGTCCAATAAGATTAGGGATCAGGGAGCCGCCGGGAATGTACAGGGTGCGGCATAAGTATGGTTACAGACTCAGAACCGTGTATCGTAATGAAATATGAACGGATTCATGTAAATTTAATTTAAAATTAACAACAGTAATCATATTCATTTAAAAATAACAAATTATTCAATATGGGCACCTTTATTCTTGATAACGGCTTTAAGACGCTTTGGATAACTTTCCACGGCGGCCCGCAGGGTACTTTGTGGAATTTCCGCCCAGGCTTTCTTCAGAGCCTTTTTCAGACTTTCAAAGTTTGCATGTTTTGTTGTGCATGCTTTTGCTCCAAAATTGCCTAAACACAGAAATCCATAACACTCATGTCGGGCGAATTAGCTGGCCATTCATTGGCGGGAATGAAGTCGGGCAAATTGTTTCGACACCACTCTTGAGTCTTTTTTGCTTTGTGCGCTGGGGCGCCGTTTTGCATCAACGTCCAGCGCTGATTTTGATAATCTCCTTGACTCCACGGCTGTGCATGTTTTGTGAGAACGTCCAGATACACGTCTGTGCTAATTTTCAGCCCTTTATTAACGAAAATCAGCGGTTGCTGACACCTCTGCAAAAACCATGACTCCTGCTGGATGTGAGTTCGTGTCCACAAATCGGTCACTTTCATTTGCTTCTTGAGGGCTGTGAGCCAAAATTCGATCATTTTGAGAGTTGAAAACTTGCTCAATGTTGACTAATTTCTCGTCGGTAAAAAGCATCGTCAGACGCTCATCATTTGCGGCCCTCGCAAGAAGAAGAGCACATTTTTGCTTCGTGTTTCTCATTTGAAGATCCGTCAGGCCATTATGCTTCCTTAACTTGTAAGGGTGAAGACCCAGATCCTTTTTGACGATACGACGGATAGTTCTATCAGAAACATTCAATTGGGGAGCCATTTTTCTCATGCTCCGGGCAGGATTGCGCTTGATTCGTTTCTTAATGATTTTCTTGAGTCTCGTGTGATCAATTTTTGGCGGACGTTCACTTTTAGGAAGCTCTTCGACTCTATTTTGTTGCAAAATGCGGTATACCGTCATTCGATGCATTTTCAGCAGTTTGGCAATATCCGAAGTTGATCGTCCTTGTGCTCCAAGCTGAAGAATAGCGGCACGGTTGGGAGAAGCCTTCACCATTATGTCCAAACTTAAAAATTTGCTTAAAAACTCCCACATAATATAAAAAAGCATTCAAATTAAGAGAAAATAATCCTTTGGCAAGAAATAAAAATCAATCAGTTTCTTAAATCAATGTTACAACCTTGTAACCATACTTATGCCGCACCCTGTAGACGTGGGTTAAGTTAAGCTATAGCCTAGGATTGTGTGTGACGAATTGTGATTATAAACCACATCTAAAGTCGCCGGTGTATATCTTATTGCATTTAAAAGAGTGGATTTTTCTAGCAAGATTAATCGAGGTCAAATTATCCAAGTGGCTGTGATAGATCGACATTAATAGAACCTATAGAAAAGATAAGAAATAAAAATTCCGCGAATTAGATGGATAGTCTTAATAAGTGTATAATAAAAGGCAAATAGATTTCCGATCAATTAGGTTTATCTAAAAATGAGGATTGTATTGCTCGTAGGCATCTCGAAAGGTTTAAATGATAGTGTAAGTTTGCGGCGATCGCTAAAAACCTCAGCAATTACTAAAATATCAATTGTTAAGCTTTTAGTTTTGTTAATATTAGGTTGATGCATAAGTCTTTTCGTTCCTTTTCGTCTGCCGTTTCAAGCCAACAAATGCACCAATTAAACTACGGTTGATTTCATTAGAAAAAGCAATTATTTTTCTGCAAAATAACATTAAAACGGGTTTAAAAATATTTAATGCCTGGATTTTCTTGAGAGTATGAAGTCGGGTAGTCAAAAAGGGCTAACTCGATGATGCGGTTTAGACACCTTAGCTAAAGAAAACCTATCTTCGTGTCAATAGATAAAAGATAGAGAAAAAAAAGTTTGATATTTCGCCAAAATTTCAGAGAAATTCATTCAGCCAATTTTTCCGTAGAGTTTTTTATAGATTTTTACGAAAAAGCCGTTTTTCACTCTCGAATTTGCTTGAAAGTGAACCGAAATTGATTTTAAAAGATGCAAATTGAACAAAAAAACACTTTTTTTATAGAGCAAACTATAGATTAATTGGTGAATTTGTTACTTTTTAACAGAAGTACGAAAAAAACGAAAAGACTTATGCATCAACCTAATATTATACATCAAAACATAAATAATAAATATTATACATCAAAACATAAATAATAAATATAATAAATATTATACATCAAAACATTCTTTATTTCTCGTATAATAGATATTTTTCAGTATCATCACCAGCCACCCTTATTCAATCAAAATATAAAAGAAAAATGTGTATTTAAGTCTAACAATCAATATTTCTAACAGCTAAGAGCTAACAATCAATATTTCTTTATATGTTAATTAGATAAATTAGATTGTTAATTAGATATGTTAATTAGATAAATTAGATTAAAGTGAGAGAAAAGTGGCCAAATATGGAGGGAGTCATTTTCTCTAATAGGCACAAAACCAATCTTGCAAAAATGATCAGAAAAATCTGTAGGTTTTAAGCTGCAAAGTTTCCCGAACTTTATATTCTCTAGTCATTGTCTCAAGTTATTTTCTTCTTTTCAAGAAATTAGCTTTTGATTTAGCGACTTTGATTAATGATCGAGGATTAACAAATTTTCTTGGCTACTTCAACAAGGTCCAGCTTTTGTTTATAAAATAAGAGTACACATTTTACTCAATTCCAGCTTTTCTTTATAAGATAAGAGTACACATTTTAAGAATACAATAAATTACTAAAATGTTATACTTGTAAATAGTTAATGCCTTTGATAAATAGGAGCCAGGTTTTTAAGATCTTACAATGCAAAAAGTGGTCAAGACTTTTGTTATAGAAACCATGGTTGACTGATGGTCGAACCAGTTGGTTAGACTCGTGAATCAACTGAAGCTAGACTTATTATTAGTCTAGTTTAAACTGATCCGGAAAATTTGTGAAATCATTTAAATTATTTAAACTACTGCCTAACTGATTCTAGAGAAATGTATTTTTCTCAATAAACCTTTCTTAATCAGAGATTTCTTGGTTTTTTAACTTGAGTAAATGAATGTTTTTCAATCAGAAAACATTAAACTTTTCAATTATTAAATAAACACTAAAGCTTTTATAAGTTTATAAGCTTTATAAGTTTTAGTCGTAAAAATGTTTGTGCAATCGCAGGCCAAGGGAATTTTTTAGCAAAAACGAGGTTGGTGAAGTTTGGATCCTTCTTCAACAAGCCCATTCAGTTTTGCGTGTTCCAACACATCACCAACTGTCCCTCCTTGACATTTTCCTTTACCACCACAATCGATAATCTCCTAAAATCTTATTTTACTTAATACTTCAGTATTATTAGAGTAAGTAGATGGATAAAATTCTTGTGGAAAAGGAGTAAAAATTTCTTTCGTCAAAACTCGTCAGAACAAGGTTTACTTATCATTTGAATCGTTTAACTTCATCAAAACATCATCTCAATTAACTCAATGGCTTAAAAGCTTGAGATTATGCAAAGTTTTGAGTATATTTTGTCTTTGATATTTGTGGCGAAACCATTGTCATCGGCCATTTCCCCTTCTTTGCCACGTTGAAGCGCGGAAAATTTGTGGAATCATTTAAATCATTTAAACTACTGCCTAACTGATTCTAGAGAAATGTATTTTTCTCAATAAACCTTTCTTAATCAGGGATTTCTTGGTTTTTTTAACTTAAGTAAATGAATGTTTTTCAATCAGAAAACATTAAACTTTTCAATTATTAAATAAACACTAAAGCTTTTATAAGTTTTAGTCGTAAAAATGTTTGTGCAATCGAAGGCCAAGTGAATTTTTTAGCAAAACGAGGTTGATGAAGTTTGGAACTGATTTTGTTATCATTTTTTTCATTATCAAAGAAATATTCTTTAAGCTAAGCTAAATGTTTTGCTTGAAATCTGTAAAAACAAGCTAATCTCTCAATAGTCAGGTGAAAATTTTCAAATTAAAAAGAAAAATGTTCAGGTGAAATCGAGAAAGTTGTGATTTCACAGAAAAATCATCCATCCAAAATCATCCAAGTTTATAGGAAAAGATTTGATTTTTTTTTTCTCAATAAATGCTTTCTTTATTTACTAGAATTGTTTTTATTTGAAATTCATTTTGAAAAATACAAAAAAAAAACATAAAACAATGACTGAAATCACTGAAATCACTGCAAACATTGCAATTATTGACTCAAAATTGTCTTTATCTTTTTAAATGATCTTAATTCTTATTTTATCTAAGATTTTTTCGTGTTTACGTTTTTAGATTCTTTTTTGAATCTTTTATTCAGTTCAGCTATGCTGCATGAGTTTCAAATTCTTGGAAAAAACATGACAATATTCTTAGCCGTTCTTGCTGATGTTCAATTTTTGGAGGTGAGTGGTCTGATTAATTTTCCTGAGGAAACTTTTGGTATGCTAGAGATTGTGTGTGTTTCTATGTTGACATAACACAAAGCACATTTAAAGAGCAAGTGAAGCCTTTTGTCAAGCCAACGATCACTTTTTTCAGGTTTCCCCGTCATTTCTCTATTCCGTTTACTCAATCACTTTCCTTGTGATGATCGTTGAAATTATTTCCATAATTTTATTCATCCCATTCATTTGGATGATCGCTAACTCATCAATATTTCATTATAATTTGATTCGAATCTTTCTCTTCATATCCGTTAATATGTTTTTCCTTGAGATTTCCGTTTTCTTTTTGATCTTTTATCAATTAGGTTATCTAAGGATTCATGGTAAGTTTTAAAATTTAAATTATTGAGTTGGTGAATTGAAAACTGCGGGACTTTGAACTAAAATTTATTCAACATAAAACCATCAATCCATTCGAAATAATTTCCATTATTATTGACGACTTCTGCCCATTTTACAGGCAGTTTGGGGATTCCTCTTTCGTGATAGGATTTTGGTTTTGAATCGAAAAACTTTTCAAAGCCAATTTCTGACTGCTTCTTTCGAATCAAAGTGTTCTCCCGCAAGCTCATTACCCATGATCCGGAATAAATAGTAATCAAAAGGGTCGAGGTCCGGACTGTCTGGGGAATGCGCCAAAAGTTCCCAAACAAGGCTATTTATTTTAGAGCGAGTCAGTTTTGCAACATTGATTCCTCTTTCGTAGTAGGATTTTGGTTTGTGTGTGAGACAAGTGTGAGACTCAAAAATGGAGGACTGGAGATGTCCCAGTTTGAGCACTTTCTTCAAAGGAAACCCATTTTGGTGTCAATGGAAAAGTTGTAGAGAAACAAAAATTAGGCTTATAGCCAAATTTCCAAAAAGCTACACTTAGTAGTTTCGCTTAAAATGCAAGTTTTGTGAAAATTCGTAAATTTAGCATTTCTTGAAAACGAGTTTTTGAATCGTTCTGAAAATTTGGATATAAGCTTGATTTTTGATTCTCTACAACTTTTCCATTGACACCAAAATGGGTTTCTTTTGAAGAAAGTGCTCAAACTGTCATATATGACAATAGCCCGCAGTTTTTAATTCACCAACCCAATATTATGAAAAGTTTTAGTTTCAATATTCTCGGATTTCTTTGGCGTTTTCTTATCACTTTATTCCTTCTTTGTGGTGTTCATCGAAGCATTAATTGTACAGGAAATTACTTTAGAGAGGTAACATTCATGAATAAACTAGTTTAGTTATATCTTCAAATCTTTTAAAGCAAGAGCAAGATTTGATGATGTTCGTGAAGCTAAATCCTAATCGTATTTTATTATCAGAAACGGATTTATTCTTGAAATGATGAATTACTTTTTGGCTTTTTTTAACCACTCTCCAATCATTTTTTCTATGCGCTGGTTAATGCTAAAAATATGCTTTATAACTTAAAAAATCATCCATTTTCTCTACTTTAATTTGATATTTAATCGTGTAGAAACAAACGTACTAGTGCCAAGATATGAGCGCTTGTTTGAGAGTAAACTTCGAGCTCCTATAGAGCTTTTCTATTCTACGATATCTAGAATAGAAATTCCGCACCAAGAGAACAATTTTTGAGAAATCCATGGAAAATTACCCTTTTAAGTAAATGATTTCAGAATATTCGCCACTTATTTCATTGCTGACTATGAGCAGCGAAAGCGTCCACAAATTTCTTTTCTAATCTTACTCATTGTCATCATTTTAAACATCAGTGCTGCAATTTTCACGTTATTTGGTAAAATATACTTTTAATTTCTATAAACTAAGCTATTCAGCTTTTGCTTTTGACATTGTGACAACAATTTGCATCGCCTCACCTGCTTATATTGTCATGGCTTTGGTAACAATATATGTAAGCTTTTGCAATGTTAATTCTATGCTTATCTCTCATCGATCATGTAGTTTTTGTGGTTTTGCGTAAAGATCATCTAGATTCTCTTGAGTAGCAATATATATTTCAGGGCTACAAGAAATTGCATGATTACAATGAGAAATTGCGCACACATTTGTCGAAAGATCACTGCGGAATCGAGTACAATTTGTCGCTTCGTTTTCAAGTTGACGAGAATTTGAGGGCACTCAAGGTGGGGATTTATCAAGAATTAAAAGAAAAATATATTTATTCACACGAATAATTTGGGACAAACAAGTAAAAGCTCCAAGCCCTAAATCAAGAAAAAATTTATATGGAAAAAAAAAAGAACCAAAAGGTGACAGGTGGGTTTGAACCCTCGAGCTTCCGGCCAAGAGATAGGGCTCTTATCCAATCGGTCATAAGGGCTATGTCCAGTCTAGCTCTAAATCTTGGTTCATACCTGGCTTCTGGTAGGCTAGGCCTTGGATTGGCAAACTAACAACACTATTTTGTATTATTTCTTTTTTTCTTTCAAAATCTACTTTAGCTAAGCCTAGGGAAATGACTCAATCGTAATTTCCGATGCAATTCTGATTCTTTTCCTTTCATTTCTTCAAAAACCCACCTTTCAGCTCCTGCACACTCTCCTCATCACTCTCTCATTTCTCAATTGTCTCGGTGCGATTTTTGGTGTGATCACTTTTGCAATCTTTGACCAAACATCAATCCCCGCACAGATTTTGGGATCTCTCTTCGAGCTATGGATTGTCTTGTAAGCTTGTAATAAAACCCTAAACTTTTCTCATTCTAGATATACACTTTTCTTTCTTTTCACTGTTTTATATTCTGTTGATGAATGGCGTCATCATTATGTCGATATTTGGAGAAATATTTTCGGTCTTCAGCCAATCGAGATTCGTCCTGAGAAACGATCGAGAGACTCTGAAACAACTTTATACTTTGATTATTATAAACAAAATTGGTGAACAAGAGAAATGAAAGACGATTCAAGTGATTGAAAGACAAGTGAGTCTTACAATAGTAAGACTCACTTGTCTTTTATATTATTATCTCAATACTATTACTATTACCTCTTACTCTGACAAGTCTGTCTATTGAGTAACTCAATCGTAATGTTACAATAGCCAACATAATCATAAGATTAATTGAAGATAATAACAAAGATTTATAAAATAATTGGCTTGAAGATCAGGATTCGTTACTAAAGCTGCCTTTAAAGCCTCTACCAAAGCTTTAAGCTTACTTTAGAGCGTCTGGGAAGAGTTTTTTAGTTATAATTTGTTTAATTCTTATATTATATTAATTATTACACTAATTATTACATTAATTATTATCTTAATTATTATATTAATTATACAATAAATTATGTATAGCTAGCTGAATTGAAGGGCTCTGTTTGAACGAATTTGGCGATCATCAAGCAAAACAAACGAGAGTCAATTGATGGAAGATTAAGATTATTTGGTACTATGCTTATTGTATATTATTTTTTACATTTATAGCCAATCCATCTCTATTCATTTTTGCAATAATAAAGCAAAATCAAAAGATTTATAAATCCCAGAAAAGTTTGACAAAACAAAAGCAAAAAAAAAGGAAAATCATTTGGTAAAAAGAAACATTGAAAAGCTTTTCTTAACAATTTTTAATAGAGAAAAGTGACCAAATGACCGATTCGCCGGAGAGATGTCGACGAGCGCTCATTCAAGCGCTTGTTAAATGAGTTGTATAAGTCCAATCGGGATGTAGATAAATGTAGATAAATGGTAGATAAATGATAGATAGATAAATGTTGCCGAGAATTAGGCCTACAATTCTCTGTATAACACTTGTCACTTTTGAAATCAATTAGACATTTCCCAGATACTTGTCCAAAAAGTTGTAACGGTAATTCTTGGTCACCCTGTATATTATTTTTTACATTTATAGCCAATCCATCACTATTCATTTTTGCAATAATAAAGCAAAATCAAAAGATTTATAAATCCCAGAAAAGTTTGACAAAAGCAAAAGCAAAAAAAAGGAAAATCATTTGGTAAAAGGGAAAATTTTACAAAAAACATGACTTAGAATTGACGATATAGTGAAAATGAAATACCCGAAGTTTTGATGCAAAAAAAATTACGATTAAAAGAATTAGAGAAATTAGAGAATTTCTAAAAACAATGAAAAGCCACATTTGGATACCAGTAACAAAAAGTAGGAATTGTATTTGAAAAAACGGAAATCTTACAAATATTTAAACAAGACAAATAGTGTGGTGAAAAGTGAAAGCGTTGTGAAAAGATTTTGCGATGAATTGCACAAATCCTGTCCACAGCAACAAATATAGCCGATATTTGGGATCTGCTGACATGTCTCGTGAACGCGATAGTTTTCACAAATCGATGAAACACCACTCCCGTCACAGTAGCGAACCTGGAAATCGGGTTTTTGGAGGAAAAAAGCAAAAGAATTGGCGCCAAGAGGAGTCGAACCTGCGACTCCTCTCTTTCGTTCGTTTGAAAGACGGTACGTTAACCACTCGGCCAGCAGATGGCTCAGTGCGAGCCCACTTTTCTCTAGTCCAGACAACCCGGGTTCGACTCCCGTTCGCGTCAATACTTTTGGTTTTTTAAAAATTTAAAAATATTTTACGAAACTACATGAAAGTCTAAGCCAAACTAACTATAAATCATTTGAAATGGTCCTCTTGGGACTGAGAAATAGCGACAGGCAGACAGACAGACGTCTTAGTCCCTTTATATAGTAGATTACAGATAATTCTAATTATCTAGCTATTACAGATTCTAATAGGCTTTATAAGAATTCCCTTTACCTAAGATTCATCAGAAAATTTCCATTTCAAATGCAATTGCGGTGTTAAGAGGCGATTCGATTCGATTTGATGCTTAAGTGCATTCGCCCGGTTTTTCCCGAAAGAAAATTTTTGTATTTTCCTTCAAGGCTAATGCAAATCATCAAATTTACATATAGAAAATGATTCTAGAGCTTTGTCACTTACCGTATCCGTCCCAAGTGTTTGCTTGATACACGAGAAGGCGGGACATTCGATCACTTGCAGTTGACTGCCCGAATAGCATTGAATCGAGAGGGCACAAGTCAGTAAAGATGAGGAAATAATCAGCAATAACCAGGGAGGACGATTCATTTTCTGAAAATGATCAATAGTGAATGAAGAAGAGAAATCAAATGGAGAACACAAAGGAAAATAGTGAGTGCAGGAAGAGATCTGGAATCTTGGATCTTGGAATCTTGAAACTTGGAATCTTGGGTCTTGGAATTCAAGGCTTGAATACTGATAACTTATTGACTTTAGAAAGGGATATTGGAAGGAGCTTTGTGCTAAGTCTAGTATTAGATTTATCAACATCAGTACCATTAAAAAACTGATAGTTTTCCTGGTCTCATTGGATCGAAAAGCATTACTTTTACTACTCGTTTTCCCTTAAAAAAAACCCCCCAAAGCGGATGATGCATTGGAAAATCGTGAATACGGATGCCTAATTCAAAAGTCACTCAACAAATTAGCCGACTCCCGTTTCTATTGAGGTGAATTGATGTGAATTGATGTGTCATTTCCACACAATTTTTTGCATGTATTTGTTTAGAATTCGATGACATATTGTCACTCAATCTCAATGGAATTTCACCACATCGTATTCACCTCATTTTGGGGAAATTGGGGAATGGAGAAAGTCAATCATAAATCCCTCTCTTCGTGTACTTCAAGGTCACCAAAAGGGGATGCATATCTTAGATTTCAATAAGAAACAGAAAATTGACACAAAGGCAAATGGAAATATGCGGAAAAAGTAGAAAAATACAAATGAAAGCCTTTTCTTTGCTCAAAGCAAAGAAATGAGCAACAAAAGAGCAACAAATGAGCAAACAATGTTTTAAACTATATTAAATTAGCTAATGATATTTCAGAATATATCCGATTTATAGTCTACATTTTGCTTCAGGATTTGCATTTGAATCTAAAATTTTTGTGTTGATGTTTTAAAAGATTTAAAAGAATCTCGGAATCGGACTATTGCTGCTGGCATCTTTAGAAATTTCGAGGTGAAAAGAAGAAGCAGTAAAATAGAAATAAGATAAAGCACAAAGTATTGTCAGAGCAGGCAAAGGGTGTCAATTTACTTTTTCAGATCTGATTATAAGCGGAAAAAATAAAAATGAAAATCATTGCTCTACCAGAAACAAATTCCTTGCACCATTAGACTGTAGCATAAACGAGTTCGATTATCGATGAACTGGTTTTGCGCTTATTTTTAGTCAATAGATTATCTAAAAGGTGTCAATTTACTTTATCACATCTGATTATAGATCTAATGTCAGATCAGCTCTGTTTTGCGACATATATAGTGGCGCTTAATTCATCTTTTTGACTTTCTAAAACAATACATTAGCCTGAAAGAACAATTAATCATAAAATCTATGCGTAGTTTTACATAGAATAGAAGAACTGTAATATTTTTTGAACAACTTTGACAACCCTAGTCGAGCAGTACAAAAAAATGCTATGCTGGAATGCTGAAAAACAGTTAAATTCTAGTTTGGGATCACTAAAAAATCGTCTTTTTCCGTTTTTTTTCTGCATTTTAGAGTTAATTACTATAAAAAAGTGCCTTTTGAAGGGAGCAAAAATTGCCTAAGCCTAAGCTTTTCTGCTATCGATCTGCAACCTTTCGCATTTGGTCGATCATAGCATAACACTCCTTCGGTTTCGAATCAAAGAACTCTTCGCAAGCTTCTTTAACTTCTTCAAAAGTGTTTCCGTTTCCAGCAATAGTGGAACAAAATTCGAAGCTCTTTTTCTTGCAAACTCATCCGCAATACAAAGATCAAGATTGGTACAACAGTATAAGCGCGAAAAACCCAGCAAAAAATGCATAAAGAGTGAATTTTTCGCAACTGAGTCAAAACTTTTTCTTTAACCTAATATCTAAACGAAAAACTGTCAACTTTTTAAGAAAAAGAGCTTCGAATTTTGTTCCACTATTGCTGGAAACGGAAACACTTTTGAAGAAGTTAAAGAAGCTTGCCAAGAGTTCTTTGATTCGAAACCGAAGGAGTGTTATGTTATGATCGACCAACTTTTAGTTTTTGAGAAAATCATACTTTTGTAAAGTGCCAGAGAAGAAAATATATGCCACATAAGCGAAAAAAATAAAAATGATACACAACAGAGAACTGATGAAGACTCCTGAGAACCAGAAACAAAAATCCATTTAACCCTTATGGCAAAACAATCAAGAAACAGTTATTAAACGGGATTTCCCTTCGGATTTGGGGATGAGGAATGAATAAAGGAGAAGAAAGAGACGTGAATTGAGGACATAATTCTGACTTTTCCCCTTCTTTCCCCATTTTCTTTTCTTTTTCCCTCACTCACCTTGTCTGTCTCTTTCTTTTTCTTTTCTTTTTCTTTTCTTTCTCCAATCGCTTCTTTTTGCCGCTTGAGGGCGTGCAATTTGCGACCCATAGTGTGCGCGCCACCAACCACAACCATATAAAGCAAAAGAGGAAAAGAAAAGGTGTGCTCGATTGGTTTGAGAATGGGAAAAGAATTGGATAAGGATTTGTGCACTCCAATCCGTTAACCCTTTTATCCATCCGGAACCGGATAGAGCGTTGACGAGAATGGTAATTTTGAGAAAAGTCTTGAAGAGTCAGAAGAGAGAATACAGTCAAGAGTATTCTTGTTTAAACAAGTTGAACAAGAAGCTCTGGTTTGACTAGGATTTGATCAGAATCTCTGGAAAGAAAAGCTTTTTTGATCTTGATCTGATTGCTGTTTGTCTGGTTGGTTTAGTTTATGGCAAAAACATGGCATTTGTTTGAATTGATCGAACAGCTCACTCACCATTGAATTAGTTTCATTTTAAACAAAGCTTAAGGCTTCTTTAATGAATCTATGTATCTAAAAACGAAGAGCTAAGCAGAAAAATATGTTCTAGTTGTCTACATTCGGGGTCTGTCTATCGAGGCAAAATAAGGTGCTAATTTGGGTGTGTCCTGATGAGGAAAAAGGGGAGGGGATGATGAGGTGAATGAAAGAAAAGAAAAGGAAAAGAAAAAGGAAAAGCGAATGACTTCTGGAGAACAAATTGAGGCAAATGAAATGGAAAATTGGGTGTATTAATGAGTCAAAGATAAAGATAAAGACAAAGATAAAGACAAAGATAAAGACAAAGATAAAGACAAAGACAAAGACAAAGACAAAGAAAAGACAAAGACAAAGTTAAAAACAAAGACAAAGCCAAAGCCAAAGCCAAAGAGAAAGACAAAGACAAAGTCAAAGACAAAGACAAAGACAAAGCCAAAGCCAAAGCCAAAGCCAAAGACAAAGAGAAAGACAAAGACAAAGTCAAAGACAAAGACAAAGACAAAGACAAAGACAAAGACAAAGACAAAGGCAAAGACAAAGACAAAGACAAAGTCAAAGATAATAAAAGACAGAATCTATTCAGAAAAATCGACTAGATATGAATAGAAAATTTTCGGAAAGGAAAAGATTCACTTTGGTAAAACGAATTTCCATAAATCTTAAGCGATCAAAATGTGTGTTGTTTGTGGCAAACAAAAAGATTTCTTTTCATTTGTGTCATTCTTTTCTTAGGGTAAACAGAAGGATGAAAGCCGAGGGAATGGATAGACGAACCCGGAACAAGCGATCCCCAATGTCTATAGAAGACATATGTAAAGATGGAAAGAGAGACTCGATTAGATTACCATTCGATGAGCTAGACGATAGAATTCCGATAGAATTGAATTCCGTTTTTGAAAACACCGAAAAAACTACTATTAATGGCTGAAGGAGAGCTGTGGATTATTTCCAATCGATCAACTTGTTCCCTTGTTCCCCGAAGTTTCTTCAATACTTTTCTTCAATTCTTTAGTAATTATAATCTTTAAAATCCCAATATTCCCCTTAAATAGTCAAATGGCATTAATGTTTTCAATTATGAATTTATCTATTAAAAAGAGAATCGTAATTTCACTCCAGTTTCACAGTGTCAATAATAAAAGTTAGATAAGAGTTAGAGAAATAAAAATAATAAATAAAAACCAATAGTTAGAATTAGTTAGATAAAAAATCTAATAATCAATAAAATAAAGATAAAAACAAAATCTTTTCTTCATTACTAAAAAATAAAACTATAAAAGCGCTTTTTAAAACAAATCTTTCATGGTTTCAAAATCAAATTCTGCAAAAAAAAAATATCTATAAATATAAGATAATGAGCAATTGGCGGCTGAGGTCATCGGACAACTCAGATATACGAGAGGTGATTGAAGAACAAAGGCAATTACTTAATTACTATACTTTTTTCTATTAGAGCCTTGAAGCAAATCCCCGAAGGGAACCCACCGTAAATACTGTAATAGTACCCCACTCCTATAATGACGGTGCAGAGCGTTGCGTAGTCTAGCTTTGGATGCGTTTTTCTCGACACTGATTTATGCTACAATGCGCGCTTAGGTATCAAAAAATAGCTCTGAATTTCAGCTATTTTTTGATACCAAAGACGCATTTTTTGAAAGTACGGGCGCTTTGAAAAAAATGAAATACTAAAAAACTTTTGCGACTACGCGACTGTACGAGGGGGATGGGGTACTATTACAGTATTTACGGTATATATATAAAAAATCTATAAGTATTTTCACTAACGACTAAAGTAACTCGTTTTCTCAATTCCATTAGAGGAGTGGGTGAAAAAATTCTCAACAATACTCGTTGAGAGAACTTTCCCTTAAGGGGAAAAGTGGTTGTCGAGGATTTTGAGATAAAGGAAAGAGAAGAAGAGGTGGATTAACGTGGGATCGACTCGCGAAAACTTTCCGCATTCTGATTCGAGAAGAACCTGTGGCAAGTGCTTTATTCTTATTGCTGAAATCGTTTTTGAACACGGTTTTTCACTACTTTTTCAAAAATTTACAAACTTTTATCGAAAATACCTCTAAAAAACTTGAACTAAAGCCAAAATCTCATCAATTTAAAAGAAAAGAACTTGTTTACGATGTAAGTAAAGACAAAGAAGAAAGAGTAAGAGAATTGCGTGGGACATGCGAAAGGGAAACGTCCATTCAAGAGAGAAATGGGACACAATTTTTGCCGTTGAATTTTGAATGAATCCGGAGAAGAAACTCTAAGAGAACTTTTTCAAATTCAGCACAAATCAACTCAAAAAGCGGAAAACTTTGTTCCTTGAATATGTGAGTCTTTCAATTTTGGTGTAAACTTTTGAAAATGTTAACCACAATGTAGGTAGAGAAATTTTGAATTTACCTACTTAGATAACCGCAGTCGACTCTCTATATAGCGGAAAGCTCTATATAACGGAAAGCTCTATATAACGGAATGAAATTTTGGTCCTGGTCAACGCTAAACTATATTTAACGGCACTCTATCGTAAAGCTCTATATAAGGGAAAAATTTTTTGGTCCCTTCCATTCCATTATAGAGAAAGTCGACTGTAAATCAGTTTTTGATTACTATTCGATTACTAACTACTATTAGCTATTGGCCTATTGGCCTATTGGCTTTCTCTATAACAGAATGGAATTTCGGTCCTGGCCAACGCTAAACTAAACGCCAAACGCTAAATAACGGCACTCTATCGTAAAGCTCTATATAAGGGAAAATTTTTTTGGTCCCTTTCATTCCGTTATAGAGAGAGTCGACTGTAAGTCAGTTTTTGATTACTATTCGATTACTAACTACTATTGGCTATTGGCCTATTGGCTTATCGGTACTATTGGCTAAGAATCATGAAATTAAAGCAATTTTTCAAAGGCATAAAATTGAAAAACCACAAAATTCCAAAAAAAACCACATAAATTGAACCTTTAAAAAGTGAAATCCGGGTCTTATCATGGGAAATTTAGCCTTAAACCCTTTAGGTCTCAAGAATATGCAAGGAATAGAGAAAAAGAAGAGAAAAATTCCCCCTTGGGAGTTTTCTTGAGCTGAATCCGGATCTTCTCTCTCTCTTTTGACTTCTTAGTGCTCAGGCTTTTCGTCTACTGATTGGAGACACCTTGAGAAAAGAAAAGATAGAGAATATGTATGAGATGAAAAGATGGTAAAAGAGAAAAGCTATGATGAGATCAAACACGACATGACAACTAATGAAAAAGAAAAGGGAAAGGAATAGGTGAGCCATGAAAACAGCTGTCTTTCCCTAATCGCTTCCATTAGTGTCTAAATATTGGGGCTTTTGAGGCAAATAAATTTGAGCTGTTAAACAGTGAAAAGAGATGCTTTTGAACTGCAGAACGGATTAGAAGTCTACAGTAATCCGGAATACAGTAAATGATAACTACAGTACTTTAAAGGGGTACAGTAGCCTTGAAATTAAAGTAAATGAGAGCTACAGTACTCTGAAAAGGTACAGTAGCCTTGAAATTAAAGTAAATGAGAGCTACAGTACTCTAAAAGCTTTGCTAGGAAACGGCTCCAACTTATTCATAATATAGATATTTGAAAATTGATCTATCAATGTAAGATCTGGTTTGAAAAATCGGTTTTCAAAACTTTCAAACTTCAAACATAATATAATGGCAAATGAAAGCTATCAAATGGTAAAGGTAAGCTTAAAACCTTAAATTGGTCTATCAATGTAGTTGTTGTACTCTAAAAGCTTTCCTAGAAAACAACTCCAACTTATTCATAATATAGATATTTGAAAATTGATCTATCAATGTAAGATTTGGTTTTAAAAATCGGTTTTCAAAACTTTAAAACTTCAAACATAATATAATGGCAAATGAAAGCTATCAAATGGTAAAGGTAAGCTTAAAACCTCAATACTTATAGAGTAATCAAGTTGTTGTGTTGGGAATCAAGGTGCTTGACATCTGTTGAGATGTGAAAGACAAAAGGGGACCATTGAATTGGTGACTATGAAGTAGAATGAATTGGGGAAAGCAATGGCCTGGGGGGAGCTGATTGTGTGAACGGAAGTCCTCCACGCCCCTCCCCAATTCCAATAGGGCCTCCTTGTCCTTTCGTATCTAGAACTCCCTTTTCAATAAGGAACACCACTTCAATACCCCACCCCACCCTTTCTCCTTCTTCTCTTCTCTTTGAGAGTTGATCCCCCGGTGTGTGGAATGAGATTTTCTCCACTACCAACAGCACAACTAGCTATCTATCTCTAGAGGAAAATTTGTGAGTCTAGATTGATATCCATAAGGGAAAACAAAACAGATATAAAAATATCGGTTAAACATGCTAACAAGCGCTTCTGTGCAAGAAATTATAGCTATATTACAGCTACTAGGCCTTGATCTTATCTAGAGTTAATCTAAAATGGTTATCTAGAATGGTCTCTAATCTAGAATGGTTTTTATTGATCAACTAAAACTCCTAGAGCTTTTCTAAATGGTAAGAACTGTTTGTAAAATGATTCTAAGCTTTTATAAGCATTAAAAGTTTCACTGACTCGAAAGAGAGGTAGAAAAAAAGCCAAACAAAGAGACTGATGAATGATTTATCAAAAGTTTAAATATTTATTTTGGAAAAGTTTTTGAAAAAGCTCAACACCAAAAATACCCAATTGAAAGCATTAATTGAAAGCTAATCAAAAGAAAATTTAAAGATGTTCAAATTCCCGTAAACCATAGCTTTCGCTCTTCAAAAGGAGGCCAAACCCATTTGGAACGTTTGAAATGTAAATAAAAAACTTTTGCAAAACTAATTCAGGGTTAAATGAAGAGAGAGTTTGCTGAAAAGAAAGTGGATTGGATCGGTGTGGGAATTGGTACTTGAAATATGAGATCTCTCAATCCTTTCCTTACCGAGCCTCAATTCATCCTTGAGCACAATGAATGAGACACTGTTGGAGTAAAGAAAAAAAAAAGAAGAAATGAGAAACAAAAAGTTACTTCAATATCCACAAACAATATGATTTTAATTTCGATTTTAATTTCGATTTCGATTTCGATTCTAGAATTTTTAAAAGATATTGTCAGCATTCTGTCAGCATGTCAACATGTCAGCATGTCAGCATTCTGAAGGAATCCTTCAGAATATTGACAAGGACTAAAACAAGATTGAACAATTAGTAAACTATTAAAGTAAAACAATCATTTTTTTTTTTTGAAAAGTATAACTTGTTACGAAAGGTAAAAACGAGAAGAGAGTTGAATCAGCTTTTGAGTGAAAGAGGATCGTCGAGGGGAAATTGTGGGGCTCACAGGCCGGTTTTTCCCTTCCTCTTCTTTCTATTCAACTAGTCTCACTCAAAAAAACTTTTATTTTCCCAATAGCATAGAGGATTTAAGGCTTTTGGGGAAAGTAAACGAAAAAAAAGTGAAACAATGATCGTAAAAATATTTCGTTTTTGATGACACTGAAATGAATCACGTGGCTCGTTTACTACGAAAAACCTGGGGATTAGTGTTTTGGTTTTTTCGCAATAGATTTTACACATATATAATTCACAAAAAAAAAGAAAATCAATGTTTTTTTAAGGTTTTCTAATCCTTCTAACTGTTCATCCCTACAAAGCCAATCATTTCTTTCAAATGCAAATTTCCTTTTTCACAAGAAACATAGAGATTTAGAGAGAAGGATAGCTAGATAGATCTAGCTATCCTTCTCTCTAAATCTTTATGTTTACAATTTTTGAAAATATTAAATTAAAAAACTTTATTATTATGGCAATTAAATAAGGCAACGTTCGGGAAAAGAAATTATTAAATTTTTCTTTTGCTTATAATTGTTTGAGGGTTTTGTCGAGCAGATCAAAAGTTAGATCCACATGTTTCTTCTCGTAAACCAATGAGGGACGGAAACTGAAAACGAGAAAAAATTTCATTAATACCTAAGTTGATCGACTTTTATTGTTTTCCCGCGCATCTAACATTACTTTTATTCTTTTTTTTTCATCGCAATTACATTACTTTTACTCTTCTTTTCAGCGTAACTACGCCGGCTTCTAAAAGTTTACCTTTTAAACCTTCTAAAAAAAGTCTAAAACTTAGCCCGCTGTTTTCTGGTTAATTAAAGCTAGTCGAACTTAAATTAGAAGCTAAAAATGAAGAATTTGAAATCCAATTTCTAAACTACTTTAGAAAATTTAGACAATTTTGCCTCAATCTTTTTCAAACTCACCGAAGTGTCTTCTCGCCGCATCCACCGCAATGCAAACCATTGTTTGTTGCCTAAAACAAATTTGTTGTAAATTGTTGATATCAAATAGAAAATAATCAAATATTTTCAGTTTGAAAAAGGTCTTACTTGAGTGACGAGTTTATCCCTGAGTTCAGCCGAGCTCAAGTCGATGGCCGCAAAAGTGGAGAGACCGCGAGCGTTGGCCAATTTGGCCGGATGGGCTTCCTGAAACGTTTTTGCTAGTTTTCAACTTGTTAAGTGATATTTTTTGTTATATTTATTTTTAAGCCTAAAAAGTATTGCCTGTAGTTGATGTAGTTGTTTCTGGAATTCTTTGCCGACCTCAGCGTTCTTCTGGATCAATCCGTCTCGCTTGAGCACCTGGAGTGAAAATTTGTTACGAAAATGTTAAATTCAGCGTTGAAATGCTCACCTTGATGACCTCCTCGAGTAGGAAAAGCTTGGTAGGATCCCCGACCCAAGTATTATAAATTCGATATCCCTAAATTTTCAGATTTATTAACACCTCCGCGACAGGACGGACAGAAAAAGAATTCAAGGATTTTTCAAAGCATTTTGACTCGAAAATTCACACTTGCATGTTTTAGATTCGATTCTGAAAACAGATATCAAAAATTTCATTGAATGAGCAACATTTTGCGGCTCAATCCGACACCAAACGATTGTTGTGTCATTTGTGTCAATGATTTTTTTTTGCATCGCACCTCTTTCACTCTCAAATGATCCGCATAATAGTATCCTCCGGTGATCATTTTTTTCGAGAAAGTCACAATATCTGGTGGGGAGTCCAAATTCCAGTGTGAATGCGCCCACATATCGCCAGTGCCCGTGCATCCGCCGCCGGTTTGAACCTAGAAAAAAAGGAGTGAAAAAGGGTACAAAATCTGACAGCTATTTCAGAGATTTAGCAAAGACTTCTTGTTCGATTTTTGCTTTTCAAAGCCATTTTTTACTGCCAGATTACAGTATTTTAAATCGAACAAGCTTTCTTTCTTAACCCACCTCGTCAACGATGAATACAACACCGTGCTTCTTAGTGATCTTGCGGAGACCCTAGAATTTGAATATCAATAAAATTGTTTAAATACCTAATGTCTAAATAACTAAATAAGCAATGAGTTACTGTAATCAATATGCAAATATTAAAATCAAAAATCAACTTGGAAGAAAGCTGGGCTGCCATAATGATCTCCTCCCTCGGCTTGGATCGGCTCGACGATCAACGCGGCCACTGGCATGTCCTAGAAATATTTGGATATTTTAAATTAAATTATTCCATTAAAAAGTTTGTCTAGATATTCAGCTATCCCAGAAATATTTAATATTTTTATTTATATTTAGATATAAAAGTATTTGCAACCTTCTCATTTCTCCACTTGGCGATCTTGTGCTCGACATCGGCCAAGCATTCCTCGTCCACCTTTTGGTTGTGACTCTAAAAGCAATGCATTCTATACATTCCATATTGACATTCAAATAGTTTTAAAGTTTGAAACAAGTTTTGTTAACTTAATGAGTTTAACGCAATCAAAACTACCTGATACTTATCGAGCGGGTAACGGTATCGGGGGAATTTCGCGATTGGCCAATCGAAAGCGGGAATGTCGACCTGAACAACAAAATGTAGGCCTTCATTTAAAAAATATTTAATCATTTTCTATTATATACATGAATATTATGAATAACCTTATGAATTGCCTTGCTTCGCGTAACGGAAAGCATGCAAAGTGATCGTCCGTGGAAAGATCCCTCGAAGCCCATCACCGCCAAACGGGGAGTGCCTAGAGGAAAATGTTCGTTAAGATAAGCCAAGATATCGTATAGCCAAGATTCAGGGCTTCAATTCTCTATATAACACTTGGTACTATTGAATTCAATTAGGCCTTTGACAACTACATAACAAAAAGGGTGCACCCATAATTTTTTGTCACCCTGTAGTATAGACATGGGCTTTTTATAGAAAACGAGTCAGTTCCACATTTTAGCAAACAGCTCTTGTTTTCTAAAGCGTGGTTACAATGCGATTTCGAGCTTTAGAAAACAAGAGCTGTTTGCTGAAACGTGGGACTGACTTGTTTTCTACAAAAAGCTCATGTATAGTGTAGTGAGACAGAGAACTGGGGCTTACAGTTTCTCTACAAGAATGGAAACCTTGTTTTAGGTCTACCTAATTATAAGCCTCAAATTATAGCATTGTAGATGCCGATATATCGCTATAGCTCATATAGTAAATTGGAGCTTTATAGAGATTTACCTGGAAGCTCTTGTCTCATACACGAGTCGAGCGCCACCTTGTCGGGTCCATTTCCGCCACGTGTGTGATGAGCCATCCACCTAAAAATACTATATATCCTTGAATTAAAAAGTTTACAAGATAATCTATTACTTTCCACATTTGGACATGTAAATCTTTGTAAAAGCTCACCAAATGAAAGCCTGCTTGATAGCGTTTTCGTTGGCCGACGTACCGCAAAGCATCGTTTGGACCAACTGAAATTATGATGCCATTATTTTACTAAATTTTTGAATGAATATCTTCTATCTAATAATTAAATTTAATATCTTTTTTCATAAAGTAACCTTTAATCCTTTTGGAGCAATTTCAGTGAGCGCGTGCTCGATTCCTTCAGGGAAATCGACACGGGGGAATGAGCCGAGAGCTGCCCGAGAAACCAGTGAACTCTGAAGTTTATATTAAAATTATATTTCTATAGTTTATATAGTTTATTTTTATATTAAAGAAGAAGTCATAGATTAGAACTTGATTAGAACTATAGATTCCGGTAAAAATTTTGAGTTTAATAGTTTTAGTAACAACTCACCAAGAATTTCGGTGCAGAGGCTGCTTTGACGAGATCGGGATGGTTGTATCCGAGAGGAAGTGACGAGATCTGTAAAGAAAAGAATTCTAAAGTTCTATCGACTAATATTTTATGGAATCTTTAAATTTTCACATATATTTTAAGCTTTTTAAGTACCTGCGTGTAAATATCAAGCATCTTGTTCCCATCAGCATCAATCATGTAATTGCCGTAACTCTTATCGAAATCGATGAACGCTCTCAATGATGCGGTTTGCTAAAAGAGTTTTTTTTATAGATTTAATACTTTTCTTACATGAATTGAGTTCATTTTCTCCTTGAGAGCCAGGGATTTCGGGCCGGGCACGGCGGTTTTCATCTCGGGCTTTGCCGGCTCGGAGGTGGCCAATGAAGAGTTTAGGCGGCATGCTAAAGAAAAAAAATTAGTTTTATTTTAATCTTTTGGCAAGATGCCTTTTGCTAAAACCCTTTTTGGATACTTTTATGCATTGTAAATTGTACAATACAGTAATTTGCATTGAAATTTTCCCCTTCTCAAGTCTCTCTTTGAAAAACGGGTTTATCACTTGGTGAGATATGCGAAGAATCGTAAACATTAATTCTTTCATTTTCTTTATTATCTTTATTTCTTTCCCCTACTCACATCATTCCATTTTCTGCTCTCAAATCACGTTCAATTCCAAGTTTATCTATAGACATATGGGATGCTTTCCCCTCCACTAAGAACACCCAAACATCAATGCAATTTCTTTTTCCAAACTTTCTCTAATCTTTTTTCAATCTTTTCTCTCGAATAAACCTCTTCATCTTTTCACAAACAGATTTCCCCCAAATTTCCTTCGTCTTTTCAAACAGTTGCCACATGGGTCGATCTCGTGAGAAAAAAAAGAGAGAAACAACGAAATGATTGGTCAACGAAAGAAATCGGGTGGAATTAGACAGTCCAAACGAAATAAGAAACACCTTGACATTTCAGATATAAAAGAGAAAAGCTTTCATTTTCCAAAAGCCAAAACTTTAGGCCATTGCAAACACTCATTCTCTGGCTCAATTAGTTTACTTTTTTCAAACACAACAGCTACTTACAATCAACAGTAAACCCGTTCTCTGCTAAAACACTAATAAAAATTAGGTAATTGACTAATTGCAAGAATCGAATTAGCTCAGCTTTCCCTTGTCAAACCATTTTTTTCATCTACAACTACTTTTTAAAAGTCTCCCGGGTTCAGGTAATATCATTGATATAATCTTTCCTTTTTTTCCTTTTATTCTATCAGCATTGATCTTATCAATGGATGTGTGACCCGGCGAGTAAGGTCAGGAAAAAAAATGATCTAAAATGGAAACCGAGAAAAAAGTGGCGTGACCTTGGAGGGAAACAAATTCTATTATTTTGAGTAGGCTGAACTTGTAAAAATCTAAAAAGCATTAAAAAAAACATTTTCTTAATCAAAGGAAACTTCTCGAGATATTTTTGGGGTTAGCTTTCTTGAACTTTTGATTTTTGATTTTCCGGGAAAAAGATCGGGAAAAGTCAATAGTTTCTTTTTTGTCTCAAAAATTGGAAAACAAGAACCCTCAAAACTCAAACTTTTTAAAAGTACTATATTTTTACAAGTTCAATTCCTTTATCCATACAAACCTGCCAATGTTGCTTTCTGGGGTCGAAGTCGACTGAGCATTTTGACTTTTTGAAGAGGGGACCCAAGTTCGAATACTGAAATGAATAAATATTGACAAGTTAAGGCAATTGAGATTAATCGAAAAGTATTGAGTTAAGAAAGAGGATAATTTCAAGGATTTTAAATTGGCTAATCGTTGAATGCTTTGAGAAAACGGAAGGATTACCGCTCTCAATTACTTCTCAAGCATTCTATCAAAGAAAAGTAGTAACAAGACTAAAATTTGCAATAGTTTCGTCGAAATTTGCATTTGAACCTGTCCCCAGCAGATTCAGAAGTGTCAAAAGAAATTTCAGCTATTCAAAGAATTAAAAAAATCAACAAATGAGTTTTCCAGTAGCACTAAGATTTTCAACAGGTCTTAAATTCAAGATAAAATCCTAACTAGCAGCCGAAAAGGTCATTGTTTTCAAAAAAAAAAAGAGGGAAGGTGAAAATGAAGTGAAAATCCTCGTGTGGGTTTGCCCCATCAACAAAAACGTATTTGTTAGTCGGTTCTTTTGGGAAGGCAATCCGTGTGAGAGAATGAGAAAGGGTAAGTGAGAAAAAGAAAAGGAATGAGAGATGAAAAGAATCACAGAAAATTTAAGGAAAGAGGGCGAAAGTGAACAAATCAGTGACCAAAAGAGAAGAGATAGAAGATAAAAAGAAGAGAGAAAAACGCAAATAGCAAAAGGATGGGGAAAGGCATCGGCAATTACTCTCAAATCGACTTGAGAAAAGGGGGAAAAGAGGGAAAAGAGGGAAAAGAGAACATCACCCGACATAATATCACAAAAATCCGGGTTTTGGAGATTTTCTCGACTTGATCAGTGTCAATAATGTTAAAACTTCAAACGATTTACCGGATTAGGGAAAGAACAGTGCTACTTTGTGGAATTTGTCAAAATCCCAACCCAAGAAAATTTACCTGTTTGACAATATCTTTTGAGGAATCGAATGCAAATCAAATTTCGAGATGTGGTCTAATTTTTTCAGACTCAAGTTTGAGCTAATATACGTTTGCTAATTCAGATCACACCACAAGTCTCCAAAAATTTCTTATCTAGAAAAGACAGAAAGCGAATAGAATTGTCTACATTCCCATTGACCCTTGGGGGTCTTTTATACAGCTGTTTCCCCCAATCCACAAGGAGCTCCAAGCCTTGTGCAATCGGGAGAAAATTGCCTGAAATCTTTTGTCGTATCGCTCGGAAATCAAAAAAGACCAAAGGCTGAGAAAAGGCAATGAAAAAGCCGCCGGGTCAAATGGGTGTAAAAAGTAATGATCGGAGAGAGAAAAATCCCCATCCCAAGTTCACATTTTGTGTCTACCTTGGTTTCTAAATCATTATCAACCTTGAAGTCAAAAATTGAAAGCAAAAAAGCCAATTGAAATCAAAAATAAAAGCATAGAAAAGGTTTATCAATCTAGAAAAAGATCTATAGACACTCACAAATTAACGAGCAACGAGAAATAGTCGTTTTCATTTGATCACTATGGTCACTTTTTCAACGTCAGATTCGCGATGATTCTCGTATAAGTCCATCACCTCACGCTGGTTCCGATTGAGTGCACAAATCTTCTGGTATGAGGGATGAGTGGGATGTATTTTGAATGCCGATGACCATGACTAAAATTGATATATAGCATGCAAATGGTTTAAGTGAAAGAATATAAAAAGCTTTAAAACCGTGACAAGTCCAACTTTATTCTTTAGCACCAAAAACCCCACCCCAAGCTCCATTTTCATTAGAAAAACGTTGTGAACAAAGTAGTAAAGGATGATGAGAAGACTCGCGTTACCCCAAAGGTAGCCCAAGATATTGGCAAGTTGTGGATACGTGTAAGTACTAAAGCAAAAATGTTATGATTAATTGTTATGGTCAGAATCATTTACTTGAAAATTAAACTAAAACCCGCCTGTCTCCCCTTCCATATGTCAATTTCGGTGGAAAGCCCGCAATATAAATGATAACCTGAGAATTTAATTTATTAGAGAAAAACCAAAGCACTTACCGCGCAGAAAACTGGAGTCACAAATTTCCAAATCAGCCAGTACAAAACTCCAGATTTTCCAAAGATCACACTAAAACTAGAAACTAAAACTAAATGGGGAAACGTACGAAAGCCAGCAACTAGGTGGTCCAAACACTGAGCGAAGATCCGAACGTAAACGACCACACCCTAAAACTTTCTACAATAAAAAATATATTAAATTACTCACGATCATAAATATGAGCAACAAGCACAAGTTCGATAATGATCATCAAACCCATCGCGATACCGCCATTGCACTCGTCCATCAGTGCCACGAAGTAAATGCCTGCCTAAACAAAAAATTTCGTAAATACTGATAAGTGATGGACTTTAGGTATGAAGAAGAGCAAACCTTTGTGCAAGAGATCGTACTTCCTGCTAACAATGCAAGAACAACCGCAATTCTTACAAAACCGCTATGACGAGCCAAAAACTTTGAGTTCTCCAAGAGCGCGTTGAGAATCGTCGACATATCCACTAAAGGAAGCATTGTGATGCTAATGAAATTGTAAAATACCAATCACCGTCGAAACACCGAGTAGAAACATCATGAAGAAGAAGAGAAAAGCCCAAACTACTCGTAGAGGCATCGTTGACATAGCTTCCGGATAGGTTACGAAAGTAAGACCAAAGCCTAAACAGTTGAAGTTGAAGTTTGTAAAAAATGGTTTCAATACTTTCAGTAACAACTTCATCGATGGGTTTTCCGGTCTTCACAGATAAATAGCCGAGGGTTGAGAAAACAGCGGTTCCTCCAACAAGTGACATCAATCCATCGGCGAGCACAACAACCCATGCATCCTAAATTCTTATTTAAATCACATAAAAAGAAACACTACTCGAAAAGAGTTGTGATTTCGTCTATTGTAGGATCCCATTGCGTGAATTCCACCAGATCCAAGCGTGATACTCAAGCAAGTTTGATGTAGAGCAGCTTTCCAAGTCTAAAGTATTAGAAATGTTTTCAAACTTTAATAGAATTTATTAGTATTTAAATAGCGTACCGCCAAGTCGTATATCCGTTCAAAGTTTGGCTTCAACAAATAATAATCGAGCCCTACTCGCATGCCATCCAAGAAGAAACCACGAATGAAGAACACGCCTGAAAAAATAACACTTAAATTTCACAATTCTTCACCCACCGACAATGATGTAGGGAATCGATGTGGTAATGTAGGAGATTTTCCCCATTATCTTTATCCCTTTCCACACAATGAGTCCGCAAATAACCCAAATGAAAATCATTGCGACTAAAGAATGCGTTAATTTTGAAAACTCTATGTAAAACGACCTACCAAACAATTTCCAGTTCATTCCACCAATGTCGTCGATCCCTGACGTTTTTTGGAGTACAAAGTTTCTAAATAAATATATAGATCGTATACAAATTTGCAAATTACTCAAAGAATTCCTCCGCTGGGACTCGGATTTTGCCCGCGTACATTTTCGCCAATTCACCATCGTAACAAGTGCCGTTGAAGAAAAGAGTGTTGTTCGCCTTGCAAACCGAAGTGTTCACATACGGTGATTGGCAGTCTAAAATAACATCTTGCAACATGTGAATTACAATGTCTTCTAGCTACAGTTAAATCTAATAAAACTCATACAGGGGCTATTCCACGGTTGGCCGCATTTAGTCCACCGAGTGCTATCTTCATTTACAACATCGACCCTAAAAGAATTTGAACTAGTGGTAAAGTATTGAACTTACAAATAGATAAACGACCATCCAACGATGACAATATAGTATATGTTAACTTGTTGGCTGAGAAATGTCATTGCCCAACCTAATCCTAAAACAAAGAAATTTTCGTGAACTTAATCATAATTCTCAAACCTTGCAAAGCGGGCATATAGCGAAAGAAGATGTGATTCACTCCTGATTGCGTATACTGACCGATGAAAGACTAAAGAAAAAGAAAAATTTAAAGAGATTCATTTAATAACTTTACCTCCAAGTAGAAAAGCGGCATGCCGAAAAAGATCGTGCACACGAAGTACGGAATGAGGAAAGCGCCTAAACATTTAAAACTCCAATGCCAAATACCCAATCAACTTACTTCCTCCATTTTTGTAGGCGGTCGCTGGGAATCTCCAAATGTTTCCCAAGCCAACTGAGTAGCCGATGGTTGTCATTAAATAGGCGCATGTCGAGCCGAAACGTTGTCGCTCCTTTTCGCTTTCTTTTTTCGGTTTGTCGACAACTAAAGAAGAAAATCTATTTTTTTAAACGATATCCTAGTAAATTGACGCTTAAAAATTCAAGCAAAGGCTCTGACTAATCAAAAATGCAAAAGTTTAAAAGTTCTTGACAAATAATGAAAGATCGATCACCTTCTTGTTTCTGGTCACCGGCAGCTTTCTTGATTTTCTTCTCATCTCTTCCCACTTTCTCTTCTTTCATTCACCAAATTTCTATTGTTACATTTTAAATCAATAAAGCAACAAAAAAACCAACCAAGTTGCCGAATAATTTTTTTGATTTGATTTTTTCCAATTTACCTGATTTGGTTTGTGAAATTGACAAATTTATTGTATGTGAATTTTTTTGTTAAACGCAAATTTACTTTTGCACTTATTTTTGTGTCAAAGTGTTTTGTTTTTGTTTTTTTTTGTTGAAAAAAAATGAATTTATCATGTTGGACTTGTGGAAAATATACGACTTTACAAAGATTTGAGGGTTTTTCGTAGAAGCTCAAAGGTGAGATCCACGTGTTTCTTCTCGTAGACAAGCGATGGTCGGAATCTGAAAAAGGGTAAGTAAAAAAATTGCAGGAATATTTGAAAGGCTCAAAAATCAACTCAAATAGCAAAGCTTGTTTGTAAAAGTTTTATTGGCTTTACCTGAGCGACTTTTCCCCGCATCCACCACAATGCAGTCCGTTGTTGGTGGCCTGAAAGCGTTTTCTTAGATCATTTACCAAGCTTTGGCTTACAAATGGTAATTTTATACGTGTTTAATGTTTCACTACTTTTATTGTACTTTATACTTTCATTTATAAACCTCTGCAATCAATTTATCCCGCAAAGCCATTGTGGGCAAGTCGACGGCGGCGAATGTCGAGATTCCTCGGGCTCTCGATAATAAATCCGGGAAATCCGACTGAATATCATTTCTTTAAATTCTATTGATCACGAATTTATCTAAATATTTTAGTTCTTAACAGGCACCTGTAATTGCTTCAATTCCGTCTGGAACACCTTTCCAACTTCACGATTTTTCTCGATCAACCCATCTCTTTTAATTGCCTTAAAAGAACTCATCATAATTTCTTTTCGTTTTCAATTTCTCACTTTCACAGCCGCTTCCAATAGTAAAACCTTTGTCGGATCACCGCACCTTAAAATCAAAATTTCTTTGAATTTAATTTTCTTATCTATAATCCTACCACGTGTTGTAGATCCGTTGTGGCTAAATTGAAAGATTTTTTCAAAAAAAAACCCGTAAATCAAAAACCTCTTTGATTCTCAAATGTTCCGCATAGTAATATCCACCAGTGATCAGTTTCTTCGAAAAGCTCACAATGTCTGGTGGAGAGTCCAAATTCCAGTGAGTGTGCGCCCACCACTCACCGGTCGTTCCACCACCCGTTTGCACCTAAAAATCGATGTTTTAAGCTTCAATTTCGCACTACAGCATACCAACAAAAGTATTCAGCTAATAAGCTTAAAACTTAAAAGGATATTCAGTGTTAATCCTTCGGGATACTGTAGCTTGCAGTATTCTTATCAGTTTCACTATTTGTGCATCATTCAACTCACCTCATCGACAATAAAAACAATGCCGTGCTTTTTCGTGATATTTCGAAGACCCTAAAATGTTATAACAATTTCGTTATTCGTTTTATTATTTATTTTATTCGCTAACTACCTGAAAGAAAGCCGGACTTCCATAATGATCTCCACCCTCCGACTGAATCGGCTCGACAATCACCGCAGCTACATCATTTCCCTAAAGAGTAGGATTGGATATAGTTGTTTGATCTAATAACTTAAGTAATTAGTAAAGTTAATAGTAAAGTTCGGAACTAATCATCTTTCTATACCTTTTTCTTCCAAATCTCAATCTTCTCCTCAACATCCGCCAAACAATCCCTATCCTGTTTATCATTGTATTCTTTATTCTCCTCTAATGGATATTTGTATCGTGGATAGTCTCCAATTGGGTAATCAAGAACGGGCATATCAACCTAAAGAAACATTGCATTGAATCGTTTTTTTCAAACCTTATGAATTGGTTTCGAGTGTGTGACAGAGAGAAGAGCCAGAGTTCTTCCATGCAATCCACCATGGAAACCCATCACTGATAGCTGTGGAGAACCAGGTGGAATCTGTAATTAGTTTATGACAACTTTTAAGATGAGTATGACACCGTAAATCCTGTGATAGTACCCCACCGCCATAATGTTGTGTAATCTAGCTTTGAACACGTTTTTCTTTGATACTGGTTTAAGCTACAATGCGCGCTTAGGTATCAAAAAATAGCTGAAATTCAGGGCTATTTTTTGAAACTACGATCGCTTTAAAAAAATTAAATACTAAAAAAACTTTGCGAAAAACACGACTGTACTATTACAATATTTACGGAAAGTACTTCAGCAGTTCTAGCTTACTTGTAACATCGATGTCCTATTGTGCTCCTCATCTGGCGGAGCTCCGCCCCGCTTTTGAGTCTGATACCTGAAATGAAAGGCTGATGAGCTTTCAGTAATATATAGTAATATAATACTTAAAAACATTCCCTAATTTCTTTACCAAATAAAAGCCGTCTTGATCGCGTTTTCGTTTGACGAAGAGCCGCAAAGCATCGTTTGATTAGCCTGAAAAGTAGAATATTGCTTGCATTTCCAAAAACTCAACCGTTAATCCCTTTGGAGCAATTGCGGTCAAAGAATTCTCTAAATGTTTTCCCCAATCGATTCGCGGATATGATCCAAGAGCTGGTCGAGAAACGGCTGCTGTCTAAAAAGAAAAACTAAAATACCTTACAATATTTATATCTATAGTATTGTTTAAAGTTTATTTTCTAGGAGCTGTTCTCTTTCATTCAAAACTTTAAAACCTACAATAAACTCTGGTGTCTTTGTGGCGGCCACCAAATCCGGATGATTGTACCCAAGGGGAAGTGAAGAGATCTAAACTCTTGCTCTTGATTTTCGAAATTTTTCCAAATCACCATCGTAAAAATGTCAAGCATTTGATTTCCATCAGCGTCGATCAAATAGTTCCCGTAACATTTCTCAAAGTCAACGAAACAGCGAACGGAAACAATGCTCTGCAATTTGAGTTGAATATTTGAAGCACACAATTAAGTTTTTTTCCTTTTTCAACTCACTGAATGTTTCTCCATTTGTTTTTTCAATTCATTTGTCCTCGGCCCAGGGACTTTTGTGAGCATTTTTGGCCTAGCTGGCTCCGACGTGGCAATCGTCGATGTATAGGCATTTGCTAAAAAGTAACTCGATTTCAGAAATCTTTAAAATTTCTAGATTACAACAACTGTTTTTTTACATTTCTACTTTGCTCAGTAATCAGGAAATTTTCGTTTTTCTCAAGAATCAATGTATGTACAAGTGATTCTTCGACTCCAAGATATGAGTGCAATGCCTGTTTATAGTCTGATAGAGGCGAAATCAGGAAAAGATTGGCTCACTGGCTCACAAAGCAAAAAAAAAACAAGCAACAAGAAAAAGTAAAGCTTAAAGCACTTAAATAAAAGTCTTTTGCATAGTTTAATCAAACTATTCTAATGGAGTGACATGATAAAGTAAAGGATTATGATATTTCAGTAGTTTAGCTTATTCTAAGGATAATTAATATAACAATAGTGATCAACAAACTGAAAAAACAGTACTTTTCGGTTATATGGACACAAAAAAAGAAGATCAATCAAGTTAGTTGCAAGGACAAAACTTGAATTAAAAATCTTTTCTTGAATTGTTTTCTTTAATTTGATTGATTGTTTAATAAGAATGTTATCTTCTGAGCAAATGTAGGCTAAATGCAGCTTTACTAAAATACAATACAAATAAAATACAAAACAAATCACAAACGATTTGGTGCAAGACCTTTTGATCAAGGAGAAACAATAAAATGCCAATTTTGTGTTCATTTAACCGACAAGTACAAACAGTAAACACTCTATATTTTGAAAAATTTCAAATCTGTCATTGTTCAAATTTTTGACAAAAGACTAACCTGTTAATCGATTTGTGGCTGGTCGAAGTCGAGTGAGCATTTTGTAAATTCCGAATTGATTTCTTTTGCTGTCTCTTCGATTGACTGAAAAGTGATCAAATGAACATTGCTTGATTGAGCCTTGCAAAGAGACATTTCTTATCAATTTCTCTTTTTTTTCTTTTCTTTTTCTCTTCAAAACTTTTCGTTTTTGGTCAGATTTCCAGGCCTCCTATTATGCTCAAATCTTTTTGGAAATCAAGGCAATAATTTTGTTTCTATCAAAAGTTTATTTCTGAAAACTGACCAAAATAGAAATGGGTAAACCGAGTAGACAAAAGAAGTGCTGTGGATTGATCGCGTGAGCTGGAAATCATTTTTTTGACCCGTTTTCTGACGATGAGACTTGCTGGATGAGAAAAGAGAGTCCATTATTTCAAAATCAGAATCCCAACGACTACCATAGCTTCTCTCAATCACCGGGCTGAATGTCGTTACAGTTATTGTTAGCTAAACGTACCGGCAATCGACAAAGGAACCAACTAAATTCTCCATAGCGTTAGAATTCCGACGATTCCAACTAAACAAAATCTCTAGGTTTAACTACAGCACTCAAATCAGTAGTTGGGAGGACCGAAGAACAGGCGCAAATGATGCAGAACAATGAGGGAATGAAGAGAACACAGGCAAGTGCCGTACACAAAAGAGAAGCCCCCACCGAGGACCAAACTGTTGAATTCATAACCATGGTCTGTAAATTGAAAATCAAGTTGATTCCTTGATGCTTTTTAAACAATCTCTTTATAAGAACCTGATCGACAAATGGCGAATGATCGGAGAAAGGAAAAACCCCGAAAGTTGCGATAATTCTCGGCGATCGTTTTCACCGCCGGAATCAACTCGTGATATTTGATCACCTGCAAGGTTTTGTTTCATGTTACAACTTTATTTGGTACCCCTGGAAAATTGGTCATAAAGAAGAACTCGGAGATGCAATGGGGGAAATCATCACAAGCCGTGGAGTTGAATTTGACAAAAGTTTCCAGATGGAAATAGGTGGCTGACTGAAATTTAGGAATCATTTCAAATTCAATTTCTGAGATCACCTTGGAGAAAGCGGGGATCTCGGAGTAGGTGAATTTCGGTTTCACGTATCCCTCCTCATCGTTGTCGATGTAGTACTGTAAGTTTGGCATTTTTCCGGATTAACTGCACGGTGGCCCACAATTATAGCGCCGCACTTCAAAGGGTCTAGATTGACCAAAATTGGGGCGGTCGTTCTGGTTTTTCTAGAGGTATATCTTCTGGAACGGTACCCATTACCTAATCGATTTAAACTTTCGACTTTTTTATATGGCCTTCCAAAGTTGAGAGCCGAGTATCGCTCGCTACTCATTTATGGGATTTTGAAAGTTTCATTTTTTTTGATAAAAAGTCTTCAAGGTTTTAACGATTTTCAATCAATCATATTTACTTATGAAATTTAAAGCGATAAACCTTGAAAAAATCAAGCTTTTCTTGTCCTTTAGTGGCTTCCTTGAATGGCCCATAAGTCGTTCAAGTGAAAACAGACCATATGGGGTGAGTTCTGGGGACATCTCTCAAGAATTTTTGCACTTAAACTGCGTAGAACATTTGGATTTCGCTCATGAACATAACGCGAGAAAGCGCATAGAAACAAACACGGTTACAAGTGTGAGAACGGCGCGACAATCTTCCCACAAACCAATTCCCCAACGCCTATACCGTATTCAGCAAAAAAGCGGCGTACAATTGGAAGCAATTTCTCAAGTCTTCAAGTCTTTATTGAAGTTTTTGCCTCAGAAACAAAACCGCCTCTTCTGCTAAATCGAATCACAAAAGTGTAATTGTTGATGTTGTTTTTGTTAATGGCACTAAATGGTTTAAGGTGAATGCTCGTGGCAAAATCCCGATGCTCTAAATGAAATGCGTTAATAAAATGTGCAACAAGACAGCAACACTGAATGGAGCGAGTGATGCGAGAATATCGTTAACGTTTCGGAAGACACTGTCAAACAGTGAATGGCAGTTCATTTTGTTCACGAGCATTTCTTTATTGAATATCTTTCAACAGTAATCAGTTCATGTTTATGAGGATTTTCCTTGTTATCTTGAGAAAATGAATGTCTTGCTCACCATAACCAAAAACTATTGCATCTTCATCTATAACTAAAAATAACTTATAATCATCATCAAACAAAACAAAATCAAGTTTACGATCGGAATGGCCTCACAAAGCATTCTCGGCTGTCAATCATAGCAAAAGAGTGCACGTATCTATTAAAAGATTAGAGGCCAGCCGTTAATACTTTTCGGGGGCGCGCGAGTCGGTCGATCTAAAAAGGGATGCCGATCGCCTCAAAGATTGTATGATTACAGGTCTCCGACCAATCCTATATCAAATCATTTCCTCCTCTTGCACTCTCTCTCTGAGAGTTCGATTGTGTGTCCAAGAGGTGTAACACAATTAATCAGATCTTCACGGCATCATAAGGCTTACGTAAATGAGCCAAGTGTCTTTTTTGGTTGCAAAACATAAACGTTTTATCCGTCATCAAAATAATAGAGAAAAACAAAGTAACACAATAAATTACAATTAATTTGCAGACAGAAAAATTAAAAATCTATCAAAAAATCACTAATCATGACTTGAATCCGAAGCTGACGAACTTGAAGAAGTAGTATCAGAGTCACTGTCATCATCGGATGATGAAGAAGATTCTGAGCTTGATTAAAGTCAGATTTCTTCCTTTTCCGCCTTTTTCCAAAAGCTCACGAAGATTCACCCTAAAATGTATAGACTTATTGCTTCTAAAATCTTTCTTACGTCAGTCCACCAAGACCAATTAATGTGAAAAAATTGATGGCGAAGCGAATTACGGCTGGGTTGTCCCGAGGGAAAAGTCCCTCAAACGCATGTTGCAATGTACTAAAGGTCATGGAATTCTAGAAAATCTCTAAACTTACGGATCACAGATTTTTTCATACTGCTTTGGGAGTCCCATCATTTGGGCCAATTCAAGGAAAATGGTTTTGATGTAAATCCTGCCCGAAGAAGTCGTCTCATTCTCGTTCAAATGAACTTCACTCAAAACCTAAATTTGTACACTTAAAATATTGATACGAAAAAGCAAATATTCACACAAAGACTTACATCCCAAGTAATGGCATCTGTGAAAAGCAAATGACTGATTAAACAAGCCATATTCCTGTTTTGTAATATCAAATAATAAAATAAAAAAAATAGCCATATACTTTAAACTAACTTGAAATTCACGTTTCGGCCGACAAAAACGCTCGCAGAGAAGTCCATAAAACCTTTCATAGATACGTTGCTGTGCACAACAGTCAACCAGCATGTGAAGGAGTTCCAGCTAAATGAAAAAATGTGGCTCCTTCCTATTACTAGGTACTTTAAAAAAATCAGGTACTTTAATCGTGAAATGGGTACCTTAAAGCTAAAGAAAAGCGGGTTTCACGGTTACAGTACCCGATTTTCTTAAGGTATCTAGCAATAGGAAAGACCCAAAAATGTTTTATATTCTATCAATAAGCCCAACCTCCACATCGAGCCATTTTAAGCAGTTTGTGAGCGGCCTTTTGATAGTCGAGCGATCATTGAATTGTCAAGTAAACTTCGCGATGGAAAACAACAAGATTTTGCTCCGTGTTGTCAATGATTTTCATTTGTTGAGGTTGAGCTGAAAAGAGTATTTAAATATTGCACCAGATTCATCTGAAGGCTTATAAAATTTGAATTGATAAAATTTTTGAAGGTCTACCGTTTGCAGCTGCTTCGTCGTCACTTTCTTCATCATCCTATTCCTCTTCACTTTCACCGGCGTCACCAATGATTTGTTCACGGATCTCGTTGAAGGCAGCTTCATTTTTCTCAAAATCGGGGTCCAGTTTGAAAATGTCTGTAAAGTTTGTTTGAAAGCAAAGTTGAGCGAAAATTTGATTTTTTAGTTGACCCACTAAGCATATTTTCAGGATCGGAGCATCTTTAAGGGAAAGGGCATGTGTAATTTGGTCCTCTTCCGAAATAAGACCGGGTTCATCAATTAAAGCCGGGTAGTCCTTAAAGAATAAACTTTGCTAAGCAATAGAACCAAAAACTGACCGCAAATTTATCTCTCCGAATTGCCATTACAGTTTCAATCATATAACGCATACGTGAATCCAATTGCGCTTCAGCAAGAATGTTTCGAAGTCTTGAGAAAACATTGCCCAAGGCACGCGGGGCAATCTAACAAATGCTTTTTCAATAAGCGTTTCTAAATAAAGCAAACCTCTGCCAGTTTCGCGCCACATTGTTTCAGAAAAGCAAAACACACTTCCACTGAATCTTCCGTTGGTGTTTTAAGCATCAAAAGCATGATCTATAGGGCAAGCAACTCGTGAGCCTAAATATGCCCCCTAAAACTTGGTTTAGTTGAGAAAATGCTAAAAAACAAACTTTCCGCGAATCATGTTTTCCTGAAGAAGCTCTCGCACAATTCCGACAAGATTGCTGGCGTTGACTTTATTGACGAGACCGTGGATCTTTTTCTTCAGACGCTCCCAATTCAATCGTTGAAATTGCTCGCCCGATTTATCCTAATTTTTTTAGGATAAATCTTAAAAAGGCCACGTTATCATTTGATGCATTACCTAGATTTGTTCTTGCATCAACTTCAGCTTCACTGGTGGGATGTATGCCCCTCCAGTGCGAGAACGCAATAAATCAGCGGGCTCTTTCTTTTCCCAAAATGTATTTACTTCAACAAAGTTTTCTTGTCTACTTTTTGAGGAGCTTCATTTTCTTTTGCCTTTTCCGATGATTCTTCATGTCGAGCGCGTTTCGGCGTTAGCGACATAAACCCCTAATATTGAATGCAACCCGGGTTATACTCACTGGGTTGCCGCCGTGCAAGACTGGCATGACGCTTTGGTGATCGAGATCTAAATAAGTGCCATGAAAAAAAGGTGCAAAGCTTTATTACCGTCTTCGTCTTTCTGGAGAAGCTTTACGCTTAGGAGATGGTGATCTAAATCAGCTGTAAACAAAAACAATTTTAAAAACTAACGGCCTTCGCCTTTTTGGTGAGCGGTCGCAATCTCTGCGTCTTTCTGTTGAACGTTCATGGTCTCTCGATCTCGAACCCCCACGATCGAGATCTTTCTGATGTGGCTTTTTTGGAGATCTAAAAATTAAAATGTATTCTCAGTGAGCAAATGCAAACACTACCGGCTCTTGCTTTGATCTTTTGATTGATGTCGGCGAGGACTTCTCTTTTTTGGACTGGTCGATCGAGATCTGCAAATGTTGTGCTTATTAGCTGCTGCCTTTTTATCGTATTATGAAATTACTGTAACCCAGCACTATAAGATTTAAGCTTAAACAATGCAACCGCATCTGGTGCGCTGGATTTAGCGGAAAAATCTGTTCAAAAACGTTTAAAACTGATTTAAACTAACACAGTAACTTCATTGAACCTTTTAGATTTATTGTCTTATTTTCTCCTACTCAAATTGTAGTGATTTAGCTCAAAGTTGTCAAATATTTTTAAAATTTTATTTTTTAAACCAGGCGATCAACTTCCCGAGCTTTCGGCGCCTCCGATCTATAGGATGTTGTTGTACATAGATTTAAACAAATTAGACAAAAGCAACATTAATCACCTTATTAAAATTTCTGCCAAAGCTCCAGTGTTTGTTTCATCAATGTATTCCTCCGCGTTAGCCATCTAAAAAATAAAAAAAATAATCTGAGAATGCATTAACCCAAGGAAGATTACTCATTATATATCTCATTGTTCACAAGTGACATAAAAACTAACAAAATTCAGAACGTACTGCTCCAACTAGCTTTAAGCTATGCCATAAAAAAACCTTACAGAAACACAACCCCAGCTGGACTTCATGTAACCGTCGACCAAGATGAGGACGCCTCGATAATCCATTTCCCACTTCAATTTGCACACAACCGGCTTTCCAACGAGTCCATTGAGAAACCGCTTTGGGTTGACTGGTTGAACAGACATTTTCTAGAAAACAAAATTAAAAACGAATTTAAATAGATAAAGTGTTAAAAAAAGAACTATTGACGCGGGAAAGAGTTCTCGTAAACAAAAAGAACTGTTTTTCGGAATAATTTTTGGAGGAAAAGGATTCGAATACAAGACAGGTATGTAACTAGGTGCTTTATGGAGGGACAGTGTGGTTTTTGCGCGAGTGAAGAAGAGAAAGAGTGAAAAAGTAGAGAGGCATAAAAATGCAAGAATGGCTAATTCAAGAGCAAAAATAAAAAAAAGAACTGCTAGGCTGGACTTTTTTAAACCACTAGAAGCAAGCAAAAGATATTCAGCTTAGCATTTAAAGTTTACTTGCCAACGATTTTTCATTCATTTGAAAGTGCATTTTGTGACATTTTCGGCGTTAAAAATTACACCTAAAGTCAAAATAAAGTCCTTTGCCTTTGTTTGTCTATTTTTTAAAAATTTATGTCAAACGCTATTATGTCGATGACTTAGCCAGATCAACTTCAAGACATGTCACCCCTTGGGACACCACCTTTCTCTTAAAATTTACTAATTATTCTCTTTTCTTGGTTCAATCTTTTCATTTTCCATTATTTATTAAGCTTATTTCGAAAATGTCTTGCCCTGTTCAGCACATCATGCATACCTTGCCTATTTGATTAATTGTAATTTTATTATCAATCTCTAATTTTCCATCTCAAGGTTAGAAACCTGCGGTTTAAAGGAACTAGCGCGAAAGCGGTGTGGCGCGCTTTCTAAAGCGTGGATGCCCTACCGAAAAATTCTCCTTTTCTCATTCTTTTCACTTTTCGGCATTCTATGATGGAGATGTTGTCCGGCTTACATGCCGAGTCCCGCAAAGTTTCTTCCCTTCGTAAAATCTGTTGTGTTCTTGTAGCGCGTTTTTAAAGTACTCCCTCTTCCCTCGTTCGTTCCCTCCTTTTTAATTGTTCTCTTTTCATTTGTTATTATTAACTAAATTTGGTACTAATAAAGTTGGGCACTTTTTTTGGATCTGGCATCACTCTCCCGTTTTCTTTAAAATCACTTTTCTGGGGTAGTTTTATGCGTAGATTCCGAAAAACACAACGAGGGCTCGGGAAAATGCGTTTTAAGCAAAGTTTCGGGGCTTCAAAGTGCGCACTTCTATAGTGTAGTTCACTATATGGAGCTCAAATTAATGACTAATGGGGCACTTTTCAAGGTCAAAACTAGAGCCAAAGCCATTTTTAACCACTAAATATTCATTTTCTGACTTAAATTGAGTGGTAGAGTCAAAACAAATTGAAAAAATATTTTTTGAGGATTGACCGGTTTTAGACCTGTGTATCCCCACATCACACTGTATGAGCGGGCACTTTTAAGCCCCGAAACTTGGCTTAAAACGCATTTTCCCGAGCCCTCGTTGTGTTTTTCGGAATCTACGCATAAAACTACCCCAGAAAAGTGATTTTAAAGAAAACGGGAGAGTGATGCCAGATCCAAAAAAGTGCCCCCCCAACTCTATTAGTACTCTAAATGTCTGACTTAGAAAATGTCTGCCCCTGTTCGGCACACCGTACCTACCTTGCCTGGTGGGAGCAAGGCTACTATCGTTTCTGGTGAGTCGAATGATGAAACTTCTGGACCATCTGCTGAAATTCCGCCGTATTCAATTTTGACGATTAATGTGGGATCTCTTACGCTTGCTCAATTCGTTGAACGGTTAGAAGCCTCGGGTCAAGTTGCCCATCACGTATGTTGTCTTTTAGTTCATCTAAAAAATTTTTTACTCTAGATGTTTGCTCGCTTGCGTCGTCGTTTTTATGTAATGCCCGTTACTGCTCCTGAACCAAATGTTGACCGTTTCGGCGGACGAGGAGACCGGCCGTAAGAAATATTAGTTTTTAAATATGATTAATTTTCCTAACTTAAGGGTAGAGGATGTGTTGTATGGTGTTGTAGGTCGACAACGTCTCGCCATCCACGGAATTATCGAGTTTCACGTGAGAATTTGTTTTTAAAAATTTTAATGACTTAATTAATTTAGGTCGTCTACGTTGGGGAAATTTGTGTACAACGAGTGAATTATCACTTCTAGATGGCTATATTAGAAAAATATTTTGTTATTTGACTTTTAATAAAGGTATTCAAGAAATTTTATGTTTTCTGAATTTTTTGTGAGAATGTTTAATTTTTTTAATAATTTGGTTGAATAGTGTTAAAATCTATTTAATTTTATCTGGGAGGGCATCCCTCATAAATACTCTAAAAAATTCCTTTTTAGTCTTACTTTTTCCATTATATCATAATTATTGATGGGTTAGGATTTTTTGATGATTTAAAAAAAATCAGCGGTCCAGTAGCCTATTGGACCAGAATGCAACATTTTAAATTATATCTATCATGCCCGACAAAATTCGCTAAAACCTCGATAGCAAAAAGATTTTGGGTCTCATGAAAAAATACTGAACAAAATGCCTTAGGAAAAGCCTCGATAACGAAAGGCCTCGTTAACAAACAGATTTTTCCGTATCCCGACGGGTAAAATTTTACTTATTATTAGAGGCAAAATGTGTCTGTCTGTCCACTTCGTATCTCACGAACCAGTTGATATTTTTTATGATTTGTTTGGGATAACATGTAATCAATGACGGCGGTTTGGCCTGTCAAATCAAAATTAAAAAAACTCCAACTGTTTTTGAGTTATGGTGAAAAAACAATTTTTGGCGGCGAGATCAAAGGCCGCCTAGGGGTACTTCAAAATTCGAATTTTGAGTTCATTTTTTCTGAGAATATAAAGGAAAATATGCTTATTATTCGGCATCAAAACGAGTTTTAAAACTTTTAATTTTTCTGGAAAACCGACAAAGAAAAAAGTTGGAGTTCACAGTTGGAGTGGCTAGCGTGCCTGTCTCCAAAACGAATAGGAGTGGGAGTCAAAGGTTCGATTCCCCGTTGGACTTTTTTGCTTTTTTGATAAATTTATAATAAAGTGGTTTATTTATTACATTCGTCTTTGAGATATAGAACAAATTGAAAAGTTGTTTTTTGCCTAATTTTGACCATGGGTGAAAGCAGCCCCTTTGAGCGGTAGTTAAAAAAATTTTATGGAATTTTGAGATAACTTCTAAAAAAAACTTGGCAAGTAAGAGGCTCGAAATGAACTTCGCCTCAGCCCAACGCATTGTGCGACGAGATTAAAAGTCGTATTAAAGATTAAAGGAGATTCTTTAAAATAGTAATTTTGACTTGATTTTTTCAGAATATATTTATGAACATATGGTGGTGTTTTGGCACTAAAAACATTTTGTTTTTCTTAGGAGCAACTTGGGTAGAGAACTTTAAAGGATCAGCGCTTGAATACAATTTTAAGCAAAGCATTCAACAACCCAGTCGTGAAATTGTTGGGGCGATAAATCCTTGATTTTCATTGGATAAAGCTCCACAAATTATTTGGACAGTAAGCTCTTTGCAACCTTTTCCAATTACGTCTCAGCCCCAAACTGCCAGCAAAAAAGGGCGGCTTTAGCCGTCCTTATTACTACGAATACGAATATGCATACTAAGATGAATGGCCAAAGTTGAGCGTGTCAATCACGAGCTGTTTGAGTCCTCTTCTAACAATTTTCTACATTCAACCATATCGAAGAGCTATCATTGGATCCATAACTTTCTGGCGGCGGAAAAACCGGATTCCAAAACGTCGCACAACTGTTTACACACTCGATCACCATCCGAGTAAAATTCCTGTAATTGTGATCGAAAAAAGCGAGCTCTCTATTCGCTACCAATGACCTCGAAATGTGCCTGTATATAAAGGCGATTTTAATAAGAAAATTTATTCTAAAAACGCAAAGCAAACAAACTAGGGTAGCTCGAAATTGACAAAAATTGATAAAATCTTAACAAACATTGAAAACTGTATCTAAGAAAAACGCACACAGAGGATAGATTTACCCGCGTTAAATGACTGAAGATTCTTTTAAAAGTCGGGCTTGACACTCAACGAGGTGATTGGTCGCTCAACAATGTCCCCGAAGTGCTTTCGAATATTCTTTACCATCGATGGATGAATTGTCACGGTCCGAGAATAACTAAAAGATGTTTCCATTATACAATGATGCAATCAACTTCATCAAACTTTAAAAATTGTAAAACCTACTCCTTGAAACCTACTCCAATCTATGACATATTTTCAGAATAATGCAGTTTGTTCCTACAAACACTTACCACAACTTCCTTGGTTTGCTCATAGGCCTTAACAGGATCCGCGCATCGATAAAGTGAAAGTGTAATTGTCTTGTGATCAGCCTTGTGTAGATGTTAACACCATAGGCTAGACCGTCTCCACGCACGGCTCTCCAAATTGGTCCTAGATATTTAAAGCTTAACAACTATCAAACTACGCTAACCTTCTGTTTGGCTGAGATATTGCGTCAACAACATAATCGGGACAAGTTTGGGGCTTAGCCAATCAACACCAGTAACAGCAGTCTAAATTTCGTTATGCCCAAAGTGCTAAATAATATAAACTTACTTGGTAGATAAAGCTGCTTTCACTGCCACCAACTCCAATCACAACATTGCGCTCCTCTGGTCGTTTCTCACAAATAATTGATTCACCCATTGGAACCTAAAGAGAATTTAGGTAGTTCAACTTAAAGTAGATACATTGAAAAAGCTGGCATTGTCCCTCTTGAATTATTCCCAAATTGACAGCTTTGGTGTTGATAGAGTGCTCGTGTCGCCCAGAAGATGAATATTTACACCGCCATCCAAAAGAACTGATCGAAGCTAAGCTGATTTAATTAAATATGCTTAGTAATCAAAGCATACCTCGTTCAACTTGCTGACAACAAGATCCGGATTGGAATCACCGAGTTCAACGACACGTTCGTGGAACTTTTCCAATATTATATATATTATTAACCTTTCTCGTAGCAAGGCAATCAGCGAAGATGCTACCTCAATTCCATCCCGTTTGCTCTCTCTTAAAAGTTTCTTGGTTAATAGCCGGCAACAAATAAATCTTACCGTGCAGGTGAAGCCAATCTTTGAGCAATCATCTTGATTCTGAAAGAAAAGGTAAATATAAAAATTTCTCAACGCTCACCTCTTTGCGTCGTAATGGATTCCCTTTCTGAAGATCTCTTCCCATTTTGCCAAATTTGAGAGGTGCGCCGAATCAACCTAAGGAAATGTTTAAGGAGCTATCATAAAAAATCTACCTTTAAATTAAGCGTAACCAATGATCGTAATATCCGCCAATGCCCATCGACACTGAATGTCCCACAAGATCTTTTCTGAACAGCTTGGCCACATCCTCAGCCGACCACAATTGACCTGAATAAATAATGTAATCACAAGTTTGAAATTTAAACCCATTAGTGTTTTTTTTCTGAAAATTTAATCAGATAAAAAAGGTTCTACCATCAACATAAGCAGGAGAGTCGAACATCAACTCGGTGAATAACATCAGCCTGAAATTTATTTGTTAGTAAAAAGTAAACAAACAACGAGCTATTAATTAATAACCCTAACACATGCATAACTACTATCACTCAAAAACAATAAGACGTAAACAAATATCACAAACAGAATCACAAACACGAAAATATGCACGGTTAGAGATAATATGGTCATATGGTGGTGTTTTTATTTATGAACATATGGTGGTGTTTTGGCACTAAAAACATTTTGTTTTTCTTAGGAGCAACTTGGGTAGAGAACTTTAAAGGATCACTTTAAAGGGTAGAGAACTTTAAAGCTTTCTTCAGCTTTCTTCACTTTCTTCAGCTTTCTTCACTTTGGTAAGAAAAAAAGGAATCAAATTCAATTAACAATAGATTCAATATTCAGTTATTGTTCCTCAGCGATTCAGCCACAGAAATGAAAGTTTTGGAAATTTGGCGACAAGCGAATTTCTCGATGTCGACCATGGATCGCTCGAGAATCGCCATCGGTGGTTTTCGATTATCAGTGATTTGCATTTGTTTTTTAACAAACGAAATTTCATTTCAGATCTGTTTAACCCTTTGGACAACTTGTCCCGTCTTTCCCTGTGATGCATTGTCAATTTACTTTCGCCGAAAATTTCTCATCGAAATTCGACGAACGGCGATGTGCGAGAAAACCCGGAAAGCACAAGCGAAAATCGTTCGGGTTTGTTTTGATCATGAAACTAAACAGAAACCTTATGCATAGTCAAATTAAGAAATTTATCAAACTGTTGACCTAAAACATTCCAGAGTTTGACCATTCAATCGATTCTCCCAATCTCCCCGATGACAATGGCCGCCGCGTACAACCACAAGCAATTCATGCTACCGTAAGTCTATTCAAGAAAATAAGCAAGATTAGGATAGTTTCTGAAAGTTTACACGCTTTAAGAAAGACATTATCCGGAAGAATTGCTTTCATCTCGAAATTTCAGTTACTACGAATACGTTCCATACTACGATGACTACGATTCCGACGATTCCAACTAAACAAAATCTCTAGGTTTAACTACAGCACTCAAATCAGTAGTTGGGAGGACCGAAGAACAGGCGCAAATGATGCAGAACAATGAGGGAATGAAGAGAACACAGGCAAGTGCCGTACACAAAAGAGAAGCCCCCACCGAGGACCAAACTGTTGAATTCATAACCATGGTCTGTAAATTGAAAATCAAAGTTGATTCCTTGATGCTTTTTAAACAATCTCTTTATAGGAACCTGATCAACAAATGGCGAATGATCGGAGAAAGGAAAAACCCCAAAGTCCCTTTGCGAAGATCTCTCCCCCATTTTGCCAAATTTAGTAAAAAGTAAACAAACAACGAGCTATTAATTAATAACCCTAACACATGCATAACTATTATCACTCAAAACAATAACACGTGAAAAAACATCACAAACACTGTTGCCGCTCCTCTTCGAGCGCACTTTTTTTTTGATTTGGTCGTCTCGATGTCTTGTGTCACGCTGTGATCACGCTTACAATTCATAGAAATTCAGAAAACATAAAATCTTCAATATTTATTAGTAAAACAGAGAATTAGTAGAACATAACATGTTAGAAATGATACTGCACTGGCACAAGAGAACCTCTACCAACATACTGGACCTAAATTAACTTGGTTTGCTCATAGGCCTTAACAGGATCCGCGCATCGATAAAGTGAAAGTGTAATTGTCTTGTGATCAGCCTTGTGTAGATGTTAACACCATAGGCTAGACCGTCTCCACGCACGGCTCTCCAAATTGGTCCTAGATATTTAAAGCTTAACAACTATCAAACTACGCTAACCTTCTGTTTGGCTGAGATATTGCGTCAACAACATAATCGGGACAAGTTTGGGGCTTAGCCAATCAACACCAGTAACAGCAGTCTAAATTTCGTTATGCCCAAAGTGCTAAATAATATAAACTTACTTGGTAGATAAAGCTGCTTTCACTGCCACCAACTCCAATCACAACATTGCGCTCCTCTGGTCGTTTCTCACAAATAATTGATTCACCCATTGGAACCTAAAGAGAATTTAGGTAGTTCAACTTAAAGTAGATACATTGAAAAAGCTGGCATTGTCCCTCTTGAATTATTCCCAAATTGACAGCTTTGGTGTTGATAGAGTGCTCGTGTCGCCCAGAAGATGAATATTTACACCGCCATCCAAAAGAACTGATCGAAGCTAAGCTGATTTAATTAAATATGCTTAGTAATCAAAGCATACCTCGTTCAACTTGCTGACAACAAGATCCGGATTGGAATCACCGAGTTCAACGACACGTTCGTGGAACTTTTCCAATATTATATATATTATTAACCTTTCTCGTAGCAAGGCAATCAGCGAAGATGCTACCTCAATTCCATCCCGTTTGCTCTCTCTTAAAAAGTTTCTTGGTTAATAGCCGGCAACAAATAAATCTTACCGTGCAGGTGAAGCCAATCTTTGAGCAATCATCTTGATTCTGAAAGAAAAGGTAAATATAAAAATTTCTCAACGCTCACCTCTTTGCGTCGTAATGGATTCCCTTTCTGAAGATCTCTTCCCATTTTGCCAAATTTGAGAGGTGCGCCGAATCAACCTAAGGAAATGTTTAAGGAGCTATCATAAAAAATCTACCTTTAAATTAAGCGTAACCAATGATCGTAATATCCGCCAATGCCCATCGACACTGAATGTCCCACAAGATCTTTTCTGAACAGCTTGGCCACATCCTCAGCCGACCACAATTGACCTGAATAAATAATGTAATCACAAGTTTGAAATTTAAACCCATTAGTGTTTTTTTTTCTGAAAATTTAATCAGATAAAAAGGTTCTACCATCAACATAAGCAGGAGAGTCGAACATCAACTCGGTGAATAACATCAGCCTGAAATTTATTTGTTAGTAAAAAGTAAACAAACAACGAGCTATTAATTAATAACCCTAACACATGCATAACTACTATCACTCAAAAACAATAAGACGTAAACAAATATCACAAACAGAATCACAAACACGAAAATATGCACGGTTAGAGATAATATGGTCAACAGAAAATCCTTTTCTTCATCGACACCCTTTTCTTTCTGTTTGAGTCCATCGTTGCCAAGTTTCGTCTTTTGTTCATCAAGTCATTGCTTTTCTTTATCAGCAAACTAAAAGGCTTCCAACTTAGTTAACTCGACAAAAACGCAACCTCATCGACCATTTCTCATCGGGAAGACCACCGGCAAGAACATATGGCTGACTCAGATACTTCTTCCACAGGTTAACCCAAAAGCTGGCGTCTTCTTTCTTCAACTAAAGGCGACAGATCTTGCAAAAATTCATTAAATAAAATAGGCTTTGTTTGGGTATGTTCGGATATGTTTGGATAATCTGCGGTTTAAAGGAACTAGCGCGAAAGCGGTGCGGCGCGCTTTCTAAAGCGTGGATGCCCTACCGTACCCGGCTGAAAAATTCCCCTTTTCTCATTCTTTTCATTTTTCGGCATTCTATGATTCCGGTTTACATGCCCAGTCCCGCAAAGTTCCTTCCCTTCGTAAAATCTGTTGTATTCTTGTAGCGCGTTTTTAAAGTACTCCCTCTTCCCTCGTTCGTTCCCTCCTTTTTATATCGTTCTGTCCATGTTTCCTTCGAGACGGCCACCCCTTGGGATACCGCTTTTCTCTCAAAATTTATTAATTGTTCTCTTTTCATTGGTTTAATCTTTTCATTTCCCATTATTCATCAAGCTTATTTAGAATGAGTCAACGCTCAATTTTCGGTTTGATGCCTAGTGGCAACCCAGCCTTTGAAAAAACATATTGGCCGAATGAGGATACGTCGGGATCGTCTTCTGAGAATTCGCCTGTCTCGACTTTGACAGTTGACGTTGGATCTCTCACACTTGCTGAATTTGTGGAACGTTTGGAGGCCTCGGGTCAAAGGGTTATGTTGGTATGTTTTTCTCATGCTTATTGATCTAAGAACTTTTTGCTCTAGATGGTAGTGCATTTCGATGGTGTTGGTCATGTCATGCCGGTCACTGCTTTTGCCCTTCAACCAAATGTGGACCATTTCGGCGGACAAGGAGACTGGTTGTAAGAAATTTTAGTTTGTAATTATGATTAATTTTTTTAATTTAAGCGTAGAGGATGTGGTGTATGCTCTTGGACATCGACAGCGTGACGTCAACCACGGAGCTTTCGATTTTCAGGTAAGAATTTGTTTTTAAAAATTTTCCTGAATCGGTTAATTTAGGTCCAGTATGTTGGTAGAGGTTCTCTTGTGCCAGTGCAGTATCATTTCTAACATGTTATGTTCTACTAATTCTCTGTTTTACTAATAAATATTGAAGATTTTATGTTTTCTGAATTTCTATGAATTGTAAGCGTGATCACAGCGTGACACAAGACATCGAGACGACCAAATCAAAAAAAAAGTGCGCTCGAAGAGGAGCGGCAACAGTGTTTGTGATGTTTTTTCACGTGTTATTGTTTTGAGTGATAATAGTTATGCATGTGTTAGGGTTATTAATTAATAGCTCGTTGTTTGTTTACTTTTTACTAAATTTGGCAAAATGGGGGAGAGATCTTCGCAAAGGGACTTTGGGGTTTTTCCTTTCTCCGATCATTCGCCATTTGTTGATCAGGTTCCTATAAAGAGATTGTTTAAAAAGCATCAAGGAATCAACTTTGATTTTCAATTTACAGACCATGGTTATGAATTCAACAGTTTGGTCCTCGGTGGGGGCTTCTCTTTTGTGTACGGCACTTGCCTGTGTTCTCTTCATTCCCTCATTGTTCTGCATCATTTGCGCCTGTTCTTCGGTCCTCCCAACTACTGATTTGAGTGCTGTAGTTAAACCTAGAGATTTTGTTTAGTTGGAATCGTCGGAATCGTAGTCATCGTAGTATGGAACGTATTCGTAGTAACTGAAATTTCGAGATGAAAGCAATTCTTCCGGATAATGTCTTTCTTAAAGCGTGTAAACTTTCAGAAACTATCCTAATCTTGCTTATTTTCTTGAATAGACTTACGGTAGCATGAATTGCTTGTGGTTGTACGCGGCGGCCATTGTCATCGGGGAGATTGGGAGAATCGATTGAATGGTCAAACTCTGGAATGTTTTAGGTCAACAGTTTGATAAATTTCTTAATTTGACTATGCATAAGGTTTCTGTTTAGTTTCATGATCAAAACAAACCCGAACGATTTTCGCTTGTGCTTTCCGGGTTTTCTCGCACATCGCCGTTCGTCGAATTTCGATGAGAAATTTTCGGCGAAAGTAAATTGACAATGCATCACAGGGAAAGACGGGACAAGTTGTCCAAAGGGTTAAACAGATCTGAAATGAAATTTCGTTTGTTAAAAAACAAATGCAAATCACTGATAATCGAAAACCACCGATGGCGATTCTCGAGCGATCCATGGTCGACATCGAGAAATTCGCTTGTCGCCAAATTTCCAAAACTTTCATTTCTGTGGCTGAATCGCTGAGGAACAATAACTGAATATTGAATCTATTGTTAATTGAATTTGATTCCTTTTTTTCTTACCAAAGTGAAGAAAGCTGAAGAAAGTGAAGAAAGCTGAAGAAAGCTTTAAAGTTCTCTACCCTTTAAAGTGATCCTTTAAAGTTCTCTACCCAAGTTGCTCCTAAGAAAAACAAAATGTTTTTAGTGCCAAAACACCACCATATGTTCATAAATAAAAACACCACCATATGACCATATTATCTCTAACCGTGCATATTTTCGTGTTTGTGATTCTGTTTGTGATATTTGTTTACGTCTTATTGTTTTTGAGTGATAGTAGTTATGCATGTGTTAGGGTTATTAATTAATAGCTCGTTGTTTGTTTACTTTTTACTAACAAATAAATTTCAGGCTGATGTTATTCACCGAGTTGATGTTCGACTCTCCTGCTTATGTTGATGGTAGAACCTTTTTTATCTGATTAAATTTTCAGAAAAAAAACACTAATGGGTTTAAATTTCAAACTTGTGATTACATTATTTATTCAGGTCAATTGTGGTCGGCTGAGGATGTGGCCAAGCTGTTCAGAAAAGATCTTGTGGGACATTCAGTGTCGATGGGCATTGGCGGATATTACGATCATTGGTTACGCTTAATTTAAAGGTAGATTTTTTATGATAGCTCCTTAAACATTTCCTTAGGTTGATTCGGCGCACCTCTCAAATTTGGCAAAATGGGAAGAGATCTTCAGAAAGGGAATCCATTACGACGCAAAGAGGTGAGCGTTGAGAAATTTTTATATTTACCTTTTCTTTCAGAATCAAGATGATTGCTCAAAGATTGGCTTCACCTGCACGGTAAGATTTATTTGTTGCCGGCTATTAACCAAGAAACTTTTAAGAGAGAGCAAACGGGATGGAATTGAGGTAGCATCTTCGCTGATTGCCTTGCTACGAGAAAGGTTAATAATATATATAATATTGGAAAAGTTCCACGAACGTGTCGTTGAACTCGGTGATTCCAATCCGGATCTTGTTGTCAGCAAGTTGAACGAGGTATGCTTTGATTACTAAGCATATTTAATTAAATCAGCTTAGCTTCGATCAGTTCTTTTGGATGGCGGTGTAAATATTCATCTTCTGGGCGACACGAGCACTCTATCAACACCAAAGCTGTCAATTTGGGAATAATTCAAGAGGGACAATGCCAGCTTTTTCAATGTATCTACTTTAAGTTGAACTACCTAAATTCTCTTTAGGTTCCAATGGGTGAATCAATTATTTGTGAGAAACGACCAGAGGAGCGCAATGTGCAATGAGAAACGACCAGAGGACAATAGATGTCTTGTAGTTTCTTCTCCTAAAAGAATAAATAAATATTAAAAAACCAAAGTTTAATAACCTTAATTTTGCGAAAGATGGCCTTGAAGAAATGAAAACAACAGAAATGTATGGTTGATGTGTTGCCATAGACTGCCATAAAACCGTTGACAATAGCCAGCTCCATATCTAAAATTGTTTTATAAATTTTTCGATGCAAAATAAACAAAAAATAACCTGTTTTAATTTTTGTTGGTGGTGGTAATCCCAATTGTTTGACCAGACCAAAGACGTCGCTATACGTTTGTGTCAACTTGCTTGACAGGAATGCATATGCACACGGAACGAAAAGATGATCTATCTAAAAACAAAACTATAAAACTAACATAACAAAAAAAACCTCAACCCCGATCACCAGAATTTGAGAAAACCCAAAGGGAGCCGCATAAAACGTGCCATCAATACTCCAAATAGGGTGCTAAAAGTATTTAACTTTTGTTATTAAAGTTGAAAGTCTAAAGAGTTTAATATACCTGAAGTAACATATCGATTCCCCAATCAGTAGCAAAGAATTTAATTGCGTTGGCGTGTGGAGCTGGGTAGTTTGAGCAGTTATCATATCGTAAGAATAAAACCCCTAAATGTAAATATTTATGAGGCTAACATAACAACAACTCACGAAAAGTTCCAGTGACCGGAGCAGGCCAATCTCTATCACCATCGATTTTGACTTGCCGACGAGCCATTTGTTGAATTCCCTTGGTATTGAGATAAGGCAATAAGTGTGGGCGAGCTCCGAGAACACGTCGTTTAATAATTTCCTTCGTCGGAACTCCAGCAATCCGATCGTTTTTGGCGCCACAGTGTATTCCACGTATCTAAAAATATAAACAAGAAACGATAAGTTAAACAAAACAATACCTACCTCTTCTTTTTCTTTCAATGGCAGGCAGGTCATAGCGTGCTCGTTGGTGACAGAAAGGACTCCAGTTGCTTCATCTTTATGCATCCTTCCCCGGCAGTTTGTTTTCGTACAACTAAAAGAAAACTTTAAAATGTTCAACGAATATACAACCAAACTAGTAAAAAGAAATTACCGATAAGCTGTAGCTACCCCTTTTCGGATTGTTTTGTCCTTCCGATACTCGTGTCCATCTTCATCGTAAAGTAGCACTCCACCTTTCTGAGATAGCGACATCCCTAAATTAAAAAGATGTTGAGATACCAAAATTTTGCAGAAAAGTGTAAAAACTGGCTTAATCAATCTTATTACATTTATTTAAGATCAAAGAAACAAAGTTATTACCTTATACAAGTAGAACTTCTTCGCAAACTATATTGTGTGAAAAATACCTGTGTTTGTCGCTAGCCACGCCGAATCACTTGCAAGGAGTCTTCTATTTCTTCAGGCGACGTTCTTTTACCTAAAAAAAACAAAAAATTAAGTCCCAAGAACAGAAAAAATAAGAAAAAAAACGATGAAAAACAAAATGTGTCGCATTGTTTATTTAAAATGGGCCATAAAACCTGATTCTGATGATGAAATAATCTGTCGGTTTGGCAAAACACGCGCAAGGTGCTTAGAAATGTTTAAAAAATAACAAAAGTTACAAGTTCTGATGAGAAGTATAAAAACATTGGGGTTGAAAAATCTAATCGCAGTCTCTTTCAATTTGGCGCTATTTTTGCATGGGCGCTATTTTGAACGGCGCGATTTTTGTATGGGCGCTGTTTTGAACGGCGCTATTTTTGTACGGGCGCTGTTTTGAATGGCGCTGTTTTGAACGTCGCTGTTTTGGTGGCGCTATTTTGACTAGGTCCCAAAATTTTACCCGTCGGGATACGGAAAAATCTGTTTGTTAACGAGGCCTTTCGTTATCGAGGCTTTTCCTAAGGCATTTTGTTCAGTATTTTTTCATGAGACCCAAAATCTTTTTGCTATCGAGGTTTTAGCGAATTTTGTCGGGCATGATAGATATAATTTAAAATGTTGCATTCTGGTCCAATAGGCTACTGGACCGCTGATTTTTTTTTTAAATCATCAAAAAATCCTAACCCATCAATAATTATGATATAATGGAAAAAGTAAGACTAAAACGGAATTTTTTAGAGTATTTATGAGGGATGCCCTCCCAGATAAAATTAAATAGATTTTAACACTATTCAACCAAATTATTAAAAAAATTAAACATTCTCACAAAAAATTCAGAAAACATAAAATTTCTTGAATACCTTTATTAAAAGTCAAATAACAAAATATTTTTCTAATATAGCCATCTAGAAGTGATAATTCACTCGTTGTACACAAATTTCCCCAACGTAGACGACCTAAATTAATTAAGTCATTAAAATTTTTTAAAACAAATTCTCACGTGAAACTCGATAATTCCGTGGATGGCGAGACGTTGTCGACCTACAACACCATACAACACATCCTCTACCCTTAAGTTAGGAAAATTAATCATATTTAAAATATTAATATTTAGAAATACGGTAAAGACAAGGGAGTTACAGACGCGCGAAAGTGACGATCTTTTTTCAAATACGATATTTCATTGTCCAGTAGTGTATCTTTGTTTCAGAAAAGTGGCCGCCTATGCTGATTGTCAGGCCGAAGTGTATGGGTCATCTTGTGCCATGTGGGGAAAGAATATATTCCATGGAAACTTCAAGGCTCTTGTAGGTTTTCATCAAGCATTATCAAGGCTCATAATACTCATACTTTTGTTTGGTCTCCCTGCCTCCAAAAGTTAATTTCTTTGGTTGAGAACGTTCAGCGTCGTTTCAGTAGGAGGGCGTATGCCCGTTGTTTCCCATCGAAAGAAATTCCTTGCTATTCTGATCGACTTGCTCTTTTTGACCTTAAACCCTTATCCCATCGCCGCATTTATTTTGATTTGGTCTTATGCTATAAAATCATCTTCTCTCCTAACTCTCATCAGGAACTTAAAGGACTCTTTAAGATTTTGAATCACGCCAGAAGAACTCGTAGTCACAACTTTCAGATTACCCCCTTTCAAAGCTTTCATAACCGCCAACTGTATCATTCTTTTGCTTGTCGTGTTCCTCGTATTTGGAATAAGTTACCTTGTGATATTTTTTCGTCTCTGAACTATTTTAAATCCTCAATATATAAGCTCGATCTTGTAGCTCTGTCAATTTTAAATTAGTTTTTAATGTCATATATACACGTGTCTAATTGTAGTTGTGTTTGTATATCAATTATCTTTCTTCGTCTACGCTGTTCAATCTGTTTGCATTGTCACTTTTCCTTGTCGGATAAAGTATATATATATATATATAAATCGTGTTCTCTTACTTTCGTCAGGAATATTTGTGCGTATACACATAGTAAATAAGTTGTAAATAAATTTGTACCTTTGTAAATAAATTATTAATTCTTGCTTGCAGAAGTTTTGACGTCCCTGTTGGAATTTTGGTGAAACAATGAATGAAAGCATCCTCAGAGCCGTATGAAAGCATCCTCAGAGCCGTATGAAAGCATCCTCAGAGCCGTTGCAGGAAAACCCAAGAGCTGAGGAGTTGTGGGAACAATGATCAACCACAAAGAAATTTGCCTTCCTCTTCCCGGGACATCAAAGTGTGTAACAGTGTTTGTTTTTGGGCATTTTTCACTGTTGTCATAAGTGTTGTGGTGTTGGCCCATTGCCCACCAATTTTTACCTGCTAACAATAAACCTAACCTAGCCAAATGCACAAAATAGTATTTTGTAGACGAACAAGGAAAAAGTTTAGCGGAGTTAAAGTTTTTACAGAGGCACAAAATCTTATTTTGTCTTTGATAAACACAATAATCTATTTGATGATCTTTAAATCTTCACAAACAAACCCCTACAGGCACGTATCCCTCGGCATGCTTTTTCATCTCGAACCATTGCCCCCTAAAGAAATTAACTTATACATGAAAATCTCTTATAAGCAAACCAAGAGGACCAAACCAAGGGACAGTGTGGTTTTTGCGCGGATGAAGAAGAGAAAGAGTGAAAAAGTAGAGAGGCATACAAATGCAAGAATGGCTAATTCAAGAGCACTCGAAAAATAAAAAAAGAATTGCTAGGCCGGACTGTTTTAAACCACTAGAAGCAAGCGAAAGATATCCAGCTTAACATTTAAAGTCTACATGCCAACGATTTTTCATGCTTTTGAAAGTGCATTTTGCGAAATTTTCGGCGTTAAAACTAAAATTTACTAATTGTTCTCTTTTCTTGGTTCAATCTTTTTATTTTCCATTATTTATTAAGCTTATTTAGAAAATGCCTTGCCCTGTTCAGCACATCATGCATACCTTGCCTATTTGATTGATTTTAATTTTATTATCAATCTCTAATTTTCCATCTAATAGTTCATCTAATTCGGCTTACAAGCCGAGTCAAGTTTGAGGTTAGCATTAACCCCGAGACCTTCCAACAGTGTCTCGAAAAAATTTTGGAACGCGTCCCCTCCAGGGGATGCACAAATCAAACTTCAAAATTTGAAATGATTTGAAGCTTTGATGCTCTTCGAACGAGGGAAGAGGGAGTACTTTAAAAACGCGCTACAAGAACACAACAGATTTTACGAAGGGAAGAAACTTTGTTTACCACCTAGTCTCGAAGTGGAACCTAGCTTATTTTGTAGCAATTTTTTTTGTTGATTCCGAATATCTAGGTCTTTTGTGTGTTATGCATTCAAATTTTTAATTTAAATTCGTTTAAAGTTTGTATATAAAAAACAAATTAATCGATTGATTAGATCTCAGACGTTCAAATCAATCAGCTCTGAAATCGTAAAATTCAACAAAAACTGCAAAAAGCTTACGGCACTCGGGATTCCCAAGCCGTCTCCGATCCAAGTACTAACCGAGCCCAACGTTGCTTAACTTGGCAGATCGGACGGGATGCCGTGTTTTCAACGTGGTATGGTCGTAAGCGAAGGCTCGGCTGAGAGAGATGGCTGAATAGGCGGCTGTCAGTAAGAGAGCATCAGCTCTCGCAGAGACACGAGACGACACGACTGTGTGCACCTTTTGTTTCTCTCGTAGGGAAAAATGGCATCTGGCACACGACTCGCCCGGATATCGCGACAGAGACCTCGCTCTTCGGTTTAATTACCCAAGTTTGAGGTTAGCATTAACCCCGAGACCTTCCAACAGTGTCTCGAAAAAATTTTGGAACGCGTTCCCGCCAGGGGATGCACAAATGAACCAAAAATGTGAAGTGGTTTCAAACTGTGATGTTTGAGGAGTCAATCAAAAAACGCTCAAAATAGTACTAATGCGATTGAATATTAATTCTGGCAACAAATAAATCTTACCGTGCAAGTGAAGCCAATCTTTGAGCAATCATCTTGATTCTGAAAGAAAAGGTAAATATAAAAATTTCTCAACGCTCACCTCTTTGCGTCGTAATGGATTCCCTTTCTGAAGATCTCTTCCCATTTTGCCAAATTTGAGAGGCCCGCCGAATCAACCTAAGGAAATGTTTCAGGAGCTATCATAAAAAAATCTACCTTTAAATTAAGCGTAACCAAACGATCGTAATATCCGCCAACGCCCATCGACACTGAATGTCCCACAAGATCTTTTGTGAACAGCTTGGCCACATCCTCAGCCGACCACAATTGACCTGAATAAATAATGTAATCACAAGTTTGAAATTTAAACCCATTAGTGTTTTTTTTTCTGAAAGTTGAAGATCTTTTGCTCATGAAGTCGATGAAGCAGGAATTTTCCGTATGCACGGCCATCAATGACATCTCTCCCAGCTTTGCGTTGGGGTGAGGTGAAGTTCATTTCGAGCCTCTTACTTGCCAAGTTTTTTTTAGAAGTTATCTCAAAATTCCATAAAATTTTTTTAACTACCGCTCAAAGGGGCTGCTTTCACCCATGGTCAAAATTAGGCAAAAAACAGTTTGGGGCTGAGACGTAATTGGAAAAGGTTGCAAAGAGCTTACTGTCCAAATAATTTGTGGAGCTTTATCCAATGAAAATCAAGGATTTATCGCCCCAACAATTTCACGACTGGGTTGTTGAATGCTTTGCTTAAAATTGTATTCAAGCGCTGATCCTTTAAAGTTCTCTACCCAAGTTGCTCCTAAGAAAAACAAAATGTTTTTAGTGCCAAAACACCACCATATGTTCATAAATATATTCTGAAAAAATCAAGTCAAAATTACTATTTTAAAGAATCTCCTTTAATCTTTAATACGACTTTTAATCTCGTCGCACAATGCGTTGGGCTGAGGCGAAGTTCATTTCGAGCCTCTTACTTGCCAAGTTTTTTTTAGAAGTTATCTCAAAATTCCATCAAAAAATTTTTAAACTACCGCTCAAAAGGCGCTGCTTTTACCCACGGTCAAAATTAGGCAAAAAAAAACAACTTTTCAATTTGTTCTTAAAGCCAAAAATAAGCATATTTTTCTTCTGAAAAATGGGGACAAATTTCCTTTTTCAAAATATTCCTAGACGATCTTTGATTTTACCAAAACGTATATACGCAAAATATTCCTAGACGATCTTTGATTTTACCAAAACGTATATACGTATATACGTATCTATCGAGGCCTTTCGTTATCCAGGTTTTTCCTGGATAACGAAAGGCTTTACGAAGTAAGATTTTACTCGTCGGGATACGGAAGAATCTGTTTGTTAACGAGGTTTTTTGCTATCGAGGTTTTTCCTAAGGTATTTTGTTCAGTATTTTTTCATGAGACCCAAAATCTTTTTGCTATCGAGGTTTTAGCGAATTTTGTCGGACATAATAGATATAATTTAATACCCGGTTACTGGACCACCTCAACCACTAACGAGTATCGAGTTATTAAGCTTATTTAGAAAATGTCTTGGCTTGTTCAGCACATCATGCATAACTTGCGTATTTGATTGTTTTTTGATTTTATTGTTTCCCATCTAATAGTTAGAAATCTGCGGTTTAAAGGAACTAGCGCGAAAGCGGTGCGGCGCGCTTTCTAAAGCGTGGATGCCCTACCGAAAAATTCCCCTTTTCTCATTCTTTTCACTTTTCGGCATTATATGATGGAAATGTTGTCCGGCTCACATGCCGAGTCCCGGAAAGTTTCTTCCCTTCGTAAAATCTGTTGTGTTCTTGTAGCGCGTTTTTAAAGGACTCCCTCTTCCCTCCTTTTTATATCGTTCTGTTCGTGTTTCCTTCGAGACGGCCATCCCTTGGGATACCATTTTTCTCTCAAAATTTATTAATTGTTCTCTTTTCATTTGTTTTTATTAACTAAATTTGGTACTAATTTTGATTTTGAAGAAAATGGGAGTGATGCCCGATCCAAAAAAAGTGCCCCCCGCCCAACTTTATTGGTACCCTAAATGTCTTAATTAGAAAATGTCTCACCCTTTTCGGCACACCGTACCTACTTTGCCTGGTGGGAGCAAGGCTCTCGTTTCTGGTGAGTCGAATGATGAAACTTCTGGATCATCTGCTGAAATTCCGCCGGATTCAATTTTGACAATTAATGTGAGATCTCTTAATTGAATCCGGCGGAATAGCATTAGGAACGGTGGCTAGCTTGTATTTTCCATGATCTTCGGGTGCCAGCTTTGGTGTTTCTTGAGAGTAGTCTCTAAAAAAACAAAAATAAAATGCGATATTTGAACTGTCTTTTAACGTTTAAGTAGGGAACTTTTTAAAATATTGCATAAGATTTCCAATCAATAATACCTTCTCCTCGTGAGCATCACATGATTGGCGGCTATACATCGCGTAAACAAAGGCCGAGTTCGAAATAAATGACTTCCTAAAAAAGTTTAGACAAAACCAAAACAAAAACAATGCTTACTTGTCAACGAGCCAAATAGTATTCGTGTTCCGGCTTGCATCGTTGCGGTGTCTAAAATAAAAGATTGTGTTAAAATTCATAAAAAGAATCAAACAACAACAAAAGTGCAATTAAAAAAACACATCCGATGAGGTTAGCTAATGATCTCGGGAGAAACTTTTGTGCAAAAGTACGATAAATTATTAAGAAAATGACACTACAACTACCGTAACCGACCACAATTTCGGGATAAAATGAAGTAAAAAAGACAAACAAGGCAGAAATTGGAAAACTATTTCTAGCTTTACCTTTTAGAGTGCTTTGAAATTTTGAATTTTGGCAACTACTGGCAATTACTACAAAAAACAAATGTCTGAGCGCCGAGATATGAGCGGCTCTTGGGGTAGGCTAATTTCCGCATTTTCTTTGCGCTACAGGGTCATTTGCGCAACTGGGTCGTTTGCGCAACTCGCCATAACTTTTTTCTAAGTGGGTCAATCTTTATGATTTTGGTTTCATTTTGTAGATCTCAATAAGTGCAACAAAATGAAACCAAAATCATAAAGATTGACCCACTTAGAAGAAAGTTATGGCGAGTTGCACAAAAAAAATTGCGGAAATTAGCCTACCCCGGTTCTTTTAATCTAAACTTAGACTACGCGACGCTCCTATAGGGGGGCTTCTATTCTTAAAGTCTTGGCTATTAAATTTTAACAAGTTCATTGGAATTCGATGCTGGAGAGGTTAGATCAAGCGCCTGGATTCGCGCGACCCATTTGTCTCGTTTTCGTTAAGCAAGTCTACTAGGTGTTCAAATTATCTTATTTTGACAATGGATTTTTATGGTTTTTTGGTTTATTTGAAAGTCTGTTTTCTTGCAAGCATTTTGTTATCAATTACTTTACACATTCCACATCTTTGGATGGATAAAAGTGAACTTCTTGTTTTGCTCCGTTGAAGTTGAGTTCCTGATTCAAAGGAGCTTGGTACTTCGAAATCTTGTTGATCGATGGCAGAAGTTAATGACGGACTACTTTAAAGAGTGAACGTTCTTGTTTCTGTTGATTATTTGCGAATAAAAATTGGATTTTTTTGCAAGTGTCGGCAAACTTTTTAAACAATCTAATACAGTAAAATCTCGATTTAACGATGTCAATTTTTGGTCCCTTGGAAGCTATTTACCTTCCCTTATAAAGACGTTCGATTTAACGATGGAGAATCCCAGTCCCTTGAGAATCGTTAAATCGAGGTTTGACTTTAGTAAGCTAGAGTAGCTACTTTTAAAATGAAAGCCTCTATAGCTTCTTAAATCGCAGTTTTCTGATTCTGTTTTTACTTTTGACAAAAGCTTACAAGCTTGCTTAGGTTAGTCCTCAAAAATAGTCTATGCAATCTTGAAACTGGACATGTTTACTAATCATTATATATCACATTTGTCCACATCTTGTTGTGCAACTCGAACCTCAATCACTCATAACTATAGGTGAGCTGTGAAGCGGAAAATCCCCCTCTTTTCTCCTCAAAAAGAGCCAACAATTACAGCCGTAAGGTGCTTTTAAAGTACTTCTCTCAAAATGGAGACCCATTTTTTAAGATTTTAGTTTTTTTTCTCTTTCTTTCCATAGTTGAATACTTATTGTTCATTTTGCAGTGCTTTTTTTCATTACAATTTTTTTTTGGCTTAAAAAAAATTCAAAACACAACCCTAGTTTTGTGCTAAGTTCTTATGATTTTTTTTAGAATGTTTATCCGTTTCTAAAGCAACGTAGAAGATTTTGAAACGATGTTTGGATTATTTCAAAAACTTTTCAAAAACAAACCAAAATTTCAGACCTATATTCTGCAAAGGATGCGCTTTTTGTCGTTATTTTTTTTCTTAACTCAAGTTTTAAAAAGCTTTAACGAGAATATCGTGTAAGTAAAACATTTAGTTCTTTTGAGAATTATTTTATTATTCTTTTATTCTAATAGGTTGATGCATAAGTCTTTTCGTTTTTTTCGTACTTCTATTAAAAAGTAACAAATTCACCAATTAATCTATAGTTTGCTCTATAAAAAAAAAGTGTTTTTTTGTTCAATTTGCATCTTTTTAAATGAATTTCGGTTCACTTTGAAGCAAATTCGAGAGTGAAAAACGCCTTTTTCGTAAAAATCTCTAAAAAACTCTACGGAAAAATTGGCTGAATGAATTTCTCTGAAATTTTGGCGAAATATCAAACGTTTTTTTTCTCTATCTTTTATCTATTGACACGAAGATAGGTTTTCTTTAGCTAAGGTGTCTAAACCGCATCATCGAGTTAGCCCTTTTTGACTACCCGACTTCATACTCTCAAGAAAATCCAGGCATTAAATATTTTTAAACCCGTTTTAATGTTATTTTGCAGAAAAATAATTGGTTTTTCTAATGAAATCAACCGTAGTTTAATTCGTGCATTTGTTGGCTTGAAACGGCAGACGAAAAGGAACAAAAACACTTATGCATCAACCTAATATTACAGTTGAACTTCGATACAACGAATTTCGAATTTTAAAACGTGCCCAAAATTTCTGCATAGCTGCCCCAGTCAAATGCAATCAGCGGCCGTCCAGGGCAGCTACGCAGAAAATTTGAGGCACGTTTTAGATTCGTTATATCGAAGTTCGACTATATTTTATTTTTTTATTTTATCTACTGAAAAAATTCATATAAAAAAAATTGGAAAAATCTCTAGTTGGGTTGTAAAAATGAGCTTTTGAACTTCGACTTTGAACTTTGAAAAAAAAAGATACCGACTGGGGCTACCAGTGGTGAATTTATCGCATACACGAAATATATCAATCACAATACAACGACACACACAATACTAGGCTATATCTTAACTTAACCCACGTCATGACAGACGGCTCCCTAACCCTAAGCTCAATGGGGAACTAAATAGCTTTTTTTTGGTGGTGAAGGGAAGATGACGATGAAGGAGTGGCTTGTCACTTTAAAGAACTGGGGCCACAACCACCAGACTGCCCTCCAGAAAACCTCTCAACCCGAAGGGAAAGGAAATCCGAAGGGGGTGCCCATGTCGCATGTGGGGTTCGAACCCTCGACCTTCCGATTAAGATAAAAGACACTTAACCAGTCAGCCACACGTGCTCAATGCATAAAATATTTTAGATTTTATTGTGATTTAAAAAAATACATATCTTCTTTCAAAACTTTTTGAAAACAATACCATAGCGCAAGCAATCCATCTTGTGCACTCGCACCCCATTCGAAAACTGTTGAAGCAAGCGCCGTTGCCACGACAGTTAATTGTAAAACGGTGTTAATCTAAAGTTAAAAAGTATATTTAAAAAAAATTTTAATTTGAACTTTGAAAACTTTGAAACTTTTGAACGAAAAAAAAAGATCGAATCTTTTTTTTTTGCAAATTTTATCCCTACTTTTTAATTTTATCCCACAAATAATAAGAAATTAAATCAAACGATAAAAAAAAAGCTTTAACAAGTAACTTTTCAATTGCAATAAGTGAATATTGCTTACAAATTGACTTACAAATTGCTTGTCGACTTCAGCCAACGTTTTTTTATGCGTTGCACTATCAAAATGTGGATGAGAAAAGAATCAGAAACGTGATTTCAGTAGATAAATTTCGAAAACACCAAACAATACACTGTTTTTTTTTCTTTTATGCCTTTTCAATTCAAAACCAAACAAAGAGTTCTCGACTTTTTTCCCCGAAAGCAATTTCTGAATTCAGTCGACTTCAGTCGAAAATTGGTGGCGCGCACTTCCTATTGAGCTTTCAAAATTCACTGCTTAACGCTTTCAAAAATTCTATTTTACATTTGAATATTGTATTTTTAAGCAAGAAAAAAAAACCCCTATTCACTGAAAATGATTCGCGCTAATTACGTGAAAAAGTTCGCGAATAAAGCAAAACAAAAACGGAGCCGAAGTCGCAGTCCGCACGAGCATCGAGATCGTAAGCTTTACTTTTTAAACGATAAAAATCAACTCAATAGAAATCATTTCATTTTCATTATCGTATACCAGTCAAAGCCAAAGCCACGGCCTATCTAGCGCACTAATTTTCCTCATTTTCTTGTGGCAAAGACTTGCATCCGCGAGAAAATGGAGAATCTAGCGTGTTAAAAAGTATATGTTTGGCTTTTTTGGCACAAACTACACTCAAAAGAACAATTTGGAGGTGAATTTTGTTTATAACTACCGTAATAGTACCCCACCCCCATAATGACGGTGCGGAGTGTCGCGTAGTCTAGCTTTGAACGAGTTTTTCTCGACACTGGTTTATGCTACAATGCGCGCTTAGGTATCAAAAAATAGCCCTCAATTTCAGCTATTTTCTGACACCTAAACGAGCATCGTAGCATAAACCAGTGTCGAGAAAAGCCCGTTCAAGGCCAGACTACGCAACACTCCGCATCGTCATTATGGGGGTGGGGTACTATTACAGTATTTACGGTAGGTCTCATTTGCAACGGTCACCTGTAATACTGTAATAGTACCCCACCCCCATAATGACGGTGCGGAGTGTTGCGTAGTCTAGCTTTGAACGAGCTTTTCTCGACACTGGTTTATGCTACGATGCTCGTTTAGGTGTCAGAAAATAGCTGAAATTGAGGGCTATTTTTTAATACCAAAGACGCATTTTTGAAAGTACGGGCGCTTCGAAAAAAAATGAAATACTAAAAAACTTTTGCGACTACGCGACTGTACGAGGGCGGTGGGGTACTATTACAGTATTATATGTAAAGTTACCGTTATCACGTATTTACCCTCAAATTTTCTACTTACCACTTCTTATTGTTAATTGTTTTCCAAGAAAAAAAAAACATTACTCTCTAAAGCTTTTTAAATTCTTACTCTACTTTATTATTTAAATTTTATTTAAATTATTTATTTCATTACCTATTTAAAACTATTCTTGCTCATTTTCAGTAATGTTTAAAGTATTTAAAAAGAGTGACACATTCAATATACTCATTAAACTCTGAACATCATGAATATGATCTCCACCGACAGTGTCGCCAGTATTCTTACCAGTAAGTTAAGAAGAAAACTTATTGAATCAAATCAAATAATAATATAATTTTTATGTATTAGCTTTTAAATTACAAAAATTTAAATGTTTTTTACTACTTTTTAGCTGACAAAGCGCGAGGATGGCGAATGCTGCAGAAATCGCTCCCAAAAATCATCGACTACGGCCGATCGGAGGGAATTCTGCAATCGAAATCTGATGTAGAATACTTTTTAAGATATAGATATACACTACTGGACAATGAAATATCATTTTTGAAAAAAGATCGTCACTTTCGCGCGTCTGTAACTTCCTTGTCTTTACCGTATTTCTCAATATTAATATTACCATTGTGTAGCCAATGAAAAGAGCTTTCAGAAAATGTAGAACACTAATAGTTTAAACTCAAAGACAAGGGAGTTACAGAAGCGCGAAAGTGACGATCTTTTTTCAAATATGATATTTCATTGTCCAGTAGTGTAGCTACCATATTTTCTCTAATAAATGCCCCCTCGATTAACTTTGGACGCTTCGTTCTCAGTCCCATTTTGAGATAGAGAACACGATTTATGAGCCTTGATAATGCTTGATGAAAACCTACAAGAGCCTTGAAGATTCCATGGAATATATTCTTTCCCCACATGGCACAAAATGACCCATACACTTCGGCCTGACAATAAGCATAGGCGGCCACTTTTCTGAAACAAAGATACACTACTGGACAATGAAATATCATATTTGAAAAAAGATCGTCACTTTCGCGCGTCTGTAACTCCCCTTGTCTTTACCTTATTTCTAAATATGAATATTACCATTGTGTAGCCAATGAAAAAAGCTTTCAGAAAATGTATAACACTAATAGTTTAAACTCAAAGACAAGGGGGAGTTACAAAAGCGCGAAAGTGACGATCTTTTTCCAAATATGATATTTCATTGTCCAGTACTGTATGCACTATAAACATAAGGTTTTTTTTCGTCATTTTGATCATTTTCAGGTTAATTACCCAGCCTTTACTTTAAAAACATAAAATCTAATGTTTGCGTAAGTATTTCGTTAGCATTCGATCTTTCCATCCCTGAAAACTCCCCCCCGCTTCTTCTAATCAATTTCCCAGCGATTTTCGGCCTTAGGAATTACTGTAGTTGAAAACTAAAACCAAATTCGAATTCCATACCTCAAAAAACCTTTAGGTAAAAATTTTCAAATCTACAGCTAGCATAGAACTCTATCATTTGAATGGTGAGTTAAGCGCAAAAAAAAAAATGGCTTCATCGCAATACATTATAAATAATACACTATAAATTAGCCGGAGTAACCGCTGTTCGTTTTGCACCTCTTCCAGGCCGATCAGAAACTTTTTTCAAATATGATATTTCATTGTCCAGTACTGTAGATATAGATTATCTAGTTGAAAAGTTATTGCTTATTTTATTCTTAAATTAATAAATAATTGTATGATTTTTAGGCTGGCCCTGGTGGGATCAACCTCTCGGGAATTGTCGTCCAAGCCGCTGAGGAAGCACACGCCGTAAAGGAGCCTAAAAATGGGGACAAGGTAGAAATATGCTGTCAAATTTGTAATCTGTATAGATTTTAGAAAATTTAAAAACGTACTATATAGGTAAACTTGCCTACAAATGATATCACAACAATGCACGAAGCGATCCCGTTTTTACCCGTCCCTATGGCACTCGTTTGCCTATTTTTAGTGAGCATTTCGATTTTGGTTATAAAGATTATCATGGTTATAAAGATATAAAGATTTGAAATGTAAATATTTCAGAATATCGTAATTCCTGGCTCTGGAACGATTCTCTCGGGCATTTCAGCGCTTTGCATGGGTCAACCGAGAATTAATATGAAAGAGGGACGAAAATTGATGACATTAAGTGAGTTTGAAAGTTTAATAGTTCAACATTTTGCCATGATTGCGGGACATTTGATACGTGCCCCTTCTCTCATTAGCAATTTCGCGCCCCTTTAAGCTCAAATTTCTTGGTGTTAGGCTGTTCAATTTAAATAGTTTTTGTACCAATCGACAGATAAAGACTTGGTGCATCCAATGATATTAAGAATATTTCAATTGAACAAACCAAAGCCAAGATATTTGAGCTAAAAGTTAGATTGCTAATGGGAAAAGGGGTGGGACGTGTATCAAATGTACGAAAAGCCTTTAGGTTAATCTTCCAAATCCAAAATCTTCCGCTTTTCAGTAATCAATTTCCTCGTCGGCGTTTCACAGTTTTTCACAATCACTTTCATCTTCGTCGGCTGGTTTTGGAGTATCGCGTGGGGAGGATTGTTGATTATTCATTCAAGTAAGTTTCTAAGTAAAAAAAATATTGTTTATTTATTTAAAAAACAGCACCTACAATAAAATTGCAGTAACACAAGGCATTGACTAGTTAAGTTAAGACTACGGTAGTTGATTGGGCTACAGTCATGAAGTCATGAATGTTTCAGCTTCAATTAAGGCTAAATTTCAGTGCAATACCGTGATGCTCTTCAACAACGAAGACAAGAAGCTGTTGCAACGGCGGCCATTGAAGCACTCACAAAAGACTCGATTCTTCATCGAAGAGACGTGAAAACTCTCGTCAAAACGCACAAGGAACAAACGAAAACAAAAGCTTAATTTTGCTCAAATTTTTAAATAAACTTTATGCTCAACTTATTCAATTTATTAATTGATCCTACAAAGTACAAAAGAAAAGAAAGGGAATTTCCTTTTTCGTTAACGAAAAAAAGGGATTTTCTTTGGTGATTGTAGTCTAATCGTTGCGTAGTTTCTCTCTAAATGATAAGGAAAATTTTTGCAAATCGAAAAGAAAACTCGTATTTGATTGAAAAGAAGAACTTCAAGGCTACAAATAAATTTATTTTTAATTTTAAAAATCTATTTTTACTTTTAAAAATCTATTTTTACAAAATGCCTCAAATTGTGAAAGCTCGTCGTCTTGAGGGTCAAGTTGCCATTGTCACCGCCGCTACTTTGGGGTAAAACTTTGCTACTAAAATTTATCTTTTCTTACATTTATTTATTCTTTATTTACAATTCTTAATGCTAAAATATATTTATTATATGCAAATGTTAGAAAAGGTTTCAAATTCCACATTGCTCACAGCTCTTTTTGTTTAGAATCGGTTATGCTATTGCCGAACGCCTCGGTCTTGAGGGAGCCGCTGTGGTGATTTGCAGTCGGAAGAAGGAAAATGTTGAAGTAAGTATTGAAAAATATACATGCAAAGCTTTGAGTTATATTCTAGTAAAGCCAACTAAACTATTCAATCCTTCAATTACCATGAAAATGGACTGTAGACGATCCAAGTTTCCATTCCATACCTACTAGAAATGGGAAAATTCAAAGCCGAACCTAATTCCACCATCGTTTTCTTTGCTGATTACTCTGAAACAGATAGAAAACTTGTCTACAGATAGAAATCGACATTTTCAGCTTGTAGACAAAATTTCAGAGCAATCGGCCAAGAAACGGCCGAGAAAATGAAGGTGGAATTAGACTCGGCTTGGAATTTTTCGATTTCTAATACCTACACCTACACCTCGCGTGACAATCCTATTCTTTAACAAAAAAACAGACCTCAATCTATTTCTGATGAACTCAAAGCTATGAACTGGACATGTTCTAATTCCAGGAAGCAGTCGCTTCTCTGAAAAAAGCCGGCGTGCAAAAAGTTGCCGGAATCGAATGCCAGATCTCAAATCCCGAACATCAAAAGCGGCTCGTTGATTTTGTAAGATCTAATTCTCACTGAAAATCATGAAATCATTTGAGACTATCGAGAAATTTGGCAAGATCAACATCCTCATCAACAATCACGGTATCAATCCAGCTTTCGGCGATATGATGGATCTCGAAGATCGGACATGGGACAAGCTTTTTGAGGTAAACAAGTACTGCTTGTCTACAGCCCACGGAAATTGTTCAGACAAACGTCAAATCGGGATGGCAGCTCACGAAACTTGTTGTGCCACACATGCAAAAGGAGGGGTAAGAAGAGAATTAAATAAAAGATCAGTTGTTCATTTCAGCGGTGGGAACATTGTCTTCAATGCCTCAATCGGTGGATACATCACGTCACCAGTGAGTGAAAGGGTTTAAACAATAAACTAAGCTGGTACAAAGCACAAAGCAAAGGTCCAAAAATGAGACTTACAAGGAGAGATTTAGTGTCTTTACACTCGTCTTTACAAGAGATGAAACTTTAGAATACCTCAAAATCTAGCTACTGAATAGTCGATGAGTTAAATCTTACCAAAATGTCGTTTTATTGATGACCGGCCAAACGCTTAAAGGCGGGTTTTACTGATTAAATCTTGTGCAGTAAGCCACATGCCATCGTGGCGCAGTCGGGAGCCTGCTGGTCTACGATCCACATGGTCCGGGTTTGAGTCCCGGCTCTTTCACCTAAACTTGATTTTTTAAGATTTTTTTTAAAATGGCATAACTACAATATATTCTAAGGTTTTCTAATGAAGTTTTAGCTTTATTGGACAAAACACAGCCGAGAAAATGCCCGTACAGAGAGATAGACGGACAGACACTGCTCTTTTATATATAGTAGATTAAAAGCAAGCATTTCTATAGTCAATGAGGGTTTCCTTTATTTACAATTTCGCAAAAGCCAAACCATAGATCTTTCTGATATTTTAGATAGTTAGTAAAGAGATTAACATTATTGTACAAATTTTAAACTCAAAATCTGATGGTTGAGCTTTGAGGAAGAGTCTTTCGTGATAGAAAGAGACATTTTTTGCACTCTAACTTAAAATCCATCAGATTTGAATGAAAATTTCTCAGATAATAAACCAAAATTCATTCTATTTTAGCCTATTTAATTGATTACTTTAAGAGAAATAAAAAATAAAACCTTTTATTGAAGGAGATTTTAAAGAAATTGAAAGAAAAGTTATTACTCTTCTAAAAATTCTTTCTAATGTTCTAATGTTTTGTAATGTTCTAATGTTCTAAAGTTCTAATGTTTTCTAATGTTCTTTCTAATCTTTCTAACCCAGGCAACAATAATGTTAATCGCTTTGATAATTATCATACTAAAATATCAGAAAGATTTATGGTTTGATTTTTTTGTAAAAATTGTAAATAAAGAAGAAGCTCATTTATTTATTTATTTATCTAATAGATGATCGCCACGTATGCTGTGACAAAAACGGCTCTTCTTGGCCTAACAAAAGCTCTCTCTCGTGAGCTGTCAAGGCAGAAAATTCGCGTAAACGGAATCGCTCCCGGAGTTATCAAAACGAAAATGAGCAAAGCGGTAAGTTAAGTGAAATTTGAATAAATAGAGACAATTCTAGAGAATTTACCCAAAAACAAAAGAAAAGATTTTCAGTATCAAATTGTACTAAGCTTTTGTTTCTTACAATAAAATTTTCCCTTTTCAGTTATGGGAGAGCGGCGAGGAGGGTCTGGCTGCTGCCCAAGAGGTGAGTGTTGAAAGAAATCATTTCATTGCCAAGAAAAGATGAGACAATCGAGCGATGATATCATTTTCATTCTTTGAACGTTTAAAGAGCAAACACGTCATTTGTTCTGAGCACGTCATTTGTTCTATTTACAGATCTCAATGGGTCGCCTGGGAGTTCCGGAGGATTGCGCGGGAGCGGTGGCTTTCCTTGTTTCAGGTCTAAAATTACTTTTTTCTAAAGACTCGGGATTTCCTCTCTCTTCCTTGTCTTTCTTATTTCTTCTCCGGCAAAGCAAGCGTTGATAGCTCAGTGGTAGAGCATTAGCCTAGTGAGCAGAAGTTCGACGGTTCAATTCCCCCTCGGCTTCTTTTTAGCTCATCTTTTTACTTTATTACAGTAAACTTTCTTATCAGAAAGTTAGAACCTATTTCACATAAATGTTTTAGATTGGTTATAGTTACTGTAGTCTACAATAAGTTACTGTAAATCTTGTATGCAAACTTTTCAGATGACGCGTCGTACATCACAGGAGAGACAATTGTCATTGCTGGAGGAGTGCATGCTAGACTCTAATCTTTATTTTTCAAGAAAAATAAAATATTTATCAAGTACGGCTTCAAAAAAAAAACAATTTTCTTTGTACATTCTTGAGCAAAAGGTGCTGATCGGGAAGAGCCGAAGGGAGTAAAGCTATCGTGGTCACCGGTTTCGGAGAGACTCTTTTTTTGAGAAAAGATTGCAGGTTTTCAAATCATCCAGGTCCAGAGGCCTTGTAACTGAAATGCATAATTATATAGGGGTAGACGAGCTGTTTATTTTGACAAATACTGTACAATTACACTACAGTATACCAGAATGCGTACAATCCAGCCAATAAGACTGTAACGTTCTTCAGTGAAGTAAAAGGTATGAGCCTTTGCATGTGTATACCTTATTCAACATACCAGATACGGTAGTTTATACTTTAATATATTTAGCTTAGTTTAGTTTATCTTTAGTTATCTTTAGCTTTTCAATAAGTACATTGTATTTTGAAAGCTTTTAGTACAGTCGATTTAACGATTCGCTCGGGAGATTTCAATTTAACGAGCTGGGCGAGCTAAAACGTGCCCCAAATTTCTTGTGTAGCTGCCCTGAACAGCCAGCAATTGTGTCTGGCTGGGCAGCTACGCAAAAACCAAATCGTTGTATTGAAAGTCGTTAAATCGAGAGTCAACTGTACTTACATCCGGCCGCAAAACGCTCGCTGGCACGGCCAATCTTCTTGCTCTCGCCATGGGTCTTCGTCTAAAGTTTTTTTTTTGCTAGAAGAATAAACAAATAATCTACAATTCCATTTATTCATTTTCTTTACTTACATCAAATTATCTTCATCCGGATACGTCATCCTTCTTGCCTCGGCAAATGACAATAGAAAAAGAAAAGAAATGAGAAAAACGAGTGTAAACCGCATAGATCTGAAAAGAATAAATAAAATAAAAACGAAAGATTGTAAGAATGTGAAATAGTTTACTCAAAATATCAATAGCTCAGAAAAGTTGCTGAATAAGAATTAGCTTGATGAAGAAAGAGGGAAAAGATCAGGATTTTGAGTCATTGACAAATGAGAAAGTTCTCTGTGCACTATAGAAATCACTAAGCTACCAAAAAAATTTAGAAGTTTGAATCTTTAGCTTCTTCTTTAAGTACTTCTTCTTCAGAGGGTGTGAGTTTGAAAAACTGAGCGCCGGTCTCGTTCAAAGAGAATCGTTTCAAGTTAACTTTCAAGATCAAACCGATTTAAAGAGGTAGATTTGAAAAATTCTTTTAAAATCAGATTAATGAGATACAAAAAACTTGGCTCAAGCGAAATTTGGCGAATTTCTGTGCGCAAATATGGAAAATTTTGAGAATTTTCATTGCTCTCTAAAGATGGGGAAATTTCGATGGAAAAAGATGAGAAAATTATCGGGTTTTAAAAGAAATTCTCCTTTTTTATAAAGAGCCGTTTTGTGGTCGTCTTTTTGGTGTGATCATTTCCACGAAAAGGAATCAAAAAATGAAATTGGGAAAAGAGGAGATTGTTGATGGTGATCTTTGTTGAAAGAGAGCTCATTTTAAAGGATGAGGGAGGTTAATTTTATGGTTTTGAAATATCTGAAAACAAAATCGCGAAATGAATTCGCTCAATTGCGTGGAGTCAGGTTTTGTTTTTTGAAAAGAAACTCACAAATAGATGAAAATTAAATTTAAACTTAAACCGAGTATTTCCGGCTCTTCTGCCTTGTCTTTCCTATTTCTTCTTCGCTCAAGAAGGTCTCTATAGCTCAGTGGTAGAGCATTAGCAGGGTAAGCGGAAGGTCGAGGGTTCGATCCCCGCTGAAGATTCTTTGGCATTAATTTCTTTATTTTATCATGCTTTCTAACATTTGCTATTGTCTAGTTGAATAATCTTGTTTAACCAGTGTTCAAATTCAAACAAATCAAAGCAAAACCAATTTTCTACTACGAAACGGAGTAGTAGAAAATATAATGTAAAAGTTGCATTAACATCAAAGCAAAGAATAACAAAGTATCTGTTTTAAAAGAAATTTTTTGAATTTGAACCAACTACTAGAGTAATATGCTAGCAAGTTGTTCACTTTGAACTATAGTTGAACAAAATCGAGCTTATTGAAGTAAGCGTGTGAAAAAAAAAGCAATCAATAATCAAAAGAAATTTTCTATTAGATCATAAGTTTGAAATTAGTTACAAAGCCAAGTAGGACTACAAGAACGAGGCCAAAAATGAGTCCTGTTTAATAGAAAAGTTAGAGAATTTACATGATAATATTCAATTGTCTTTAAAGTACAGTGAAAGAATAGTTAGCAATGAGCTCTTGCTCTCAGGCATTTAGCACTCATCAGGCACCCAAAAATAGTCACCGCCTTGGTGTGGGTGTTTCGAGAAATGGAATGGATTAGTTTCCCGATGATGATTGAGATTTGTGTATCTCGGTTGAACGCTCGCCACAATCATTTTCTCTTTTCTCATTTATACATGCACAAACGACTTTCACCAAAAAGAGCCGTTTCACATGGGAAATTCGCCGAACTTCGCCCATGAGATATTTTTAAAAGAAAAAAAGAGAGAGAAAGAGAAAGAGAGAGAAAGAGAAAGAGAGAGAAAGAGAAAGAGAGAGAAAGAGAGAGAGAAAGAGAAATACAGTAGAGAAAAATTTTGGCCGCAAATTTTTCACCCATGCAATTTCTTTTTTAACACCTTTTTGTTTTCTCTCCTTTATCGAAGCCAGAAATTGGGTTTAAGATTGAAAATCAAAGGTTCGGATTTTAAAGATTTTAAAAAGTGCAAAGAGTTGGTGAAAATGTTTTTGCAAGTTTTGAGCCATAACTTTTTCTAGGTAATTTTGGCATACATTTCGAAATTGTGCTTAAAAGTGGTAAGCACGATCTTTCTAGTAAAACGAATTCTTTATCTTTTTTTGACATCAAAAAGGTTACCAAGAATTCAGTGCACTAGACGTGTTTTTTCATTTTTTTTGGTTCAAAGTAGACCTGGGAATTTTGAATGTCAATAGGTGTCCAACGGAAAAATGCAATATCTCGGTCAATTTCACTCCAATCTTTTTGTCTTTGATTTCAATTGATAGAAAATTAAATTTTGCGTCATTGATATCAAAATCAAAAAGATCGAAGTGAAATTGGCCAAGATATTGCATTTTTCCGTTGGGCACCTATTGACGGTGACACCTATTGACGGTGACACCTATTGACGGTGACACCTATTGACGGTGACACCTATTGACGGTGACACCTATTGACGGTGACACCTATTGACGGTGACACCTATTGACGGTGACACCTATTGACGGTGACAATCAATGACTTTCGATGACATTCACACCGAAAATTCCCAGGTCTAGTTCAAAGTACTTCAGACAAAGAATAGGTTGAGTTTGGAGATTCTCTGGAAATTAGTGCAATAACATGCGTGGCCCAAATAAAAAAACTTGAGTACGCCAAAAGAAATGCGTTTCAATGTGAGCACAAAGTACAGTTACTGACTACTGATCAAAGTTTCACAAAGCTAAAGAGCGAGAGATTGAAAGCTCAAGAGAAAACTCAAAAAACTTTTTTCCGAAGACCATTTACCGATGTACAACTCTTGGAAGTAACAAGATTTTTCTAATATTTAAAAAACTTTTCTTTTCAAGAAATTAGAAGATAGTTTGATGAGTACTCATTCGCCAACACGTTGTCTCATCTCATCCAATCAAAAAAAAAAATTTTGTTCCCCAAATCCCCTCAAAAACTTCCGCTTTCGTTCACCAACACCTTAAAAGATTTCCTAAACGATGAGCGAATTAGATTTTTTTTGGGAATTCTGATGTTCTCTAAAAATTGACTGTCAGCGATTCCCCAAATAAGCGATCATTTTCCGGGAAAAAAGGGAAAAGGAAAAGAAAATCGAAAAAAAGGCGGATCATCATCAAAATACGAGAAGTACCCTAAATGTGCTCATGCTGATTGTGTGGAATTCCGCGATATTTGATGTTTTTTTGGGGTGGGGGATTTACGTCAATCGCTCCTTGTTAATCAAATGATCTCAAATAAAGGATACATCCAGTCACATCTTGACCTTGGAGAATATAAAAAAAATCCATATGAAGTGTCACATTGGGTTTCGATAACAAATTCTTGCATAGATGATCGTTTTATACATCTTGTTTGATTAAATTTGAATTAATCACTCAATTTGCATACATATTACATGGGCAACTAGACTAGCCTAGTCCGGGTTACAGCAATGCTTTTGATTTTGCCAATTGACAGGATATATTTAACACTTCTTAAAAGTTCTACGCTGAAACAACGATTTTATCAAAAATAAAAAAATCTGTCTTAAAAAAGGGCAAATTTGAAATCTAAAAAGTGCCCCGTACCTCTTGCCCTCCCCTTCCCTAAAGCCCTTGATGACTATTTTAAAATTCGACGAACAAGAGGCAGAAAGAACTGAACTTTCTCAAGAGTTCGCCGAATTGATCAAGTATTCGGTAAATATTGCTCTCATTTGTAATAAAAAAATAAAGGGCTACTGTAGTGTCGTGTGCACATACACGAGAAATGGCGGAAATCGCATCTACAAATTGGCTCAAATAGGTCGACAAAATAAACCAGTTTGTTTCTAAATCTTGTCATGCTGTTGCCGTATGCTTGAATTTTACAAATTTTATGTACTTAAACTAACCTATATTATTTACATCACAAAATCTAAAACGAAAAGCACAAATTCAACAAAAACCCGTTAAACATTGGGTTAAACATCGTAAAATCTAGAAGACCAAAAACTGACAATATCTTGAAGTATCTTTGACAAAAGAAGTAGATCGTTATACTTTCTTGAAGGCTCTCCCGGTGGCGTATTGAAGTCCAGAGTAAACCGTTGTGAATCCGGTTGCCCAACTAAAATGAACAAATAAGTAAAAAAAATTGATAAGCATAAAGCTTCCTATATTTTTTTTTTTTTTTTTTTTTTTTTTTTTTTTTTTTTTTTTTTTTTTTTTTTTTTTTTTTTTTTTTTCTTTTTCCTTTTCCTTTTTTTTTTTTTTTTTTTTTTTTTTTTTTTTTTTTTTTTGCCTTTCCTTTTTTTTTTTTTTTTTTTTATTTTTTTTTTTTTTTTTTTTGTGTGGGTGTTGGTGGGGGTGGGGGGTTTTTTTTTTTTTTTTTTTTTATTATTTCAAACCCCCCTTTCTTTTCCTTTTTTTTTTTTTTTCCTCTTTAAAAAAAAAAAAAGGGGGGGGGGGGGGTTTTTTTTGGGTGGGGGTTTTCCTTTCTTCTTTTTTTTTTTTTTAAAAAATTTTTAACCTTTCACCCACACGTGCTCAATGCATAAAATATTATAGATTTTATTGTGATTTAAAAAATACATATCTTCTTTCAAAACTTTTTGAAAACAATACCATAGCGCAAGCAATCCATCTTGTGCACTCGCACCCCATTCGAAAACTGTTGAAGCAAGCGCCGTTGCCACGACAGTTAATTGTAAAACGGTGTTAATCTAAAGTTAAAAAGTATATTTTTAAAAATTTTTAAACCTTGCTCATCAGGGTTGGCACAATTTGCATCGATGAAACGGATGGATTAAAGAATCTAAATTCGATACTTGTTAGTGGTTGAATTACTAACTAAGAAATCGTAATTTAAAAATATTAAAAAACTAATGAACCAACCGGTCCAAAGAATAAGGGGGCTCCATCGTGCGATATCGTTTGTAGAATCCTCCGGTGATCAAGCAAAAATCGCGAAGAAGAACAACTGCTGTCAACGACACTAAAAACAAAATTTTTAAAAATGTGTTTATACTTGATGATAGCACGTTAATCAGTTTTTAAAAATATAATAATAAAAATTCAATCAAATTTACCAGGTAATGTGTGCGATATCGACAAGGTAATGAACATAGTGGAGATTAAAAATTTGTCCGCTACTGGATCCAGCACCGACCCGAGAAGAGACTTTTGGCCAGGCACATTCCTCGCAATATAACCGTCTAACTGAAATATTAAATATACTAAATATGCCAAGCAAAAACACTAAATTCCAAGAATATTATCGCCTAACCAAGTCTTACCAAATCACTCGCTCCAGCAACAACGAATAGTGCAAATGCTGGAGAAAATTCGTGTGCGACTATCAAGTAGCCAATCACTGGAGTGCTTGCTATTCTAAATTTAAAAGTATGAAACTAGTAATGCTAGATATACGCATTTAAGCTATTTTGTTTATTTTTTGCGTAATCAGCTTAAAGTAATAATAAGTGTAAAACTGGGAACTGATCAGAACAGCGCCGTGGACAAACAGCGTCACGGCAAAAATAGCCCTTCCACAATTAAGTTTCTGTGTTTCTTATTGGATGCAGAAGAAAATTATCTACACTTTGGGATCACTTAAAACAGAATTGGTGCCGGGAAAAGCTCAGATAGCCTCTTTTTGAACCCTTTTTCGTTTATTGGCATTTTCTCTTTACAGATTTGTTCTAAACGGCTCCAAAAAATTCAGCAAATAGCTAATTTTTTTTCTACATCCAATGAAAATAAGAAACACAAATAAACTTAACCGCAAGCGCATTATTTTGGCCGGGGCTGTTTTAATCAGCTCCTGTAAAACTTAAATCAAACCTTGCTATACAAATAGCATTAGGAACGGTGGCTAGCTTGTATTTTCCACGATCTTCGGGTGCCAGCTTTGGTGTTTCTTGAGAGTAGTCTCTAAAAAAACAAAAATAAAATGCGATATTTGAACTGTTTTTTAACGTTTAAGTAGGCAACTTTTAAAAATATTGCATAAGATTTCCAATCAATAATACCTTCTCCTCGAGAGCATCACATGATTGGGTGCTATACATCGCGTAAACAAAGGCCGAGTTCGAAATAAATGACTTCCTAAAAAAGCTTCGACAAAACCAAAACAAAAACAATGCTTACTTGTCAACGAGCCAAATAGTATTCGTGTTCCGGCTTGCATCGTTGCGGTGTCTAAAATAAAAGATTGTGTTAAAATTCATAAAAAGAATCAAACAACAACAAAAGTGCAATTAAAAAAAAACATCCGATGAGGTTAGCTAATGATCTCGGGAGAGACCTTTGTGCAAAAGTACGATAAATGATTAATAAAATGACACTACAACTACCGTAACCGATCACAATTTCGGCATAAAATGAAGTAAAAAAGACAAACAAGACAGAAGTTGGAAAACTATTTCTAGCTTTACCTTTCAGAGTGCTTTGAAATTTTGAAATTTTGAATTTTGGCAACTACTGGCAATTACTACAAAAAAACAAATGTCTGAGCGCCGAGATATGAGCGGTTCTTGGGGTAGGCTAATTTCCGCATTTTATTTGTGCAACAGGGTCATTTGCGCAACTAGGCTTTTTGCGCAACTCGCCATAACTTTTTCTAAGTGGCACAATCTTTATGATTTTGGTTTCATTTTGTAGATCTCAATAAGTGCAACAAAATTAAAATTAAACCAAAACCATAAAGATTGGTCTACTTAGAAGAAAGTTATGGCGAGTTGCGCAAATGACCCTCTTGCTCAAAAAAAATTGCGGAAATTAGCCTACCCCAGTTCTTTTAATCTAAACTTAGACTACGCGACGCTCCTATAGGGGGGCTTCTATTAGAGTATTTATCGCATGTATCAGTTCTAGCATTCTTAAAATTTTGAATGCTTCTTCCAAATGACATTTCCCAGTTCAAGTACCCATTTCATCTCGAGATTAAAGCGGTTTGTCACGCTGCGACTACTAAAATTTAACGCATGTTCGCCAAAATCCCAATCATAGCTTTCCTGTTTTGATATTTACGTTTTCACCCATTTAAACATTTTCATGTTTTCATTTTCAGGAATGCCAGACAAAATCGAGATCTACGAGGGATCCGACGAAAGCGAGCCGGAAAGTTTATTAGAGAAAGATGACGAAGAAGCATCGCCTTCAAATCAGGTCATTTTTTGGTTTATTTGGTGAGAAATAAAGGTACTTTGGTTGGGAGGGACAACTTTTATCCTTTTACCTTTATCCTGGCTTAGTTGGATCTAACGTTTTGAATGGTTGTATTGATACGTTTTATTTACCTATTCTAGGATAATCAAATAGGCTTATACTTTTAGAGCATTTACGACATGTTTCAAGTTTCATATTGCCGCTTTTATTTAATTTTCAAGTGTAATCAGCTTTGAGGTAGTGTTCGGTGGTTAAAATACATGAGATTAGGCTAGAATTGCCAAAAACTTGCTAAAATAGTCACTAATCCATTAAGCATATTTGATTACCCTGGAACAGATAAAATGTATCAATACAGCTACTCAAAACATTAGATCCAACTAAGCTAGGATAAAAGTGTAAACCACCAAAGTACTGAAATAAAACTTGAAATCTTTCCGTAGGTATTTCGAAGCATTACCCATTTTCTGTCTTTAAATTTTAATGCTTAATGGAAATACTGATTCTATTTTAACATTTTTCAAACTATTAGGCTGACCGATAAGTTCATAGAATTTTTTATCAACTTTTAGAGTGTAATTTTTCAAAAAGCCCACCATCAATTTTTCTAAAAATTTTGCAGCAAATATACCTATCGTTGAAAAAGTTTTTGCCAAAATATGAGACAAATCATACGGCTAGTTTCGAAGATTTCATTAGTTGATTGGTTCCTGCCGCCTTTTGAGGAAGCTGTCTTCAATCGAATTTTCTATAGTCCAGTTTTTAGATAAAAAGATAAAAACAAAATGAATTAAACAAAACTGGAAATTTTTTTTGGTGGAACCGTTTTTCATATAAAGCTTTAGTTTTAAAAAACGCACCTTTTTTGAATTGTCAGTGTAAAAATGGAAAACTCAAAAAAGCAAAATCTTTAAATGGACTTCTTTATCCAAAGTATGTGGTTAAATAAAATTTTGACATGGTTTTGTGGTGGCCGTTTAATTTTTTATGAGGTTTTAGTGGTGAGAAGATTGAGATCAAGTTAACGTTGAGAACTTTATTTTCGTTAACATTATTTTCGATTTTTATAGAAAGTTATACGGGAAAGAAAACCTCATCTTTTGGCAAAAAGCCTTTCACCTTTATTAAAAATTACTGTAAAACTTTCAGAAAGATTGATGGTGGAATTTTTGAGAAATTACACTTTAAAAGTTGATAAAAAATTCTATGAACCTATCGACCAGCCTAATACTTCCAAAATCAAAGCATTAATTACTAAGCTTAAAACTAATGCTAACTATTTACGAAGTTGGAGTAATGATTTTTTGCTTTTAAGCGCATTAAAATTAAGCCAGTTTGACACATTTCTTTACATTAGAATTTTAGATTGTTTCAACAGCTCCCGAAGAGACGGTAACATTCGAGGATGCACCAAGGCCCAAGAAAAATCTGCAACGAAAGGTGCTTTCTTAATCACGTGCATTGTTTGTAATTTCTCTAATTTATCTATCAATTCGTTTTATTTTAGAAGAAACTGAAGAAATTAACACATCGCGAAACGATGGTGAAACTTTCTGAGAAGCGAGAACGTGACATATGGGGAATGAAGAAACCCGACATCATCAAGGACAAAGAAAAGGAACGATTATTGAAGAGAATTGCCACACAGTTAGTTTTCTTGCTTACATTTTTGGTCTAGTAGAATTATATAGTAGTTATAAATTCGACGCCTTTACAATTAATGCTTGTTTTATTTTTATATGTTTTAGAGGAGTTGTCCAATTGTTTAACGCTGTTTCGGACCGCCAAAAAGTGGTGAGCAAAGCGTTGGAGAAGAAAACGAAAGACAAAAAGGTACGTTTTTAATTCTTAATCGTTTCACGTTCTTCTTCAGACGTTAAGCGGCTCCAATTTCATGGTTAATGGGAAACCGAAACGCGAGAGCTCCGTAAAAGACGAATTCGATGATGCTTCGATGAAACAAGAGGTGGTCGTTGATTTCGACTAAACACATTGAAATTTCTAGTTACGTGCTTATTGTTATTTTTGTTTTATCAAGAGTGCACAAAATTTACTCAAGATAAGTTGTTGGACTTTAACGTTGTTGATTTTTTGTTACGGTGGTCATTAAAGATGATAGAACTTTAAGTGAAAGGCATAAATAGCAGAATTGTCTTAATATTCTAAAAAATTTCGTAAGCTCAACAAAAATACTTTATCTAGCCAGAATGTTTTTTTTTGGTTTACACAAATTTGAGACAAAGATTGTGCAACCGAGCCGAATAAATAATGAATCGGCAGATCCTTTTCTACTCTCGCTGATGCCCGTCAGAGGCCATAAATGCTTTCAGGGGGCTTCTCTCCTCCCGAAAAAAGCAATTTGACATGAAAATGGCCTCATCCAATCCATCGCTCAAACATCGATAAATTTCTCGTAAATATTCGGGGTTAAAAGTTGATGTAATCCTTCCCCTCGCTTGGATTACAAAATTCACACGGTTCAACAAAGTTCGATGGGAAGCTAGGTTATTGAGGGAAAAGAACTACACACAAAGCATTCACGTTCTTGTCAGGAATATTCTGAAAGCAAAAATTAGATACTCAACCTAAACAAAATAAGGTTTGATTTAAAACGACAACTTTACCGGGCTAAACCCGAGCTATTTGTTGGGTACTTCTCCGGTATTGCTTTTGAATGTGTCACCACGTCTGTTGAGAAGGGCAATTTCTCTTCACCTACTCGACACACATGCTAAACGGGCAAAACTTCGCGACGGGGTTTTCTGGATGGGGCGCTTTGTGAGGGGGGCCCCTTCTCCCCTTTCCGGGCCCCTCCCCTTCCCAGTCGAGGCGAGAGCATTCTGTCCTCGGGGAGCCCCTTCTCCTTCAGTCCCCTCCTGCCTTTGAATCCTTTCCTCTCGCCTTTCCCTTGCCTCCACTCCCGGTGAGGTCTTTTTTGAGTCGGCTCTTCCCCTTCTCCTTTTTCATCCTTACCCATAATCAATGCCTGGGCCGGCTGGATTTCATCTCGACATCTCGATCAGGTGAATTTTCGCTGAATTCTTCATAACTTGAAAAATGACTGGAAATTTGAAAACTTTTGGATTGTGATTTTTGCAGATTTTACAAGAATTGGGCACTAAAATTGAGGATTTTTAGAGATTTCAGTATTGAAGTCAAACTTACCTGTCCATCAGTCAGACTAGTCAAAGCAGAGCTTTTTTCGGAGCTTCTGCCACTTATATCGGTCTCACCTAATTGCAGATTCGGGTCTAAAATAAGAAAACTTTGGATCTATTTTAGTTTTAAAAACAATCAAATCACCAATTCTTTAAATCCCAAAAAAACCCATTTTGAATGAGAAATGACGCAGTTGTTTGGATCAGTTGTTCGCGAGATTTGTTCCCATTTTGGGATCCAAGTTTTTTTTTGGAGGATTCTCGAAATTACCCCTCTTCTCCCTCAAAACGAGAAAATTCTCAAGGGAATTTTTGTGCTTGACGTTTACTGAAATTCGATCATCCATCTGTTTTTCTAGTTTTACTTGAAAAGTTTAAATATGAAGATAGAAGTCAAAATAGAAGAGATTCAAAATAGAAGAGATTTGCTCTTTTTTCAACCACGGGATTTGCATTATTAGATTTTTCGTTTACGCATCACGGCGTCTTTTTTCTTCCAATGAGATCCCTTTTTTGAGCGCAATGCAGAAACAAAAAACAAAAAAAATAAATCTAGATTTGTTGTAATTTTTGCATTCAACAGGATTAAGCCAAGGAATTTTAGACTTCAGAAATGTTCAGAAATGCTGAAAACGGAGATCCGATAGCGTTCAAAGTGGACGGAGAGCGATTCGATGGAGGCACGAGAACGCTGAAATTTGCGTCGAATGCTCGATACAAAATACAGCTGACTGCCCGGCCGCCACACGAGTTCTTGTGAGTTTGAAATTAAACTCCAAAACACTGATTGAGCAGCTCAAAAGAGATTAGAAGATCGCGTAATCACAAATAGAGTGTGCTCCTCTCAAATCATGTTTTCTAAAAAGTGCTAAACTACCGTAACCTCGCAGTTCATAAAGAAGAAAGTTATTTTCATTTTTAAAAGTCAAAATGGAGTGTAACCATTGCTTTTTGTCTCTATTTTTTTTGCAAACAGGATTTGATATTTTATCTTTAAATAATTTCGAAAAGCATAGTATAGAAAATGAGTAACAGCTCAATGAATCGATAAAATTTTATTGAAAGTAGACTTTTACTCATAACTTTTTTAAGACTTTCATCTTTTTCTTCTTTGGTTGATCATCTTCTTGTTTGTTGTTGTTTCTAAAAATAGATTTTTGTTTAAACCTATAAAATTCCGATGAGAATAGAAAAGAAAAAAAGAATTAAAACAAAAGAAGATACAAAAGAAGTAAAACTTTCAAAAATAAGAAAAGAAAAGCGCGCTTTGAAATGATTTTGCTAACGAGCACCTTTTAGAAAATATGATTTGAATGATTTGGGGGGTGGGACAAATGCGACCTTTTTTTTGCGCACCTGGACACTTGCGCACCTTTTTTTTGCTGGAAAAGGCCTTAGGCAAGGCCGTAGAGCTTCGAAAATATTTCCATATACTGCGGAAAAGCGTTAAGTTGCGTAGTTTTTGCCTTTTAGCCCAAATTTGACGTGTCGGCGAGGTCTGATTTGTCGAAATTCGGAATCTACGCATACGATTCCCTTCTATCAACCATTTTTGAAGCTCTACGACCTTTCCTAAGGCCTTTTCCAGCAAAAAAAAGGTGCGCAAATGTCCAGGTGCGCAAGAAAGGTCGCATTTGTCCCATCCCCACGATTTGTTTTAAGAGGAATAAACTCTTATCACAAATTAGAGTACAGTGTTTCCAATCGAATGTTTCAGTACGTTCTTTTGTTCATTTTTGATCTTGAGATGACATGAGATTTGTTTTCATTAAGTTTTCATTAAGATCATTACATCTGGCCGGCTCTGATCTTGCCCTTTTGGCAGAAGATCCAAAAAGTGGACAATATGTTGCTGAATGGAATACAACTGGAATTGATGCAACTGGGAAAGGAAGCAGACACAATATCAATTTACATTTACAAGTGAGAAAAAGCTAAATGAAAATTTGAATCAAAAAAAAAACAAATGAGTGTCGGGTATAGTGTTTTTTTTTTGCATTAAAGATTTTTTAGCAAACAATAAGCGTAATTAAGATCAAACATAGAATCAATTAAACACAAATTTCTAGGGTCCGGGCGGATTGCTGAAAAAGCAACTGCAGACGAAATTCTATAACCGAGACGACTCACACGCTGAATGGGGACACAAATTAGAGAAATTGATCTGGAAATGCTCGGTGGATGATCGAGGGAATATTTCGGTGAATGATGAGGAATATAAATAGGTTTTAGGAAAGGATTTCTTGGCTCTTGCGTAGTTTTCGGGTTTTTTTGAAAGGGTCATCACGCTTTCACGGCCTATAACTTTGTCCAGAGATAAGATTTTTGTTAACTTTTTGATATCATTGTACAGAAGAGATTTCAGGCTTTCAAATGATACCAAATAGAGCTTGAGTGGATTTTTCATTCTCATGCAAACAGGTGAAACGTCACCGGAGTCGGATAGGCCTCATTTGTTCAGAGTTGGCTCTGATTTTCTTTGACTCGATTATCCAATCAAGCTCTATTTGGTATCATTTGAAAGCCTGAAATGTTCTCTGTACAATGATATAAAAAGTTAACAAAAATCTTATCTCTGGACAAAGTTATAGGCCTTGAAAGCGTGATGACCCTTTCAAAAAAACCCGCAAGAGCCGTTTTCTTATTATTTATTTATTTATTTTGTTTTATTTATAAGTTTTTATAAGTGATTTTGCACAAAGTCTTTAAACTAGTCGAATAAAAAAGTCAGTAGTTTTTTGTGAACTCATCCGGTTATGAGCTTGAAATTTTTTGTTTCTTTCATTTTTTTCTATTTTTAAAAAAATAAACAGCTCAAATTAAAATGATGAATCTTGATCTTAAAGTTGTTTTAAAGTTTTAAACTTTGTTTTAAAGTTTTAAACTTTGTTTTAAAGTTTTAAACTTTGTTTTAAACCTTTAAACTTTGTTTTAAACCTTTAAACTTTGTTTTAAAGATTTTCACAATGAATATTCTTTTTTGCTCAACAACATATTGAAATTTCAATAAATATTTATCAAAGTATGACCGCTGGTCTATATTAAAGGATTACGGTAATCTATATCAAAATGAAAGATCTGGAACTACTGTAGATCAAGAACTTGTGTGTTGCCGGAAACAAACCCAAACGAACCCACCCACAACCTTTCGCTTACCAGACAACTGCTAACCATTGCACCACGACGCACTTGATATCCCTTACTCCAGAGGGAGTTAACTAAAGGATTGGCGCTCAAGAGTCTAAATTGATTGTTTACGGTAATTTGTATGGTCTATATTAAAGGATTACGGTCACCTCTATCAAAATGAAAGAGCTGGAACTACTGCAGATCAAGAACTTGTGTCCTGTCGGGACTCGAACCTACAACCTTTCGCTTACCAGACAACTGTTCTAACCATTACACCATGACTCACTTGATGTTCCTTACTCCAGAGGGAGTTAACTAAAGGATTGGTGTTCAAGAGTCTAAATTGATTGTTTACGGTGATTTGTATGTAAATCACTAGATTACAATATTGTAAGCGACATCAGTAAAAGCAGCTTTTTCTATGAGAACTTATAAACTGTGGGGAAAAGTTTGATTACGATAATTTGACATTGGTATGATCTTTTATCATTTGACGCAAAAATTGGTCGAACAATAGCTTCAAATCGATCGATTCAATCACAGTTTACACACAAATCACTAATAGTTTATTTGAAAGCAACAGGCCCTCTTTTTGCACATCGTTTCTCTCAAACGATCATCTCAACTGTATCCGATGACTGATTGGCTGAAAAGAGCGAAAAGGAGACAAATTTCATCGACGAGGGACCGTTGACACAGAATTTATGATCAATTCACAACCATTTCTTTCCTTTTCGCTTTCTTTTCGATTGAGCTCGCTCGCGTGTTGAATCCCAATGAGCATCACTTTCTAAACGAGTTATTTCTTTTGATATTTCTTTTAATATTTCTTTTTCAAACTAAATTTATAAACAGAAATTCTTAATTTCTAAAGCTTAATCTTTAGCTTTAAATTCTTAATTCTCTACAAACTTGCAAGCAATACAATTTTATAGCAAAATTACTATACCTATTTTAATTTTATTTAAAAAGTTATAAGAAAGTATATCTTGATAAAGTTTTCTAAAAGATTCCCTAAAGAAAAAGCTACCATAATCGTTTTTGATTTATAGTTAATTTAAGTACAGTGGTCCACAAAAGTATTGTCCCATTGCCATCCAAAAGTTTCTTTCGTACAAAAATCTTACAAAAAAAACGATATTCCCAAAAAGTGTAGGGTATTTTGCTTACCCATAATACTCTACTTTTCAAGATTATAAGATTCATCCGTATACATTGTATAAAAATAAAGTATCAAACAAAAACAATGCCGGATCGACTCAATGAAGCGATCAAAGCAAAAGGAGGACCAATCAAATATTAATTTTCTGACAAAAATTGTTATTTCTTTGCAAATGGGACATTACTTTTGTGGAGCTATTTGTTAAGTAACTTATTGTTTTTGTTTTATACTTTAATTTTTATGCAATCTGTACGGATGAATCTTATAGTCTTGAAGAGTAGAGTATTATGGGTAAGCAAAATACCCTACACTTTTTGGGAATATCGTTTTTTTGTCAGTTTTTCGTACGAAAGAAACTTTTGGATGGCAATGGGACAATACTTTTGTGGACCACTGTATTTTTCATTTTAAATTAACAATTGACCTAAATAGCTGGACTGAATCTCTAAATTTTTGCTTTCTTCAAGATCAAACTCTGTTTTCTTTTTGCAAAAGCTCTCCATTACTCTTTTCTTTTCAAAAATATACCCTCATTTGAATTATGCAAACAAGTCGAATGCCCCTTTTTCCTCAATCTTTTGTCCCTGCGAAGAAGGAGAAATTTATTGGAGAAAAAAATAAAGAAAGGAAAAATTCAAGGACAATACATAGAAAAAAAAATGAATGGGAAAAGAAAATTGGAAAACTTTTACAACTGTATCGGGATTGCCTCTGAAAAATCGAATTCATATCAAAGGGAATTTATTTTTTTGCGAAATGACCTTAAAGCTATTGAATACCGTATTCTCTCTAATAGTAGTGCGCGCTACTATTTTTTCAACCCCCTCCTGGACCGCAATACTATTAGAGAGTGCACTACTATTAAAGAGTTTTATCATTTACCAAAGTAAGTTCCAAAAATTCTTGCAACTCTTTCACGTACTCCTTTGACTCCTTTTGACATACAGTTGTGGGCCGGCGAGTTGACAATTTGTGTTTTGACAAACAACAAAAAGATGTTTTTGCCCTTTTTCACAACAATTTTAGATTTTTTGCTAACGTTTTCATGTGAAGAATAGTTAATAAATGAATAAAAAAAGCCTTACTTTTGCTTGCTTGAATAGCTTTAGAAATGTCACATAAACATAAAGTCAAAAAAGTTTAGATGAAAAAGAAGCACCAGAAATTGAAATTTTCGTGGGTGCACTACTATTTTTTCAACCCCCTTCTGGACCGCAATACTATTAGAGAGTGCACTACTATTAAAGAGTTTTATCATTTACCAAAGTAAGACAGATATAAGATTTGTTCCAAAAATTCTTGCAACTCTTTCACGTACTCCTTTGACTCCTTTTGACATACAGTTGTGGGCCGGCGAGTTGACAATTTGTGTGTTGACAAACAAAAAAAAGATGTTTTTGCCTTTTGCACAACAATTTTAGATTTTTTGCTAACTTTTTCATGTGAAGAATAGTTAATAAATGAATAAAAAAAGCCTTACTTTTGCTTGCTTGAATAGCTTTAGAATGTCACAAAGTCAAAGTCACAAAACATAAAGTCAAAAAAGTTTAGATGAAAAAGAAGCACCAGAAATTGAAATTTTCGTGGGTGCACTACTATTTTTTCAACCCCCTTCTGGACCGCAATACTATTAGAGAGTGCACTACTATTAAAGAGTTTTATCATTTACCAAAGTAAGACAGATATAAGATTTGTTCCAAAAATTCTTGCAACTCTTTCACGTACTCCTTTGACTCCTTTTGACATACAGTTGTGGGCCGGCGAGTTGACAATTTGTGTGTTGACAAACAAAAAAAAGATGTTTTTGCCTTTTGCACAACAATTTTAGATTTTTTGCTAACTTTTTCATGTGAAGAATAGTTAATAAATGAATAAAAAAAGCCTTACTTTTGCTTGCTTGAATAGCTTTAGAATGTCACAAAGTCAAAGTCACAAAACATAAAGTCAAAAAAGTTTAGATGAAAAAGAAGCACCAGAAATTGAAATTTTCGTGGGTGCACTACTATTTTTTCAACCCCCTTCTGGACCGCAATACTATTAAAGAGTGCACTATTACTAGAGAGAATGCGGTATTTGAATTTTATTTACCATAGAAATCCTTTAATGCTTTAATCATCTACCGTAAAACATGCTGTTATCGAAAAAACGCGATTATGATAACAGACATCGGAAACTAAAACTATACTGCACCAGAAACGGTGTGTTTCAATTCTCGAGCATAAAGTACATCCGGAAACACCAAACAATCCCCCCCCCCCTTTCTTCTAATTGTCACCATGTAATTGATTGTAATTCACTTTGATTGATTGTAATTCACATACTATCTCTTTTCCTCATTTCCCATTTCTTAATATATAATTTCCCGGAAAAAGCTAATGGCAGTCCAATTTTTGCGCTTACCCTTTGTGCTGTCTTGTAGTCACCTTTTCACACTTGATTCATTTTCTCTTAAGATCTATTCAATATTTCCCCTATTTTTATCATTTCTAACTCGTTTCTGAAAATAAAAGCCATTAGCTTATCGCTTGAGAACGTTTTTCCAATAGTAATTTCTCCAAAAAAAGTTCTTAACTTGGCTTTGTTTGGTTTTTGTTCCTTTTTGGTTTCTTGCCTATTGTTTTTTATAATCTTATTTCATGTTATTTCAAAAATTTAGATTTTCTAAATCAAATTTCGATTGCTGGAAAAGGCGGTTGACCTTCGAGAAAATGTTTTTTAAACGGGTGAGTTCAAAGTTTAAAAGTCTAAACAAATAGCTTAATGTTTAATTGTTATTCAGGCTTCTCTAATGGCAAAATTTCCATAAAAGCCAGTGTCCAAATTTAAGAAGAGAAATTCTAAATGCATTTGCGAGCGTATTAGCATTCATTCTTACCGTAGTCACTTGAAATGCTTTAAAATTTTGAGTCTTTATGCAAGAATTTATGGTAAGAGCCATGTACCTTATCCACCTAGTGCAGCACTTAAATCCACGGTTTTACAAGACAAAGGGTTACCCTCGATTGGGGAGGTGAATTGGGGGTTCTTTCCTTATACATAGAAAAGGTGACGAACGGCCGGTGACCCCCAACCCTCAATCTGTTGCCCTTTTCAGCCTCCCTTCCCCCCATCTCTTGTCCCGCACCATTTTCCCCTTTTTTTCACAACCATCCACCTTTTTCGTATGGTGTGTATTTGTTCTCTTTTCCTCTCTTCATTGGTGCCATCCCATGATATCGATTTGTTCTCTACCTGTGCACCCCAAACTTTATTTGATTGCCCGTCTTGACCGCTTATCATGCTGTTCTTGTTCTATTAACTTCATGAACTACACAAATATTTGTAAATCTGAGCATTCTGAAATCTGAAATCAAATTTGAGCATTTTCGACTCTTCTAATGGGTTACTACATCTTGCACCTCCATTTGCATTTGTCAATGACGTTTTGAACCAATGTAACTGCGTTGAGTCACTCTGAAATCCAATACCAAAACCACCAAGAGATTTTCTTACTGAAATCATTTGCCAAGAGAGAGCTGGGTTTTGGGATGAACGGGAATAGAGACCAATCCGGGTCCGGATCCTCTCAAGTGTCCACTCTGCCCATGTGTCCCTTGCTCCTGGAACAAGCTTGTATCTTCGAATAGATCTTTCCAATCATCATTGCAGAAATCATCGATTCTTCACCATTTTTAATATCCAATCTTCACTATCATTTCTTCATTCTTAATTGTTTTGCTCAGCTTTCTGTTTGCTCTTGATTGATTCTTTCGTACAACTTGTTTCCAACCAATGGGATCCCAATTTCTTACACATCCTCGGAAAAATCAAAGCAAAAAAGATGCGCGCATTCTCATGATTCTCATCGTTTTTTGTTTCTCTTGTGGGGTCTTGTTTTCTCTTTTCCCGATGATATTAGCCCTGTGTTCCTTGCGCACCCTGGAACAAGCTTGTATTTTCGAATAGAATAGCTATGGTTATAGTTTTTGTGGCTATAGTTTTTGCATATTCTGTTAATGTTAGCATGAGACTTGGTACCAAAGTTTTAGTACAATTTCAAGGTTTACTTTGAGCAAACGCGCAAAATTCTGAAAAGAACTAAAAATTGACTAGATAAAAAAAATAAAAAATGAAAATCAAATAAAGAGAAAATTTCAAAAACCTAGAAAAAAGCTAACACCTTTCTTTTTAATTATTCAGTTAACTAGCCTGAATATTTTCAAAGGCCTTTAATTTTCTTAAATAGAAATTTTCTCTTTTTCATTTCGTCAGTGTCCAGGTCTGGCCAACTTTACCGATTTTTTTGTGACTATCTGATTGAATCTTTTGAACCTTTTTACTCCAAGTGTACCTAATTTTAGATTTATATTGCCTATCTGGGCATACATCGAGGTCATGAGTAATAAGCGTGATCCCCAGTCAAGGTTCAACTAAGGATCTTTTCGCAAATGAAAAGAGGGATTACCTCACACAGAGCACCCCCACCATCGTCAGCAATTTAGGAACTATAATCGCATTATCTATTGATTTTAACATTTTCCTATTTTTTATATGATTATTTATATTTTTACTTTAGATGAGCTGTCCATTTCCACCAGAAACATCATCGGTTCCATCTCCATCATCGCCTTATTGCACTCTGAAGTCTTACAGATCGAAAAGCTCCACAAATTCTACAACGGATACAAGTTATGATGAGGTAAGGTTTTAAAATTTTAACGTAGAGTTCTTAGTTTTGCATTTAAGCTCTTAGTTTTTAATTAATTCTCATTAAATCATACTCTTATTTGAGCCGTTTCTACTCTTTTTATTTTAGTATAAAGAAAATATTTCATAATGACAGTTTTAATCTTGCATTTTTAGGAAGTCTTTGTGACGATAAAATCAAAATTCGGCAGTGAGTTCAGACGGGTCTCTCTCAAAGTCAGCGATCGAACCACTTTCCCGACATGCTCAGGTTACTTGTTTATACATTTAAAAAAATAACACCCACCTTTCAGTTTCAATTCCAAGTCGCCTTTCAAATTTACAAGCTTTTTAGAATTCACCGAGTTGATCTTTCTTCTGCATGGTTTGACCGAGGAGCAACGCAAAACAGTACATATTGCCTACACAACTGCCGATGGATCAAATTTGCCTATTTCGAACGATGAAGTAAGCTTTAAATATTTAAATGTGTACAAGATAACATTTTTTTATAACGTGCTTACTTTAGAATCTCCGAAAAGCGGTATTCGACTCACCGAAAGTATTACGTCTACTTGTACAAAATCGAGCCGAGTCTCTGGAGGTTTAGTTTAAAAAAAATATACGTTAAGATAACTTTAGGAATTTACTAGATAACAATTTTAAATTCGAAATTGCATAGGCCAATTAGAATGCTAACAAGCTTAAATTTAGGAACGATTCGGTTACGGACTCCGAAACTCGGTGATGCGCAAAAAGCGGCAAATCTCGATTAGTAATCCCCAAGATTTCAGACGGGTTAGCTTTTGTATTGATTATCCAAATAATTTTTTGGTCTTAGGTTTCTTCTATCATCGACACGGACATCTTGCCACCAGAAGTGATCAGAGTGAGACTCTGCAAGTTCCACACCAATCTTCCGCTTGGATTCTTCATTAGAGATGGTCGGTTTATGAGAGATTTTCGTCACAAATTTTGAACAAACAGTCAAAGATGCCCAATAAGTTTTGCGTTTTAGGTCTGTCAGAACGGCTCACTAATTGGGGACCCACACCGGTGCCGTCAATTTTCATCTCTCGACTGCTCCCTTCCGGTCTTGCCGCATCCACAAATCTTCTCCATGAAGGCGACGAAATTCTCGAAGTCAATGGAATTGATGTGAGCCTTGCCTGTTATTGATTAATAAAGTGAAAGTGGATGAAAATTCTGTCTGTATCTTATAAAATTTAGGTTTACGGTAAAACCTTGGATCAAGTGACGGACATCATGATTGCGAACGCGACGAATTTGGTGTTGACCGTTCGCCCGGCACACACTCTTGCACTAAATACGTAATTGATCACGCTATTGCGCAGCTCTTGGGCAAAATATATTTTAGAATGCCTCGTCTAGCCTATGCACCTCCACCATATCCATCTCAATTCTCACCGATGAGTCTTCCCGAAAATTTGCCAATGCCACCAATTTATTCACAAGGTTTGAATTTTCTTTTGTACTTGATTATCAAATACTTCTAGCATTTGATTCTTCGCTTCGTTTTACAAATCGTGGAAGTCCGATCGGTTTTTGCAATCCACGGGAAATCTATAGAATGAGTGATAAGTTCAGGTGAATTTTTATTTTTACATTTATCAATGCAGTTTTTAAAAAGAAAACGCTTCTAAGAAGGTTTTTGTAACAACAACTTATGAAAGAATTTTAGTCGAGCCTCGCTGAACACAGCTTCGACGAGTAGCGCGGGCAGCAGTGGCGTGAGAAGTGGTGGATCAATGGGTGAAACGAGAGGGAACGACTACTCGAGATCGTTGAGACCAAAGAATGCCCCGTTGACAACAATTCACGATTTACCGCATCATCTCCCTCCAACTCAACATATGCCACCACCAATGCTTGGTCCGCATCCAATAGTGCCCGTCCGTCGGATCCCTCGTCCCTTCTCGATGCACACCGATGGTTTTGTGCCTCAGCATAAACAAGTGCCCATCGAAGCCTATCGTTATTCGACTGTTTTTGATCGTTTTTAAACGAAAAAAATTTACTTTTACTTTAATTTTCTTGTCGTTTATGTTTATTCGAGTTTTTGTGTGATTCAAAAAGTACATTTTGGTATGATTAGGTTTAGTTGAAAAGCTTTTTCCTCGGAAACCCAACTCTTTTCTCATTTCATACGCCTTTCTCAATTTGCTACGTGTCTGTGGTTTTAATGCAGTTGACTAAAAAATCGTTGCACTAAATAAACAAAAATGTTGCATCCTAGCTGCCATCTACGATAGCTACCGTAACACCTAACCTTTTATTTTGAGTCAAAAGGGCTAAATTACGGTGAAAAGAAAAAGGATTACGGTAGGAATTACTAGCAAATACTATAAGCTTGTCAGTTTATGTTTGGTGCAAGTAAGGGTTGGTCCCTCAAACCTTGTTCCCCACTTCTCCAGCTCTTCATCCACCACCCATTCACCTTCAACAGAGCCTGGCACCGCCGAGTACCCCCTTCAAATGGTATATACCATTAGGTGACCGAAAAAACGCCTCCGAAAGACCTCCTTGTGAATTGCTTCTCCAAACCACCCCAGCACGCGGCTGAGAGACCCACAAAAAAGCGGGAGAAAAAGACAGTGTCTGTGATTTTTCTCCGAGTCTTTTTTGTGGGTACTTCTTTGGTTTCCCCCTCTTTGTGTCCCTTTTGGTGAAAGGGGCGCCAATTCGCGGGGAATCATCCCCGCACAAAAACCCACATTGTGCCTGGTTGTGCCATCAAGTTTTTGTCTTTTGTAATAAAGGCCATCAATCAAATTCAAATATGTGGTTTTTGGAGTTGTGATGAAAGGTTGAAAAAGTGAAATGAGGATCTGATAATGGACAGCTACTGTAGCTCATACATTTCACGTACACAATTAATAGCAACAGCTTCATATCTACAGTATTTTGAAAGTGGGAAAGGATACACGAAGATCTAGTATCACCAAAAAAAACCAAAAAATTGGTTTTAAAAAACCCCTTCAACATTTTAGCATCACTAATTTGGGTTAGCCAACTTGTGACTTCTCATATGAGTACTTTTCTAACACAAAAATAAACTTTCCTTTGGTGTTTGGGTTGAAAGTGTTTAAAATCAGAGAATCGACGGCTTATTTTCGAGAACAACGTGGGTTTTATGCTAATTTCTCTGTGCACAAAGCTCGCACGCTTTCACGTGCACTCCGACACATGAACTTTGTTCAGTGATTTCAAACGAAGCTTTTTAGAGAATTCACGGGAATTTTTAAGTGAGACTAGTTTTTGTTAAACTTTCACATGTTCACAGTGGAATTGGATCATAAACTCGTAAGGAATATTGTGTTTTGTTTTTTTCTTGTACAGGGCAAAAAACTTAACCCATAAATCCCTAGCCTCTTTCAAATGATCACCTCCAAAAATATACACTCCATCGATCATTTGTCGATCCCCATTTCAATTTTCTCACCCCCTAAACAAAGCCCGTTTTTCCCCTTTTCTCTAAACTCATTGGTGTTGCTGGGGTCAGCTGATTTTGAGTGAAAGAAAGACATCCCTTTTTTTGTCTCGGTGGTTCCACATTTGAGGTTATTGTTGATTCTTTTCCCACCCGTTATTCTCACCTTCATCACTTGACCAGTGAACAAGTTTCTTTCCACTTTTTTTCTGTCTTTCAAGAAAGTTTCAGTTGAAAGACATAAGTGGGCACAAATCAGTCTCGAAAATTTTGGAAGCGTGAGAATGTCTGATGGGAAATTTTTGTGGAGCAGAAAGCAGGAATCGAGATTCAGAATTGAGATCAATCATTGAGCAAATTAGCAAAACTTGCTTCAGGTGGTGATGAACAATGAGCGAAATTAATATTTTAAAACTTTTAACGAAAAAAAAATTATCAATTCTCTTAGTTAAACACAAGTTCAGCGCTTATGAATCTCAATTTTTAGAACTTTAAATAAATCCCAAGCTTTTTATATAGCTGCACTCGTAGTACGATAGTGAGTTACAGTGAAAAAAACGCGGCAACAACTTTTACAGTTTTTTTCAAACACCTTTGATATTTTGGGCAATTTGTAGTACTACGAGTGCAGCTACACTACTGGACAATGAAATATCATATTTAAAAAAAGATCGTCACTTTAGCGCGTCTGTAGCTCCCTTGTCTTTACCGTATTTCTAAATATTAATATCACTATTGTGTAGCCCTTGAAAAGAGCTTTCAGAAAATGTATAACACTAATAGTTTAAGCTCAAAGACAAGGGAGTTACAGACACGCGAAAGTGACGATCGTTTTTCAAATATGATATTTCATTGTCCAGTACTGTATATAAAAGCTTGGGATTTATTTAAAGTTCTAAAAATCGAGATTTTGCTGAATGAAGGATATTCTAGAAAAGTTAACGTATAATTTACGCATTCCCAAAAGAAAAGCAAAGGAAACGGGAAATTCCGTAAATGATGATGAGCAAATCTTTAAACCTCGTGATTTCTACACTTTTGCTTATTTCTGTGAAATTGAAAATTGTGAATTTTATACTTAAACTTATAATTTACGCATTCCCAAAAGAAAAAGCAAAGGAAACGGAAAATTCCGTAAATGATGATGAGCTTCTTTAAACCTTTAAATGGTGATGAGCTTCTTTAAACCTTTAAATGATGATGAGCTTCTTTAAAGAAATTATCTTTAAACCTCTACACTTTTGCTTATTTCTGTGAAATTGAAAATTTTGAATTTTATAACTCTCGAAAATTCCTCTCATTTTAATGAATTGTTGACCTCGATTCGTAAAAGAAAAATAACGCAAAAAAAATCCCTTCATTCCAATTTTCTCGAGGGAAAACGTGCCAAAAGTGTGGTTGTTTACGCGTTTTTGCATCCTCTATTTACTTCCAATTTTTCGCACACAACACACAAAAAAGAATTTCGTTATTCTCCAGAAAAGGCCAACATTCCATGACTCTTTTTCCTTTTTTCTTGTTTACGAAGCACTTGATGAGCTTTTGCTGTGTGTTTTTTTTCTCTCCTTGCCAAGCTAAAGGTGTTTCTGTTCCGGAATTTTGAAAGATTTCAAATATTTTGACAATAATATTATCTATTGAATAGCTAGAATCAATAGTGATAACACAAAGCACAAAAATCTTTTCATTTACCCCTTCAAAAAATTTTTTGAGTTATCTTGTTCTCATGAATTCATTGGAAATAAAGAAATTCGACTTTTGGATTTTGCATTAAACATTTGAGACAAAATATTGGGTTGGTGAATTGAAAACTGCGGGCTATTGTCATATGTGACAGTTTGAGCACTTTCTTCAAAAGAAACCCATTTTGGTGTCAATGGAAAAGTTGTAGAGAATCAAAAATCAAGCTTATATCCAAATTTTCAGAACGATTTAAAAACTCGTTTTCAAGAAATGCCAAATTTACGAATTTTCACAAAACTTGCATTTTAAGCGAAACTACTAAGTGTATCTTTTTGGAAATTTGGCTATAAGCCTCATTTTTGATTCTCTACAACTTTTCTATTGACACCAAAATGGGTTTCTTTTGAAGAAAGTGCTCAAACTGGGACATCTCCAGTCCTCCATTTTTGAGTCTCACACTTGTCTCACACACAAGCCAAAATCCTACTACGAAAGAGGAATCCGCAAATTGCCTGTAAAATGGGCAGAAGTCGTCAATTATTTGGAATGAATTTATGGTTTTATGTTGAATAAATTTTAGTTCAAAGTCCCGCAGTTTTCAATTCACCAATCCAATAGAATGAAATAGCGACGAATTCTAGAAAATTCACTCAACGATTTGACACCAATTTTAGTAATAATCAAAGCTTTTTTTTTGTAAAACGTTATTACTTGTGAGCAATGCGTTTTCTAAAAAAAATCCATTTATAAAAGCATCGTTATCTGAAAGAAAGACGATAGCTTTCAAAATTTATTCACTTTTTAGAAAGCAAACACACACACACACATTTAAAGCCAATTCATTAAAGCCAATTCATCACATCTTTTCACTAATTCCTCAGCAATTTTTAGTGCTTCTCAAACACCATTTTCTTTTTTCCAAAACTTTCCCTCAATCAGACATATTTCCCATTTAGTTCGACAAATGCAAGGCAATCTATCGTTTCTCTACAGTGAATCGTGTTGTCTAGACACTAACCAAGAAAAAGAAATGAGAAAGAGAACCAGTCCCTCCTTTTCCCCCGTTCTCCGCACAAATTTCTTTTGATTATTGCTATAGATATGATCTGTTTTTTTTCTGAAAAGATGTATAGCAAAGCAAACACTTTTTTTTCACTTTTGATGATAACAAAATGAAAAAAGATAATGTTTTTGAACTCTCAAAAACATTGGTCAGAAATTTTCTCTAATCAAAGCAGTGATTCGAAAATTTCATTGAGTTTAGAGATCCTAAAAAAGTGGGAGAATAGATTTGAGTTGACTAGTAGCTAGCTTCTGATCCTTGCCTGGCTCTAGGACCCGGAACAATCTTGTCTGTAAAAGAGGTGGGATATGTTTAAGTTAATAACAGCTAATCCACAGATCTTCCAAAACCGAAGCCATGATCTGGCTCACAAAAAGCATCTAGACTAGAGGGTGTTCCTTTCAAGAAATAGTGCAAAATAGGGGATCTTTACGGTTAACGGCGGGGCTAATTTTTTGGCCAACTTGCAGCTTATTTTTAAGCATCTTAAACTTGGCAGATCAGGAAGTTTTAATAAGATTTAGATAGCTTAGAACATCAGCTTTCGGAAACTATTTGTTTTATCAAAAGTTATTAACATAAACTTATAGAAAATCGGGCTGCGAGTTGGTTAAAAAGTTGACTCCAGCCGATAATGACTCCTCCTCCCCCGCCGTTAACCGCAAAGGTTCAAATAGGAAACGGGTGGATTCGAAATAAACTGAATAGCTTGCAAATTGTGGAAGATATTCAAGATATTCAGTCGTTTTCTACCGTTGCCCGTTTCCTATTTCACACTATTTCTTTAGAGGAGCATACTGACTTAGCTGGACCAGCTAAGTCAG